TTATTATTTTTGGAATAACAGCTAATAGATTAATAGCCTTTACATCCAATTGCACATTTAAAGGGGCCTATGCAGTGCTCACTGGAGAATTTACCCATTTGGAAATAATTTGCATTTCTATTTCTTCCTCTGATGACTAAAAGTATTATAAATGACAGGAAGGAATAGCCTATTTTTATGAGTTGATTTTAGTCTTCCTTCCAGCTTGGCTCATGTTCATACATTATGACTAATAGGGAGGCTGCTTACTTGGAAAACCAGAGGGAAAATCCCATATAAAACAGGTACACAGCTTGGAAGTCTGTCGTTTTAAAAGAAGAGTTCATGGCAGCCCCGTAAGGATTTCTTACAACCCACCCTTCCTTCAGGGAGTTCAGGACAGCATAGCACAGGAGTGTTCCTAGTTGTATCTTCCCATCAACCTATTGAGGTACATTAAGATGAGAGATAATGAACTTTCTAACGCGGTATTATAGGTAGACTCACATCTTCCTGGATCCAGTCCAATTCAGCATTCACTATACCACACAAGCTTATTTAGATAGCTAAGTGTTTACTGATGTATGGAAGTGTTTACTGATGTATGGAAGTGTTTACTGATGTATGGAAGTGAGAGCTGGACCATAAAGAAGGCCGATCGCCGAAGAATTGATGCTTTTGAATTATGGTGTTGGAGGAGACTCTTGAGAGTCCCATGGACTGCAAGAAGATCAAACCTCTCCATTCTGAAGGAAATCAGCCCTGAGTGCTCACTGGAAGGACAGATCCTGAAGCTGAGGCTCCATTACTTTGGCCACCTCATGAGAAGAGAAGACTCCCTGGAAAAGACCCTGATGTTGGGAAAGATGGAGGGCAGAAGGAGAATCATTCGGCATAAGTGCATCATTCCCTCCTTCAAGACTTGTCTGGGTTTTCCCCTTCTGTCTAGCAGAACTAAAACTCTCTGCCCACTTGCAAATGCATAGGTGTGTGCTTTTAACTTCCTGCCTACATTTTCTCCCCACCCACCGCAAACAACAAATGCAATTCTAGGAGGACAATTGGTTTCACACTGTTCACCGCACCAAGGTGACATCTTTCCTGCCTTGTGTGTCACTACACAGCCTGGCCACAAACAAGTCGCTGCCCTTTATCTTCCCCGACTCTCTCAGAATGATACTACTATGTTGTGTCTGTGTGGGAAACAATTGCACAAGGAAGATGTGTCCTTGCGTATGATTTGACATGTGTAATAAAATGAGTCAGATTTTTATTTTTTTGAGGCCAATGGCCATTGCAACAGAAATAACAAAATGCAAACACGATAATTCCAGAGTAAGTTAAAAACCTATCAATTTTCCTAACTTTAAATTATCAGAATTCAAAGTTCCCTAAATTATTTACCGTAGATTAAAACAATTCCCTTGGAAATTGACATTGTTTTGGATTTTTAAAAATCAACTTTCCTGTTGCTAATGCATAGAAAGCTATCCTGTAGGTAACAAACTTGTCTTCATCAAACCGCAACTGTCTAATTTTGAAATCGGCTGACCTAGAAAATTCTGAAATGAATAGAGGAAGTTGTCCCTAGGTGAACTATGGTAAGGGCAACGTAGGATATGGTGCACAATATCTCTCACCTGATCTACATACACAAAGGCAAAATTTACTAGCCAAACGCTTTGTGGGCATCGCTTGAAATCTAAGCTGGGAAAATGCATGCCTTAATGTAGGGAGGAAGTTAATTTCTGCAAATAAACAGCTCTTTTGTGGTTCAGTTTAATTTTAATGCAGGCAGTGTCTGTTTTAGGCACATCCAATACATGTTTGACTACACACACATGCATCACAGCAAACCCAGAAATATATTCTGCTGTGCAGGAGCCTAAAGACCAGGTAGCAGTTAAGAATTCACCGCACAATGGTATACATGCCTACACTGAAGTAAGTCTCTTTGTGTTTAATGGGACTTACTCCCAGTTAAGTGGATACAGGATTGCAGTCAAGGCTTAGGTTTACAGTTAGCACTGGGGAAAACAGGTTTCTTGTGCCTTTGACTAGCAGGTGTGTGAGAGGCAGAAATCCAACAGGTTAAGCCCTTTCTAGCATGGAAAATAAAAAAGGCTGATCGCCGAAGAATTGATGCTTTTGAATTCTGGTGCTGGAGGAGACTCTTGAGAGTCCCATGGACTGCAAGAAGATCAAACATATCCATTCTGAAGGAAATCAGCCCTGAGTGCTCACTTGAAGGACAGACCCTGAAGCTGAGGCTCCAAGACTTTGGCCACCTCATGAGAAGAGAAGACTCCCTGGAAAAGACCCTGATGTTGGGAAAGATGGAGGGCAGAAGGAGAAGGGGATGGCAGAGGACGAGATGGTTGGACAGTGTTCTTGAAGCTACCAGCATGAGTTTGACCAAACTGCGGGGGGCAGTGGAAGACAGGAGTGCCTGGCGTGCTCTGGTCCATGGGGTCATGAAGAGTCGGACACGACTAAACGACTAAACAACAACAAAGTGTTTATTTTTCAGCTACATTCCCACTTACTTTGAATGCAGTGGGAGAATTTATGTGCACATCCCTCATGCATTGGAGTGGGTTTGCATCCCTCTGCTGTTGATAACGCACACACAACCCACCAGCTGCATGCAAAGCAGCCCTATGTGTGTGCTGGCCTACTGTCAGGGACTGGACTGAGGAAGAATGGTGGGGGGCTTCCCCTCCTCCTGAACCCTCCCGAGAACAGGGCAGTTGAAATATACTCAGAGTCACATAGCAATTTCATGCTATTTATTGCAGCTGGTAAACAGTGGGTGATGTTCCCCCCCAAACCTCAGGCTTTATATACGTCATTTACACAATGGGTCCGGTCTGATTGGCTGATTCTACTTTCCTCCTGGAGCCTGATTGGGCTGCTACTGCAGACCAATCAGTTGTTGCAATCTAGGATCCTTCCAGCCTATTGTTCTAGGATCCAAGCTTAGTACATAACAGCAGTATAGATTTAGAACACTGGTTTGCGGAAGGCCATAGCTCAGTGTTATGTACTGAGTTGAATAGGATCCAAAATGCAGCAGTCTGATTGGTCCTAGAACAATAGGATCCAGAATGCAGCAGTCTGATTGGTCCACAGGAGCCATCCAATCCAGCTCCAGGAGGAAGTGAATCCGTAACCTGATTGGCCTACAGGAGAATCCCGGAATTAGCCAATCACGTGGGGCCCATTGTGTAAATAATGTATATAAAGCAGACATTCTGGGGGAACTTCCATTCCTCCTCACCACTATGAGCTGAATAAAGAGCATGAAATCCACTCTCAACTCTGAGTATATTTTACTCAGAGACTGCAGAGGGCAGAAGCTGGGAAATACTGGGAGAAGAACAGCAGGAAGAAGCAGCACCAGGGGAGAGACAGCTGACACACTCAGTGTCTTTGGGCAGCATGCCAGAGCCGGTCCTGGCAAAAATTGAGAGTAGGAGAACAGAAAGCTCAGAGGCAGAAAGCACAGATCAGCTGGTGAAGGGATGACATGTGATAGGAGAGACAGAGGTGGGACTTTACTTGGAGCAATGCCATTATTTGAGAGGCGGCATCATCTGTCTCTCTCTGTAAATATGGAATAAAATATTATGGTAAGAACTTCTTGTTTTCCCATTTCTGGCTGCCAGCCATGAGGGAGGGGGATTGGATTCTCTGAAGCCTGACACCTACACACTTAGAGTAACTATGCACATGGGGAAATTCTCACGGGTTCAGAGTATCCCTAGGGTGGAGGTGCTCTTTGGGCATTGGCCAGTACATGCATGTGGTGTGGAGCCAGTGAGGAGCCAGTGTGGTGTAGTGGTTAAGAGCAGTGGACTCGTAATCTGGTGAACCAGGTTCGATTCCCCGCTTCTCCACACGCAGCTGCTGGTGACCTTGGGCTAGTCACACTTCTCTGAAATCTCTCTGCCTCACTCACCTCAAATCCATAACTCCTCCTCCTCCTTTTCTTCTTCTTCTTCTTTATGAGGCCACTTCCTGCACTGACCAAACTCTTAGTTTCGGGGTCATGGTTTTGAGCCCCATGCTGGGCAAAAGTTTCCTGCGTTGTAAGGGTTGGATCAGACCCTCGTGGTCCTTTCCAACTCTACTGTGATGGCCTGGGTCTCGGGCTCAGACTCGGAGCCAGAGGAGTCTCAGTCCGCACTGGATCCTTTGCCTCAGGCGGCAGCTGAAACTAGTCTGGGGCCTGATTCTGAAGAGCTCCAGTCTGCACAGGTTCCCCTGCAACAAGCACCAGCTGGGCCGAATCAGGGGCCTGAGCCTGCCCTGGCTCCAGATGCAGGGATTACCTCGTTGCCTCCAGCTGGGCAATCACTTACAGCTGCTCCACTACCAGTTGGGTCAGGAGAGGCTGAGGTGGCCTCTGGGTCTAGTAACCCACCAACATCTCCTGAGCTGCAGAGACTGAGGTCTGAGAGAGACCTGAGTACTCACAGGAGAAGTGCTCGCCTTCGGGTTTCCCCAGCTACTCTTGGGGGCTTTAAACAGAAGATTAAAAACGGAATACAATTTCAAACATTAAAAACTTCCCTATCTTAACTCAGAGGGTTATTGCGAGGATAATTTGGACAGGGAAAGCACACCATATATACCACTTTGAGTTCTTTGAAAGCTGCCTAGAGGTGGTAAGTTAGCCAGGTGGAAAGAGAAGGTGTAGCCCACACACTAAAATGGAAAGGCAAGAACTTTCAAACCACTGGAACTGATAATACACAATGATTAAATGAAGAACAGCTGGCCACCCAACACCCTGGGCAGGCGGGTGAATTTTCATGAGGTATTGGAAACTGGATCACAGTCAGGGCCCACCTTATTCCCTTTGATTTCCATAGGAATGCGAGGCTGGGGGTGGGAAACTATAGGGGAAGCCCAGATCCAGATGCCCTGAACCTCCTGGTGAGGGTAAAATTAAGGGGCAGGCCAGGTGCTTGGAAGCTGGATGAAGATACCAAGTGTTGACATGGGCCTGAGATGGAGAGAGAGAGCCCACAGTCCATTGGGTGAGGCCTTGGCCAAGATCTGACTTCACAATGGGCTGCGGAATGTTTTGTTTCCCAGGAAACCAGGTGAGTTGTTTGAAAGGATCCTGAGATCAGTTAAAAGCTCCTTCAGCTGTTTCCCTTCAGATCGGTTGACACTGCAGACATCTTTGGCTCAGTTGAAAGCCCAGAGAATGGTCTTCTGCCTCCCCTGCTGCCACAGAAGATAAGGTAAGAGGGGAGACATTCTGAAGCCTTGTTCTTCCTTCCACCCCTTGGGCAGCTTTTAAAGATGCTCCTTGGTTATTTGACTTTCATAAATCCCATGCTCCTAGGGAGTGTACTAGCTAATTTTCTGATTATTTCGTTTTTGTCTCCATCCCAATGTCAGGAGAATTACCACCTCCCTGCCACCTCAAAATCCTAAGAAAATCTCAATAACTCCATCCCTAAGAAAGCTCAACAATTTTGGGGTAAAAAGCTCAACAATTTCAATCCTAAAAAAAAGGTTAACAACTCTTTGGTTGGCCCCTTGGTCGGCCCTCACGGCCCTTCACTTCATCAAGTCTGGCCCTCTTTGAAAAAAGTTTGGACACCACTGTGCTAGAGAGAGTGAGACTCTTAAATTCCTTTTATGCTTTTATCTGTTTTTTGTTTTTGTTTTAGGTCACTTTTTCCAGATTCATTTTTTTTTTAACGTTTCAGTTTAATGTTTGTTAAACGAGGGGCAATATTTCCTTTTCAAGTAGGATTCAGCATCATAAGTTTGTGTTGTAGTTTATCTGGGTCTGAGGTAACTTCTGTTTCTACTTGTCTTATTTGCGTATTGTTTAGGGAAGTTTTTAATGTTTGATGTTTTATTGCGTTTTTAATATTCTGTTGGGAACCACCCAGAGTAGCTGGGAAAACCCAGCCAGATGGGCAGGGTATAAATAAATTATTATTATTATTAAGCCGTATCTGTGCTACACATTTAAAGTTCTGGGATACCATTTTGAATAATGGGGCTGGGGCTCTCTCGGGGTGAACCCCCACCCTCCAGCTCTCACCCCCCACCCTGAGGTGTGTGGGGCATCACTCAAAGCCACCATAGCCTCATACTACTACTACTAGTATTGGAGGAAGCCTAGTTTACCTCTGAGGGTTATTGCGAGGATAATATGGACAGGGAAAGCATATCATATATACTACCTTGAGTTCCTTGGAGGAAAGGTGAGGTTTTCAAGTGAAAATAAAGCACCAAGTAAAACTCCTTGAGAGTACAATTTTATTTTTAAAGCTGCCTAGAGGTGGTGAGTAGCCAGGTGGAGAGAGAAGGTGTAGCCCACACACTAAAATGAAAAAGCAAGAAGTTTCAAACCACTGGAACAGCTAATACACAATGAGTAAATGAGGAACAGCCAGCCACCCAACACCCTGGGCAGGCAGGTGAGTTTTCACAGTCAGAGCCCACCTTATTTCCTTCGATTCCCATAGGGATGTAAGGCAGGGGGTGGGAAACTATAAGGGATGCCAAGATCCAGATGCCTTGGCCTCCCAGTGAGGGGTAAATCAAGGGGGCAGGCAGGCTTGGAAGCTGGATGAAGATACCAAGTGTTGACATGGGCCTGAGATGGCGAGAGAGAGCCCACAGTCCATTGGGTGAGGCTTTGGCCAAGATCTGACTTCACAATGGGCTGCGGAATGTTTTGTTTCCCAGGAAACCAAGTGAGTTGCTTGAAAGGATCCTGAGAGCAGTTAAAAGCTCCTTCAGCTGTCTCTCTTCAGATCGGTTGACACCGCAGACACCTGTCTCCTTCTGACAACTATCTTTGGCTCAGTTGAAAGCCCAGAAAATGGTCTTCTGCCTCTGCTGCTGCCACAGAAGATAAGGTAAGAGGGGAGACATTCTGAAGCCTTGTTCTTCCTTCCACCCCTTGGGCAGTTTTTAAAGATGCTCCTTGGTTATTTGACCTTCATAAATCCCATGCTCCTAGGGAGTGTACTAGCTAATTTTCTGATTATTTCGTTTGTCTCTATCCAAATGTCAGGAGAATTACCATCTCCCCCCACCTCAAAAAAATCAGTAAATTGCTCCCCCCACCCCCTATTTCACCACCCACATAGGAAATTCTGGGATCTCATTTTTCACTCAGTGAAACAATTGCAAGCTATAAAACACTGTTAACAGAGCAACAACTAAAAAATAAGCCAGACATCACAACTGAAGCAAAAGTCATATTACATGATTAACAAATCAATACAGAATAAACCACAGAGCCTAGGACTTGCTGATCAGAAGGTCGGTGGTTCGAATCCTTGTGACGGGGTGAGCTCCTGTTGCTCGGTCTCAGCTCCTGCTCACCTAGCAGTTCGTAAGCACGTGCAAGTAGATAAATAGGTACTGCTCTGGCGGGAAGGTAAACGCCATTTCCGTGTGCTGCTCTGGTTCGCCAGAAGCCGCTTAGTCATGCTGGCCACATGACCCAGAAGCTGTAAGCCGACTCTCTTGGCCAATAATGCGAGATGAGTGGTGCAACCCCAGAGTCGGTCACGACTGGACCTAACGGTCAGGGGTCCCTTTACCTTTTTAATAATAATATTAGCGTTTTTCACGTCAATCTGCCCCCCAAAGGTGGGAAATTGCAGAGCTAGCCTCCTTGCTAGGAGAGAGCACTAGAGAGGTGTGGTTCTTTTTCAGATAAGCAGCTCATTTGCAAATACACAATTTGAACAAATGGAAAACAAGTACTCATGCCATCGGTACCAGGTCTCAGGCTGCATCAGCTCAAGTATCCCAGCATCCCACAAATAGCTTTTGATAGCCAGAAATCTCTTGGCACTAGCATTATTTTCCCCATAGCCTCCAAAGCCAGACTGTTTATTTCTTCTGCCAGTATTCAAAATGCAAAAATTGTAAGATGTATAAGACTGAATCGGATAAGTACTGGAGATGCAAAGAGGTGGAGGGAACGTTTTTTCATATGTGGTAGACTTGTAAAAGGGTAAAATGGAAAACAAGCAAGGTCCCAACCAAAGAAGAATGGCAACTTAGAATATGTACAACTTGCCGGCTTAACATATAAGAGAACAAGCAGAACGTACATTTGGAGAAGATTGGAAAACATTTATTGAATATATGGGAAATATCTGTGTACAGCTGAAAATGCTGTCAGCATTAAGATAAATTGAACAGTGTAAACAAGTTTTGATGGATGTAATAATGGAATACTGAATGCTATAGTTTTTGTAACATATGCAGGGATTTATCATATGTAAAATGAACCATGGAAAGAGAAGAAGGGAAGTCATTTATATCTTAAGAATGTAAAATAAAAAAATTCCTTCCAGTAGCACCTTAGAGACCAACTAAGTTTGTTATTGATATGAGCTTTTGTGTGCATGCATACTTCAGATAAGGATGTAAAATGAGTATTTTAAATTGTAAAACAGAAAATTTAATAAAAAATTATATATGTGTGTGTGTGTATATATATATATATATATATATCTGTGGCGTTTGCCCTCCTAAGTGTATGACATCATACTGGGTTCATAGGGAAAGGGTTAACTAATTGTTAAATGAATAACAATGGGAACCCAAGGGGCAGAGTTAACTGTGTATAAGGTTTAAGCACAGGGAGAATTTGTTAAGAAGAGTTAGAGTGGTTGAGAAGACAGTCTGGAGTTAGACAAGAGAGAGAAGATAAGTCTGTGGGTTGGACTAGTCTGGTGTGAGAGAGTGAGAAAATCTGTTAAGAGGAGTCAGTCAAACAGTTGAGATAATCAGTCAGAATGTATTAGGAAGGTATAGGTCGGTAAAGAAACTAAAGTTAAGATACTGACAGGAATATTATCTGAGAAACCATAAGCTTGTCAATGTTTGTAAAATAAACTTGTTTTTTTGGTCCACTTTTAACAACTGACTGTACTCAGTGTTTTACCAGAGAGTAACTGGTTGGTGGCAGAGGGGAAGCGATCACAGTGGTGGCACAATATCCTTCATGGATCACGGCCTTGTTGTGGAGAAGAGGCTTGGATAACTCAGAGAAGCTATGAGCTATGCCATGCAGGGCCACCCAAGACGGACAGGTCATAGTGGAGAGTTTTGACCAAACATGGTCCACCTGGAGCAGGAACCGGCAAGCCACTCCAGTATCCCTGCCAAGAAAACTCCATGGGGAAAAACAAAGTCATGTAAAAGTTATGACGCTGGAAAGTTATGGAGCTGGAGGAGACTCTTGAGAGTCCCATGGACGGCAAGAAGATCAAACCTATCCATTCTGAAGGAAATCAGCCCTGAGTGCTCACTGGAAGGACAGATCCTGAAGCTGAGGCTCCAATACGTTGGCCACCTCATGAGAAGAGAAGACTCCTGGAAAAGACCCTGATGTTGGGAAAGATGGAGGGCACAAGGAGAAGGGGACGACAGAGGACGAGATGGTTGGACAGTGTTCTTGAAGCTACCAGCATGAGTTTGACCAAACTGCGGGGAGGCAGTGGAAGACAGGAGTGCCTGGCATGCTCTGGTCCATGAGGTCACAAAGAGTCGGACACGACTAAACGAATAAACGATGACAACAACAACAACAACAACAACAACAACAACAACAACAACAACAACACACACGTTGCTTTGCACAAAGGACCAGATTCCTGAACTCTCTGTAATGCAAATACTGTATATATAAACATTTGTGTAAGTTTAAAACAGAAATAACTCACAGCTTTTGCTCTTGGTCTTTGTAGCCTCACCTGTCCTCCTTTAAGTATGCCTCTCCTGTTTGCAATCATGCTATTCATTGGCAGAAACAGATATGAAATGCCATTTGAGAATTATTTTGAGAGCCAGTGTGATGTAGTGGTTAAGAGCGGTAGACTCGTAATCTGGGGAACCGGGTTCGCGTCTCCGCTCCTCCACATGCAGCTGCTGGGTAACCTTGGGCCAGTCACACTTCTTTGAAATCTCTCAGCCCCACTCACCTCACAGAGTGTTTGTTGTGAGGGAGGAAGGGAAAGGAGAGTGTTAGCCGCTTTGAGACTCCTTAGGGCTGTGATAAAGCGGGATATCAAATCCAGACTCCTCCTCTTCTATTTTAAGCAGGTGCATGGTGCTTTTCCCCCTTACCGCTGATCAACTGCAGGTAATGTGAGTCTTAAGGCTGACTGTTCAGCATTAAAAAGCAGACACAGTCCTGAACCTTGGTGTCTTCTTTTTAATGCAGACACACTGACACACAAAACCCCCTTTGCCACTTCGTAGATGATACAGGATGAGGACTGAGGAAGTGGAAGGGCTAAGCAATTCCTTTGCAGCCTCTTCTGCATGCATTCACTGGAGAAGATCTCAAGTGCAGAAAGACGTGGGAGAGGCAAAGTAGTTCTTGTATATCCTTGTTTATCTTGTATATCCTGTGGCGCTGTGGTCTAAACCACTGAGCCTCCTGGGCTTGCCGATCAGAAGGTCGGTGGTTCGAATCCCCGTGTCGGAGTGAGCTTCCGTTGCTCTGTCCCAGCTTCTCCCAACTTAGCAGTTCAAAAGCACACCAGTGCAAGTAGATAAATAGGTACCGCTGCGGCGGGAAGGTAAACAGCATTTCCATGCACTCTGGTTTCCATCACAGTGTCCCGTTGCACCAAAAGCAGTTTAGTCATGCCTGTCATATGACCCAGAAAGGTGTCTGTGGACAAACACTGGCTCCCTTGGCCTGAAAGCGAGATGAGCGCCGCAACCCCATAGTCGCCTTTGACTGGACTTAACCGTCCAGGGGTCCTTTACCTATATCCTAGAGGACTGGGAGAACCTGAAAACTCAGACTTGACAACCCTATGATGCCAGCACCTAACTTCAAACGTTTACATGAACTAGAAGAAATGAACTTTGAGAGTGGCAGCAGTAGCCATAAGAACTACAGAAGAAGGCAGTTAGGAAAGTCCATTTCCAGAGACCTTAGCATGCTGAATGGCAGAATAGGTGATGTTACTGGAAGCAAAATCTGCCGAGCAACGAGGAGTTGACATTGCAGAGCACCTGGGTCAAATGTCTCCTTCAGTATTCACATGAGAATGATATGGCTAACACGACACTGCTATGTTCCCTTTGGATAAAACTGCAAAGGCTTGTCATGGAAGGAGCCACAGTTAGGCAATTACCAGGTTAGTTTCTCTGTTTACATTTAGGCAAACAAATAAGGGCCTCAGACGATGAACTCAGGGTCTGAGTAGATTCACATGGAGAGAGGCAGTCTTTGAGGTATTGTGGTCCTGAGCAATAGAATCGGTTGGGAACCATTTTATTTTTGAAACAGAGTAAGTCTGAAGCCAGAACAAAATGCCGGGAATCCTTTTCAAAAATAAAAAATAAAATCAACTGACTTTGACATTCATAACAAGGAATTCTTCCACTGTAAAGCTCTGTAAAATATACCACATGTGGCCTATGCTTGCATAACTGTGGCTTGCAAGTGCATTGTGATGAAACATTTGGCTTCATTTATTTCAACAAAGGCTTTTCACCATTCGTTGAGTGATTGCATATTAGTCAGAATCACTGCTAATGCCAGTCTACAAAAGAAGACGACTGGTTTGTCATTGTAATGCTCTCAGTCTTTAAAGATTTTCACGCCACAATCCCCTAAACATGTTTCTATAGAGCACCAGGTGTGTGTAATTGGGACTACAGTGGCACCTCGGTTGTTGAACGTCTCGGAAGCCACATGTTTCGGTTTTCGAAAACCGAAAGCCCTGAAGTAAATGCTTCCGGTTTTGAACATGCCTGGGAAGTTGAACGGCTTTCGCTGAGCCCCCCCCCCCCCCCGTTTTCTCCATTTAATTTGCAGATCGCCCTTTGCGACTTGGTTTTCTAACGTTTCGGAAGTCAAAAGTTCTTCTGGAACGGATTGCGTTCAACAACTGAGGTACCACTGTATTAGGCCACACCCAGTTATGTCCACCTGAAAATAAGTTGTCCCGCTGCACCCCAATGTTATTGCTTTGCCTGAGATTCAGTGTGGTCCCAACGATTCTTTTTAAACCGAAAAAAGCAAAAAAATGTAAGATTTAATGTTCTACGGCAGGGGTCAGCAAACTTTTCCAGCAGGGGGCTGGTCCACTGTCCCTCAGACCTTGTGGGGGGCCAGACTATATATATTTTTGGGGGGAAATGAACGAATCCCTATGCCCCATAAATAACCCAGAGATGCATTTTAAATAAAAGGACATGTTCTACTTATGATTTAGAAGGCGATTGGGCTGGATCCGGCCCCCGGGCCTTAGTTTGCCTACCCATGTTCTAGGGTGACATTAAACCAAAGATCTGGCTTTGCATAGAAACCGTTATAAAAGGAAACTGGAAAGATAAAAGGAAGTGACAAGGAAAATAGTAGTGACCCCACTACTGACAGTACCAAGGCATCCCTGCATCCAGGAATTCAAATCCCAGTACAGGAGAGCAAGAGAGCCAATACAACATGGGACCTGTGTAACTCAGTGGGCAGGATGCCTGGAGAAAGCTCACAAAGTCGTCCTGTTCAAGACCCACCCAGGGAGGGAAAGTTTATTTTGCTAGGCAGCCAGACAACTGGAGACTATCTAGGTATGGATCTTGAAAGACCCGATTCCCTGCTTCTCTGTCTGGCTTATATTCACCTGCCTTGGGAAGGCGAGATCCTGACAGACCTCAACCACAAAGGAGGCTTTTGCGACACCTAATGATCTGCTTCTCAACATAACACAATGCAGTTCAATCCTCATACAGCAGCAATTTATGAGGTACGACATTGCTCCAGATGTATTTAGTGGTGATCTTGTTCCAGTTGTAGTTAGGTTTCTGAAGTGCTGCTGCTGCTTCTCGCTGTTAAGTGAATCCACCTGTTCTCCATTGTTGGAGTTACCTTCTTCACTGAGCTTCTACCCCCCCCCCCCCCGTGTTTGTTTATTTGTTTTTTCAGATCAAAACCTTATAGTCACATATCGAACATACTGACTTGGCCCCAGACACACTGATCAGATGTTTGGAAGCTGTGGCTGGATGGTTACGTGGGAGCCGGTTGAAGTTAAATCTTTCGAAGACAGAGGTCCTTTGGCTGGGTCAGGACAATATGGGATTGGGGGGCAACTCCCAACTCCCAAATCTTGCGGGGGCGCAATTAGTGCCAGCACCGTCCGTTAAGAGTTTGGGTGTAATATTCAACACCTCCCTTTCCATGGAGGCGCAGATTGCAGTTATAACAAAGGCGGCGTTTTTTCATCTCCTCCAAGCTAAGCAGTTGGCTCCTTACCTTTCTCGCCCTGACCTAGCCGCTGTGATCCACGCGACGGTCACCTCCAGACTGGATTATTGTAACTCGCTCTACGTGGGGCTGCCCTTGAGACTGACCCAGAAACTCCAGCGGGTGCAGAATGCCACGGCAAGGCTCCTTACGGGGTCCTCGCTGCAGGATCACATTCACCCAGTGCTATACCAGCTGCACTGGCTCCCGGTGGAGTACAGGATCAGGTTTAAGGTGCTGGTTTTAACCTTTAAAGCCCTATACGGCCTAGGACCCTCGTACCTATGGGACCGCCTCTCCTGGTATGTCCGACGGAGGACCTTACGGTCTTCAAACAAAAACATCTTGGAGGTCCCGGGCCACAGAGAGGTTAGGCTGGCCTCAACCAGAGCCAGAGCTTTCTCGGCTGTGGCTCCAATGTGGTGGAACACTCTGTCACAAGAGACTAGGGCCCTGCGGGACTTGACATCTTTCCGCAGGGCCTACATGGCATAGCTGTTCCACCAGGCCTTTGGCTAGGGCATAGTCTGACCCCCTCCTTTGGCAATCTTCACAGAACCCTAGCCCAATGGTTGCCACTAATCTGATTTGAACTGATTTTATAATGAACTGATTTTAGAATGTTGCATCATTTTACTGTTGTTAGCAGCTCTGAGCCCGGCTTCGGCTGGGGAGGGCGGGATATAAATAAAAATTTATTATTATTATTATTATTATTATTATTATTATTATTATTATACAACATAGAAACAAGATTCCAAAGAATCTCTTGGACTTCCTTCCTCCCCTTTGTGGGTCCTATGGTTAGTCCTTTTCTCCTGCATCTTGTATGATCATCCACATCTTTTACATCTCCCTTGTGTCCAGAATTCACTACAAGGGATATCCCAATCCTACTAACGATTTTAACTGTTTACAATGGTTTTTAAGATAGGTTATAAATGTTCCCCATTCCTTATTAAAATTTCGGTCTTTCTGATTTCTGATTCTTCCGGTCATTTGAGCCATTTCGGCATAATCCGTCAACTTGCTCTGCCATTCTTCTCTGGTAGGGACTTTATCTTCTTTCCATCTCTGGGCCAATAACATCTGTGCAGCTGTGTCACATACATAAGTGGTCTTTTCTGCTCCCTTGGGATTTTGGCACCTTACTGAACTTCTATCTCTTCTTCCATATAACTCTATGAAATTCCTGGCCAACTCACAGAGGAAACACCGGGCACCAGTAGGCTTTGAAGTGGATATTATGCAATGTAATGCGGGGGGGGGGGGGTATAAGATTATAGTCTCTCCTCTTGACAGTCTCCATTCAACTTCTGGCGCCATGTCTGGCCCAAGGTCACCAACATTGGTTGCCTGGTCTCTGGAAAAGTAAATTTAAGGGAAGTAGTTTTTCTCTCTGTCGTTATTCCTGAGTGGCGGGAAAGCTGGAGAAGTATAATGACAGCACGGGGGCAAGAGAGATGGCTGTCCTGTCATAACTTTGCTTCACGCCTTGATGGATTTTTATTTTTATTTTACAACCAAGCAGTATATAAATTGTATGAAACTGACTAACCAAATAAGTGTGCTCGAATGCTGGGAGTTACTGGGAATTGGTGGCTTTCATTAGCAGAGACATTGGAGCGCATCACACATGTGGGAATAGAAGTAGCTGCAAATTACTCCAGCAAAAGTGAGGGAAGGAACAGCAGCGAGTTATGGGAAAATTCGCTGGGGAAATGCTGCTTTGACATCTAGTGTGAGGTAATCCCCTCCCCCCAAATATTTAGGCATTTAGCAGTACAGTACAAATTATGCAAGAATATGTGTATAGCCAGGGGAAAAGAATGATATTTCACACACACCCCTTCCATCTTTGCACTTTGTTTATTAAATGTGACTAATTTTTTGGCGCTTTTCTGTGCAAGATCTGTTAGGACATGATAAAATGGGTGTGATCATAGCAGTTAAAAGGTCTTGTTTCTTCCCCTGAGAATTATGTGCTGTTATTTTACTTCAAAAAATCCATGCTAGTCAAAGTTATGTTGGATAGCAAACCCTAGCTGAATGCTGATACATTGCAAGTCTTCCACACAAGTTAATAAAAATAATCAAAACAATCAAAACAATAATACTAATGTATACATGCTAATAAACAATGCATGCATAACAAAAGCCCCTAAACAATACTCTAGCACACAAGTACAAAATTAACCTATAACATTTAACAATTTAAAACAGCCCCACCCTCCAAACAAAACAGCACGCACCCAAGTTGAAAACCCCATCCCCGTTAAAACAATAATTTGTTTTACACCCAATGAAATGTGGATGTCTTTAAGGTTGAGTGTTCAGCAGAGGAGATTCTGAGGAGCAAATTAGTTTCCCCCAACTGGCGCTGTGGGTTAAACCACAGAGCCTAGGACTTGCCGATCAGAAGGTCAATGGTTTGAATCCCCGCAATGGGGTGAGCTCCCGTTGCTCGGTCCCTGCTCCTGCCAACCTAGCAGTTCGAAAGCATGTCAAAGTGCAAATAGATAAATAGGTACCGCTCCGGCGGGAAGGTAAACGGCGTTTTCATGTGCTGCTCTGGTTCACCAGAAGTGGCTTAGTCATGCTGGCCACATAACCTGGAAGATGTACGCCGGCTCCCTTGGCCAATAAAGCGAGATGAGAGCCGCAACCCCAGAGTTGGTCATGACTGGACCTAATGGTCAGGGGTCCCTTTACCTTTACCTTTAACCCTCGCTTAGTATGCTGTGAACTCACTGTCATGGAATTCTATTCAATATTGATCCAGAGGATATTCCAATGTATAGTTAGCAGAGTAAAAACTTAAACACGTTGCAGGATTCCCAAAAAGCAGACCAGTGGCAATTGCATTTCATCCAGTACAGCTTTACTGCTACTGAAGGCAAATGAGCATAATGGTCACAAATCGAATACATTCAGGACTGGCAATGTCCATAAGAAATCCAGTTGCAGCACATTTAACTTAAACTTACAATAACTTATAATAAGTCTAAACTTTAACACTCAGCATACTATGTACAGAACACCACACCAGAAGGAAAAGAGATAGAAAGAGAAAAGTAAAACCCAGGTTCCTTCTGGCCTCTTATTATAGTCAGCATGACCTTGACAAAAAGAGATAACAGAGTCAGTTTAATCCAGCTGTACTCAGCTTCTCTGAAGGTATAACCCAAACACCATGAACCTTCTGCTTGTTTCTTTCACACAGAGAAGCTTCTTGAACCCTCTTGAATTAATTAGAGTAGGAAAGATCTCTACACATCAGATCAATACTTTCTGTACTAAGAAATGCAAACTGACACTCACAGCCCGGCCATAGCTGTCAACCGTCCCTTATTTGGCGGGAAAGTCCCTTATCCCAGCGCCGTGTCCCGCTGCTGTCCCTTATTGATGATGTCCCTTAAATTTCCCGGGTTTCAAAGGAAGCAGCTCCTCTCCCTCCCTCCCTGCCGGCCAGGGAGGAGGGAGGCTCCAGCTGTGTTGCTTGGCTGCGTTGCTCACCCAATAAGGAGTCTAAGAATGACTGGGGGGTGGAGCTTGCATGCTTTGTGCCGATCAAATCGGCCGCGTTGCCTGGGGACTCGCCTTTGCTCAGCGCTTCCCAGCGGAGAGGTGACGGTGGTTTTCCTTGCTGCATCCCCTTTGCCGGCTTGCTGCGCTGTGGGAACCACCGCTTGTGGCTTTGTTTGGCTGCTGGTTGACTAAAATCCCTTATTTTGGCTGCTGATCCCTTATTTCCGAGGCTGCAGGTCCCTTATTTTCAAATCTGTAAGTTGACAGCTATGAGCCCGGCTCAAAGCGGGAGAAAGAATTAGGAGCCAATCTATGCCCTCTGCTCAATGCCATGGCTAAGAATTCATGCAGAGGTGCAAAGTGGGACCAATTGCATAGCTCATCTCCCGGGCAGCGAGTAGAAACTGGGTACTTTTCTAATGATCATGAATTCGCTGCCACTGGGAAGCTCCCTGACCTGGCTCACCCCAAGGTATTTGCGTCAGGAGAGACCTAGTCAGCCTAGCTTAGCCAAGCCTTGAGAACCCTTTGAGTCCCTACCCCTCAAAAGTCCAGGCAGGAACCAAACTGTCATCGCTGCACACAATGATTTATGCAGAAATGCTGGGGTAAATTGCCCCTGGCAAATAGTCTCCTTCTTGTTTTCAGCTCTTCAGGATGGTGAAAGAATGTTTGGTTCTGATTTCCATTTTTTTATAGTATTTTTCTCCTTCACAGAACAGCTATGTAATGCGATGGCTGGATTTTCCTTTTCCCCTCTGTGGTTTCTTTGGATTTCAAAGTTCTTAAAGATTCAAATGTTCTTACTGGATGTTTGGGGTATTGCGGTTGTCAGTTTCCAAAGCCACACCATCTATTTATTACCTCATCCAAGAACTTACTAACCCTGGGGCACAACCAAAACATGTGTAACTAATTACCTGGAGAACATCCACAGCTCAAATAAACAAATATAATTTTTTGAAAATTGCTTTCAAAACTTTCATTCTGGTGCCTGATGTTCTCTACAGAATTCTCTGCAGAGAATTCTCTGCTAGATAAAAATAGATTATTCAGCTCAGGGGTGCAAATTCACAGATCTTTTCATCTCATTATTATTAAGGTACTCTAATTCCACAAATCCCACAAGCTTTTTTTTAAAAAAAAGCACTTTGAAGGCATTAAAAATATATTTGTAACTGAAGTCTCCAGTCTAGCAAAAGATGCCTAAAATTTCAGAAATCTAACAACATGGATCCTCCTAATTACCTTGTGCAAACACCAAGGCTGTGTGCACATTACCAATTTATTCTGGCTCCAGTGCACTGCCACTGCTGGCATCTGAAGCCATATACAGTGGTGCCTCGCAAGACGAAATTAATTCGTTCCGCAAGTTTTTTCTTCTTGCGAGTTTTTCGTCTTGCGATGCACGGTTTCCCATAGGAATGCATTGAAAATCAATTAATGCGTTCCTAGGAAGCCGACTTCAGACCAGGTCCGGGGACAGTCTGTCCCCCGACCTCTTCTGAAGGCTGGGGGGACAAGGGCTTTTCTTCCCACCCCCAGCATTTTAAAAACCCGGGACAGCGGAGAGCTTCTCCGCTGTCCGAGGCGATCTTAAAATGCTGGCGGGCGGCATTTAAAATTGCCCGGGACAGCGGAGGACTTCTCCGCTGTCCGGGGCAATTCAAAGCCCCTGGGAAGGCAGGCAGGGGGACAAAGACTTTTGCCCCCGCCAGCCTTCAGAAGAGGTCCTGGACCTCTTCTGAAGGTTGGCGGGGCGAAAGTCTTGTCCCCCCACCTGCCTTCAAAGCTGTCCAGCCAAGGCTTCGCGGACCTCTCCGCACGCAGCGGCAGCACTGCCGCTGCTTGCGGAGAGCTGCCGGCATGCCGAAGCCTGCGCGCGCTGAGATCAGCGCGCCCAGGCTTCGCGGACCTCTCCGCGAGCAGCGGCAGCGCTGCCGCTGCTCGCGGAGAGTTGCCGGCATGCCGAAGCCTGGGCGCGCTGAGATCAGCGCGCCCAGGCTTCGCGGACCTCTCCGCGAGCAGCGGCAGCGCTGCCGCTGCTCGCGGAGAGTTGCCGGCATGCCGAAGCCTGCGCGCGCTGAGATCAGCGCGCCCAGGCTCGCGGACCTCTCCGCGAGCAGCGGCAGCGCTGCCGCTGCTCGCGGAGAGTTGCCGGCATGCCGAAGCCTGCGCGCGCTGAGATCAGCGCGCCCAGGCTTCGCGGACCTCTCCGCGAGCAGCGGCAGCGCTGCCGCTGCTCGCGGAGAGTTGCCGGCATGCCGAAGCCTGGGCGCGCGGAGATCAGCGCGCCCAGGCTCGCGGACCTCTCCGCGAGCAGCGGCAGCGCTGCCGCTGCTCGCGGAGAGTTGCCGGCATGCCGGAGCCTGGGCGCGCTGAGATCAGCGCGCCCAGGCTCCGCGGACCTCTCCGCGAGCAGCGGCAGCGCTGCCGCTGCTCGCGGAGAGTTGCCGGCATGCCGAAGCCTGGGCGCGCTGAGATCAGCGCGCCCAGGCTCGCGGACCTCTCCGCGAGCAGCGGCAGCGCTGCCGCTGCTCGCGGAGAGTTGCCGGCATGCCGAAGCCTGCGCGCGCTGAGATCAGCGCGCCCAGGCTTCGCGGACCTCTCCGCGAGCAGCGGCAGCGCTGCCGCTGCTCGCGGAGAGTTGCCGGCATGCCGAAGCCTGCGCGCGCGGAGATCAGCGCGCCCAGGCTTCGCGGACCGGAGATTTCCCTATGGGCTTTCGTCTTGCGAAGCAAGCCCATAGGGAAATTCGTTTTGCGAAGCGCCTCCAAAACGGAAAACCCTTTCGTCTAGCGGGTTTTTCGTCTTGCGAGGCGTTCGTCTTGCGGGGCACCACTGTAGGCACAATCCACAATCCCTATCTAGCCTGTGCTTTCTTGAGAAATGCTGCCGTTCAATGTATTTCCCCTCAAACTGGCTTCCATCCGATTTGAGCTACTTTCAGTTTGTATTCCAGCTGAGGTGTGCACATTCCAGAGAGCCATTGTGCATATGCAAATAACAACTCATGTATTGACGACACTGAGAGTTTGGAGTGCAGGTATGGGGATACGCAGTGGCGTAGCGTGGGGGGGTGCAGGGGGGGCCAGCCACACCGGGCGCAACATCTGGGGGGGGCGTGCTCGCACTCGCAGCTCTCTGCCCCTACCTAGCTCACTCACTCTCTCTCACTGCAGTGCTGGCTGTGCGAATCCGATCCGAGCCCCTGGGTCGCCGCCCACTGTGGAGGGGGTGGGTGCCAGGCGTGCGGTGCGGAGAGAGAGCGAGGGACTATCTGGGGGAGGGACAGTGCAGCGGCCGCCCAGCGCAGCGCTGAGCGCGGGAGAGAACCACACCAGACCAGACCAGGCAGCAGCAAGAAGAAGCTGGCAGCGGCGGCAGGTTAGGGGTTAGGGGGCGCAAATTACTTGCCTTGCCCCGGGTTAGGGGGCACAAATTACTTGCCTCGCCCCGTGTTAGGGGGCGCCAATTACTTGCCTTGCCCCGGGTGCTGACAACCCACGCTACGCTGCTGGGGATACGAAATGACTTGCATATGACTTGGTTGTAAAGAAAGCGACACAAAACCCGCAAAGCGCTTTGAAAACCAAACCATACCCTCCAGCATTTCTCTGATGAAAATGCCAGTTGCATTTCTTAGTACAGAAAGTATTGATCTGATGTGTAGAGATCTTTCCTATTCTAATTAATTCAAGAGGGTTCAGGAAGCTTCTCTGTGTGAAAGAAACAAGCAGAAGGTTCTTGATGTTTGGGTTATTCCTTCAGAGAAGCTGAGTACAGCTGGATTAAACTGACTCTGTTATCTCTTTCTGTCAAGGTTATGCTATACATAATATGCTTAGAGTTAAGATTTAGACTTATTGTAAGTTTAAGTTAAGTCTGCTGCAACTGGATTTCTTATGGACAGTGCCATTCCTGAATGTATTCGATTTGTGACCATGATGCTCATTTGCCCTCAGTAGCAGTAAAGCTCTGCTGGGTGAAATACAATTGCCTCTGGTCTGTTTTTGGGGAATCCTGCAACGTGTTTAAGTTTTGACTCTGCTAACTATACATTGGAATCTACCCTGGATCAATACTGAGTAGAATTCTATGAAAGAAAACAGGGACGTCCTATTTAATAATAATAATAATAATAATAATAATAATAATAGCCTGCCCATCTGATGGGGTTGCCCCAGCCATTCTGGGTAGCTTCCAACATATTTAAAAACATAATAAAACATTAAACAGCTTCCCTATACAGGGCTGCCTTTAGATGTCTTCTAAAAGATAGGGGACGCGGGTGGCACTGTGGGTTAAACCACTGAGCCTAGGGCTTGCCGATCAGAAGGACGGCGGTTCGAATCCCCGTGACGGGGTGAGCTCCCGTTGCTCGGTCTCTGCTCCTGCCAACCTAGCAGTTTGAAAGCACGTCAAAGTGCAAGTAGATAAATAGGTACCACTCCGGCGGGAAGGTAAACGGCGTTTCTGTGCACTGCTCTGGTTCGCCAGAAGCGGCTCAGTCATGCTGGCCACATGACCCGGAAGCTGTATGCTGGCTCCCTTGGTCAATAAAGCGAGATGAGCGCCACAACCCCAGAGTCGGCCACGACTGGACCTAATGGTCAGGGGTCCTTTTACCTTTAAAAGCTATATACTCATCTCCTTGGCTCAGGGGTCACATAACTCCATTCCATCCAACATTTCTCTGATGAAAATAGGGATGGCCTAAGGAAAAGTGGGGCATTCCAGGATCAAATCAGAAACTGGGATGGCTTCTGTAAATCCAGGACTGTCCCTGGTAAATAGGGACACTTGGAGGGTCTGTAACACTACCATCATCATTGGCACACCCTCGTTCAGCCACCTTGCTCCTCATTTTTCATGGAAGCGCATTCTGTTTTACGTGTAACAGTGAATATTTCTTACTGAGCAGGTAACGCACATCGGGTGAAGCCATCCTCAGCCTCTCCCTGGTGTGCACAGCAACGCAACACTATGACTTGAAATGTGGGGGGAGGGGCAGGACAACGACGACGACTTTGCTCCATTTTAAGCTGCTAACGTGTGCATAGCCAAAGGGAGCCTGACTCAGAATTGGCCTGCATGTTCCTACCTAGTGATTTTCCCTGCAAGCATTCCCACCACAGCATTCGACTTATGAGGATAACTTAGCTCCAGGAAATCTACGGTTTTCTGTTGACATGTAGTTTTGCCCTAAGGAATGGTCACAATATTTGGATTTCTATGCTAATTAGTTACCAGAGCGTACTGTGCTTCACTATGGTGTAAAGAGTCGAAGCCAAGCGCAGCGTTCCACACGGAAAGCCAATTGCTTTCAAAAATATCTTTTCTCTCAGCCTGTGCCAGGCCTCAAAGCACTCCAGAGGTTAACATCACAGATCAAGGAAAATAAACACTCCGTGACCAACACAACAACTATACTTTCCCTAAAATGTTATGTTTCGGATTCTTCTGTGTACCAAAATGCTTTTCAGTTCGTTTCCCCTGAATGCCTTATTTCTTGATGTTTTTTAGGTTTGTCACACGCAACCCCACTTCCAATACTGTTTGTACCTGCAGTATTAACTTTATTGGATCAACAAGTAAATTCTTGAGACAGCAATGGTGGACGAGTGGTGGATTAATTCTGCTTTAGTTCATCGTGAAATGCTTCCCAAAGCTACCACATTATTGCTGCCCAGCACAACAAAAGTGGAACCAAAATAAATCAGAATATTTGTGGTATTGAAAAATTATGGAATTTCAGCAGAATGTTATGGGATATGCACTGACTGGAAGTGAAGCAGGAGGAAAATAGTACAGTAATGAAAGCAGATCTGGGTTCAGGCTTTACTAAGCCATGAAGCACAGAGGGTGACCTTGGGCTATTTGCTATCTGTCATCCAAATCTGGGTTTTGAGAACAAAACCTACAAATGGTGCCCTGAGCATTTGTGGAGGATGTAAGCAACATAAAGTAGCTTCTTGGATCCCATCTTATTCACCTTAAGAAATTTAAAAGTAGCGTTAAATTTGAACATATTAAACTCATTTCCTACACTTCGCTGCCATAAACTTAAGAAGCTCTGGAAGGTTTCCATTTTGCTTCTAATTCTCCTTCCCCTCAGTGAGTTTTGACTCAGTCTTATATAACTGGAAATGTTTAGCATAATTGAGCTTTCCCAGATGTTAGCCAAACTTGCATTCCAGGCACAGTTCTTGTTTCTCAAAAGTCACCCTAGCCATAAATTACCAGTCAATTCTCTTCTTACTCCCTGGAGAACATCCTTTCAGTTGCCCTACCAAAGTTGCAACTGGATCCTTCACTGATATCATACCTGTGTTCTTACCGATTTACTAAACATCGAGGGGGGAAAGCAACATGCATGTGCCCTATTTGGCATAGGACTGTGCTAAAAGGAGTCTAGGGGGCCAGTGTAATGTTTTGGGAGTGAATAGGATTATCCACACCACTGGTCACTGTTTTTAGGAGGGCGATTGTGCTTTTTCCTATCCACACCAAAGGTGGGATGCACTTAGAGTCAGAAAGGTTTTGTGCCTGTACAGTGGACGCTCGGGTTGCGAATGTGATCCATGCGGAAAGCATGTTTGCAACCTGCAGCGCTGCACCTGCGTGGGTCGCGATTCTGCACTTCTGCGCATGCTCGCGTGCCGAAACCCGGAAGTAACCTGTTCCGGTACTTCTGGGTTCGGCATGGTGCGCAACCCGAAAACGCACAACCTGAAGCGTCTGTAACCTGAGGTATGACTGTAGTCACAGCCCTTCCATTCCTTTGAAGGTGACCCGGAAACTACAACTAATCCAGAATGCGGCAGCTAGACTGGTGACTGGGAGTGGTCACCGAGACCACATAACACCGGTCTTGAAAGACCTACATTGGCTCCCAGTACGTTTCCAATCACAATTCAAAGTGTTGGTGCTAACCTTTAAAGGCCTCAGTTCAGAATACCTGAAGGAGTGTCTCCACCTCCATCGTTCTGCCCGGACACTGAGGTCCAGCGCCGAGGGCCTTCTGGTGGTTCCCTCACTGCGAAAAGCCAAGTTGCAGGGAACCAGGCAGAGGGCCTTCTCGGTAGTGGCGCCCGCCCTGTGGAATGCCCTCCCATCAGATGTAAAAGAGAACAACAACTACCAAACTTTTAGAAGACATCTGAAGGCAGCCCTGTTTAGGGAAGCTTTTAATGTTTGATGTATTACTGTATTTTAATATTTGGTTGGAAGCCGCCCAGAGTGGCTGGGGAAACCCAGCCAGATGGGCGGGGTATAAATAAATTATTAATATTATTCCATTCCCTCCTTCCACCAATTCATAAATATGTGAGTTATTTACCTCCCTCTCAGCTAGCCCAGGATCAGGGCACATGCAGATGTCCTTTGGCCAACCATGAGAAGGAGGCACCGCTGCCACCCGAGCACCGAAGGCCCAACCCGGGCACAGCTTGCCTCCCTGTGACTCCAGCCTCGATGAGGGCCAAACCACTGTCCTTTCCTCCCTGCCATGATGTGTAACTTAGGTTGTTGGGTTTTTTTAACCAACAGCCTTGAGCTCCTTAGCCTGGCAACTCCAAAGTCTCTCCAAAAGGCAAAATAGGGAGAGCAAGCATGAATAAATATGGGACTGCTTCTGAAAACTGACTATCCTGCACTGAATTCTCCTCTCTCACCCCTGTAAAACTTACTTTTGTCCAAGGCATCTCATTCATATATATGTGTGAGTGTCCAAACACTAGGTTAAATTCTGGAAGTTACTTTGGAAACTATTTCCGCCCCCCTTCGCTGCAGAGCTCCAAGGAAAAGAGGCACATACTGACATAACTTTTTAGCACTGTGACCAACATATTTCTCCAAGCAAATGCAGCCAGAACCACTTGCCAAAACCAATATTGACCCAGTCCTTCATCCAATCAACAAACGCTATTATTTATAAGACTGGGTTTTTCTTGGTTGAAGTTCAAAGCAAAGCTCCAAGGATTTTCAAAACTATAATAATGAGAGGATTTAGCTTTCCAGAAAAAACCATGCCTCGCTTTTGGTTGCAACGGGAACACTAGGTCACTGCAAGTAAACATTCAGATAACCTTTTCAGTTCTATACATTCATTTTCCTCCACAGTTGTATCGAGTCCTGAAATTGCATGGTTCTGAATTAAGGCGCTGTTGTGTAGCTGATGGTGTCCTGAAATTAGTATGCTTCTTCACATGGGATGGTAGTCGTAATGAGAATAGACCCACTGAAGTTAATAGATACGAGTAAATTATGTTCATTTATTTCAATGGGTCTACTTTGAGCAGGACTGAGCAGAATGCAACCCCGTTATGTTTGCATTGCTTTTCACATTTCCTGCATCTGCAATTCAGTGTAGTATCGAAGGAGAAAATCAGTTTGATTCTTGCACTTTTCTAAATAATATGAACTGAAGCACATTTGAGTTTTGAAACTCACACTTCTCTTTTGCAGTGAAGTTCTCCAGTCAAAGATGGGTAGAAAGTGTACCTAAAACTGCATTGATTAGTAAATATAACATACATTAAGCAAAACTGCATTGAAATGTGAATCCAGTACAAAACTAAAATGCTCAGAAATGTTTTGTAAGAGTTTTTTTTTTTAATGTAATATAGTGAACTGTTTTCCCAGTAGTGATGTATGGAAGTGAGAGCTGGACCATAAAGAAGGCTGATCGCCGAAGAATTGATACTTTTGAATTATGGTGCTGGAGGAGACTCTTGAGAGTCCCATGGACTGCAAGAAGATCAAACCTCTCCATTCTGAAGGAAATCAGCCCTGAGTGCTCACTGGAAGCACAGATCGTGAAGCTGAGGCTCCAAGACTTTGGCCACCTCATGAGAAGAGAAGACTCCCTGGAAAAGACCCTGATGTTGGGAAAGATGGAGGGCACAAGGAGAAGGGGACGACAGTGGACGAGATGGTTGGACAGTGTTCTTGAAGCTACCAGCATGAGTTTGACCAAACTGCGGGAGGCAGTGGAAGACAGGAGTGCCTGGCGTGCTCTGGTCCATAGGGTCACGAAGAGTCGGACACGAATAAACGACTAAACAACAACAAACAACAGCAACAACAATAGTGAACTGTGTAATGTTTCTGAATTGAAGATGGGGGAACTGGAACAGGAACTGAGAGAAACAGAAATAGCCAGATTTTTCCATCCCTGAATGGAAGGCAATGCTTTCCTTTGACATAGCGTTCAGCTTATATTTGAACGATCATTTTCATTATAAATCAGAATTACTTTGCTCTCCGCATATCTGATAGCTGAGCCATTCTATCCAAATGAAAATTAGGTCTGCCTGTTACTCTGGCACCCAGTGACGATTTCGCTTTCAGGTATGGCTTTGGAGAAGGCTACTGCCTCTTTCTCTGCCCAAGTCTCTGTTCTGAGCATGTGTCTGTCCTGATTTAGAAGGCAGCAAGTTCACAGCGGTGACTCATTCAGTGATGCCACACGCAGCCTCCTCCTCTGAGAGCAGGTAATTCTGCTGCGTGATCCAATTATCCCGCAATGCAGAGATAATTCGAAACAGACAAGGCCACGGCAGCAAATGCAGCTGAGAGGCAATGGGCACACCCTCTCCCGGTTACCGAATTAGCTGTCATCTATAAGTGGTGCTTGCAACAGGGTGGAGTGCTCAGTTTCAGAGTTCTAGCCAGACAGACATCCCCTTTTCCAGGATACACCATTCCATTTCTCCACTCCAGGTTTCTGCTGTCATTACCCTGTTCTCTCCAACAAACAACCAGCATTCTGTGGTCACGGAGCATATCTTGGGCTGGTTTTTGTGATGGTAGCTGCTGGGTCCCTGAAATATACTCAGAGTTGAGTAGTGATTGCATGCTCTCTGTTTCAGCTCATCATGGGACGTGGGTGGCGCTGTGGTCTAAACCACACAGCCTAGGGCTTGCCGATCGGAAGGTCAGCGGTTCGAATCCCTGAGACGGGGTGAGCTCCCATTGTTCGGTCCCAGCTCCTGCCCACCTAGCAGTTTGAAGGCATGTCAAAGTGCAAGTAGATAAATAGGTACCGCTCTGGCAGGAAGGTAAACGGCGTTTCCATGCGCTGCTCTGGTTCGCCAGAAGTGGCTTAGTCATGCTGGGTGTTATGTGCTGAAGTTCTCACCCTGGGCCAGCAGGGGGATACTGTAGATAGTTTTCACTCAGGTCCACATATGCAAATAAGGGGTTGAAAGTGACGTTCAGTGATTGGTTAGTTACAGAATGTGGTTACTGTTGCGTTGCAGTGGAGCTTTATATGAGCAGGCTGGCTGAACCCTCCAGTTCAGTTCTGTTCTGGCCTCTGAATAAACAAGAGCTGTTTGAAGAATCGCTGTGTCATCTGATATGTTCACCCACAACTTAACACTGGCCACATGACCTGGAAGCTGTCTGCGGGCAAACGCCGGCTCCCTTGGCCTATAGAGCGAGATGAGCGTGCAACCCCAGAGTCGTCTGCGACTGGACCTAACGGTCAGGGATACCTTTACCTATTTCAGCTCATAGGAACAGTGATTTAATCCTCCCCCCCCAACCTCTGGGTCCCGCACAATGGGTCCCGCATGATTGGTTGATTCTGCTCCCCTCCTGGAGCCTGATTGGGCTGCTCCTGCAGGCCAATTGGATGCAGCATTCTAGTACGTATCCTACCTGCCTATTGTTCTAGTGATAGGCTGATTCACTTCCTATTGTGGCCTGATTGGGTGGCTTCTGCAAGCCAATCAGGTTGCTGTCTTCTAGGATCCTACTTGCCTACTGATCTAAGACCTAAGCTCAGTACATAACAGTCCCCATTAGCATTTCCCCCCTCTAAATATTTGTTTTACAGCTGCAAACGATGGGATTGCCCAACACACATCAGTGCCTCCTCCCTCTTCCATACAGATGGTGCTGTTTTGATGGCATAAGGACGCACATTTGGAGAATGAACCAGCTATAAGCATATAGCATGGGTAGGCAAATTAAGGCCCGGGAGCCAGATCCGGCCCAATCGCCTTCTAAATCCGGCCCGCAGACGGTCCAGGAATCAGCGTGTTTTTACATGAATAGAATATGTGCTTTTATTTAAAATGCATCTCTGGGTTATTTGTGGGGCATAGGAATTCGTTCATTTCCCCCCCCTCCAATATAGTCCGGCCCCCCACAAGGTCTGAAGGACAGTGGACTGGCCCCCTGCTGAAAAAGTTTGCTGACCCCTGGCATATAGGATGGAATTGCCTCCCTCTTCCACTAAACAACAACCCTGGCAGAACTAATTTTTCAAGAGCAACCCTCCGCTTTGATATGGTTAGTCACAATTCCCCCCCCCCCCCGCCCCGGTATCCGGAAGCAGCTAAATGGTAGGAAGCTATTCCTGAAGTGAACCCAGGTCATCTATTAATTTACCAATTTTTAAAATAAATTTTATTTTATTAGCAAACAAAAATAAAAGATAAAGAGCATAAAGAAATACCGTTGTAGCATAGAATCATAGAATTGGAAGAGACCACAAGAGCCACCAAGTCCAACCCCCTGCCAAGCAGGAAACACCATCAGAGCACTCCTGACATATGGTTGTCAAGCCTCTGCTTAAAGACCTCCAAAGAAGGAGACTCCACCACACTCCTTGGCAGCAAATTCCACTGTCGAACAGCTCTTACTGTCAGGAAGTTCTTCCTAATGTTTAGGTGGAATCTTCTTTCTTGTAGTTTGGATCCATTGCTCCGTGTCCGCTTCTCTGGAGCAGCAGAAAACAACCTTTCTCCCTCCTCTATGTGACATCCTTTTATATATTTGAACATGGCTATCATATCACCCCTTAACCTCCTCTTCTCCAGGCTAAACATGCCCAGCTCCCTTAGCCATTCCTCATAAGGCATTGTTTCCAGGCCTTTGACCATTTTGGTTGCCCTCCTCTGGACACGTTCCAGTTTGTCAGTGTCCTTGACAAATTTGTCTTCACGTATGCTGCAGGTTGAAAGCAGCATACGTGAAGACAAATTCCCCCATAAGAACTAAAGGCAGCTTGAAAGACAGCCCCTCCTTTCACATAAAAAGGATTTGCAGATTGTTGTATCCCCCCCCAAAAAACAACAACCCTATAAGCATAACCATAAGTAAGAATAAAACAAAGGAAATTGTCGGCTGTAGGAATCGGTGGCTTTTTCAAACTCCTTTCAGCTCTCCAATAAATAAGTTTCTAGATATTCTGACCAGACATCTAGGTTTATCACTAAAGTGTCCATCTCTGTTAATAATAATAATAATAATAATAATAATAGCAAACAAGACAGCATGGCAGTCTCCTTTGCTGCAGTAGTTTATCAAGCTGTCAATGGGCTGTAAGAGCCAGAATGGTAGTACAGCTTTGCTTAAAGTTACTCCCATTACTCCATTAAAAAATATACCGTAATCCCCACAAGCTTGTACTAAGGTAGAACTACATTGCTTCAATGAACACGTGATCCCAGACCTAAACTCATGTTTGCTGAAGGGAGCAGGAGGCATTTGTCGGGGAGAGCCAGTCGTCTCAGAGCCCCCACGTCACATTTACGTTGCAAGCGAAACCTGTGTTTGCGCTGTATGTTTGCTTCCACCTTATCGCTGCCCCTTCTTAACCATGAAAGCCTTTGGGCAGTTGAAGCAGCGGGCAAAAGGGGGGAAAGTCAAGAGGCTTTCGTGGGTTGGGGGGGGGAAAGGCATCAAAACTCAGCATTTCTCAAGAAAAAACAGGAAAGATGCAGGAAAGCTATGGATTGTGGCTAATGGCATAAGCACAATTCTTCCCAAACAACACTGGATGCAAAATATATTAGTGTGCATACACAGCTAACTTGCAGAAGTGTTTAAATAATTGACTGTGGGGTTATTTGTAGGGAGCTTTTTTGCCCCCACAGCATACTAGCAGTTCTCCTACGTATCACACTAATGTGCTCCAAAACTCAGCTTGCGAATGGTTGGTCTGTCCCAGGGGTGTCTATTGTGAGTGACTAGCAGTGGCAAAGGTTTAGGGACGCGGGTGGTGCTGTGGTCTAAACCACTGAGCCTCTTGGGCTTGCCGATCAGAAGGTCGGCAGTTCGAATCCCCGCGACAGGGTGAGCTCCCATTGCTCGGTCCCAGTTCCTGCCAACCTAGCAGTTCGAAAGCACGTCAAAGTGCAAGTAGATTTCCAAGCACAATTCAAAGTGTTGGTGCTGACCTTTAAAGCCCTAAACGGCCTCGGTCCTGTATACCTGAAGGAGTGTTTCCACCCCCATTGTTCAGCCCGGACACTGAGATCCAGCGCCGAGGGCCTTCTGGCAGTTCCCTCACTGTGAGAAGTGAGGTTACAGGGAACCAGGCAGAGGGCCTTCTTGGTAGTGGCGCCCGCCCTGTGGAACACCCTCCCATCAGATGTCAAAGAGATAAACAACTACCTGACATTCAGAAGACATCTTAAGGCAGCCCTGTTCAGGGAAGTTTTTAATATTTAACGCTGTACTGTTTTTAACACTTGATTGGGAGCCGCCCAGAGTGGCTGGGGAAACTCAGCCAGATGGGCGGGGTATAAATAATAAATTATTATTATTATTATTATTATTATTATTATAGATGTGGCAGGAAGGTAAATGGCATTTCCGTGCGCTCTGGTTTCCGTCATGGTGTTCCGTTGTGCCAGAAGCGATTTAGTCATGCTGGCCACACGACCTGGAAAGCTGTCTGTGGACAAACGCAGTCTCTCTTGGCCTGAAAGCGAGATGAGCGCCGCAACCCCATAGTCGCCTTTGACTGGACTTAACCAACCAGGGATCACTTACCTTTTTTACCTTTTACAAGCAGTGGCTCTCCAGGATCTTGGGCAGAGGATCTTTCTCCACCCCTGGTTTATGCAACGCTTTTAACTCTAGAGACCATAGCTGTCAACTTACAGATTTGAAAATAAGGGACCAGCAGCCTCGAAAACAAGGGATCAGCAGCCAAAATAAGGGATTTTCAGAGCACAGGTATGTTTGACTTCTGAGCCCCTCTGAGCCAAAGGCAGAAAGCCCAGCCAGCAGCCGAACGAAGCCTCAAGTGGTGGTTCCCACAGGGCAGCAACCCAGCAAAGGGGATGCAGCAAGGAAAACCACCGTCACCTCTCCGCTAGGAAGCGCTGAGCAAAGGCGAGAACCCAGGCAACGCGGCTGATTTGATTGGCACAAGGCATGCAAGCTCCACCCCCCAGTCGTTCTTAGACTCCTTATTGGGTGAGCAACGCATCCAAGCAACACAGTTGGAGCCTCCCTCCTCCCTGGCCGGCAGGGAGGGAGGGAGGGAGAGGAGCTGCTTCCTTTGAAACCCGGGAAATTTAAGGGACATCATCAATAAGGGACAGCAGCGGGACACGGCACTGGGATAAGGGACTTTCCCGCCAAATAAGGGACGGTTGACAGCTATGCTAGAGATGCAGGTAGGGAATGAACCTGTGACCTTCAACATGCAAAATTGGTGCTTTACCACTGAAAAATGGCCCCCTCCCTGACTATCAGTCCTTCTCCTTTGGGAAACTGCTTCAGACAATGCTCAGCCTTACCCATCTGTTGTTGATCTATTTCGCTCTCTTCCCTACAGACGTATTTTTCAGAACTAGCTGTAGGTGACATGGAAACTAACAAACTTAGTGTCCATTCTTGCCGAGGGCTGCATTTATTTATTTTTTTAATATCGTAGCTGACATTTAAACAATATGCGCTATGCTGACATTTGGCTGATTCTTCCACGCTGCTCAGACATTCTTGGCCAAAGCATTACTTTTGTGCTTGTTCTTGCATTCTTCAATTCCCAAACATTCTAGGCAAAATTCTTTTCCGGTAAATCAATCTAATGGTTGCTGGCATTAATTTTCCCATTTCTTATCTAGTTTTTAGATGTGTCAGCATTCTTAGCACAATATAACTCGAGAAAGAGGGGTTTTTTGCGGGGGGTGGGGGGGGAGGTTGGACAAACCCCTATGGACCAGTGCAACAATGTAATTTAGATCCCTGGTCTTAATCCTAATAGCAATTTGTTATATGAAACACATGCCCATTGCAGACAGCACTGGAATGCCTTGCAGGGTTCACACGCCCTTTTAGTGGGTTACAACTCTGGCGGCTACCTATCTCTACATGCAAACCGAGTGAGACCAACATTACTGTATATCAGGAAGATCAGTAATGGTGGACAATAGGTTGGATCTAGCCTAAGTGTGTTGTACTTTGTATTCATAGAAGTCAATGAGACTATATGCTATTGCATATAATATTCTATAGATTGCCTGACTGCATTGGACATCATTGCCTGTCCCATCTTGATTTAATCCATAGCCAAGGTCTTCTCATGTTTTACAGTCTGCCTGAAATGCTACATCAGTTAGACAATCTCATTTTTAAAAATCAGGATTACACCTTTAGTCAAACAATTTGTGTGCCTCCTGATGGAGACTTAATATTGCAAATGGGTTATTTGAATACTGGAAGCTAGTAGTTGGCAAGAAGTTTTCTTTTAAAAAAAACCACTGGGTTTTCTGCAGAGATGGGTTAATCTGGATTAAATGGCGGTGGGAAATACTGGCTGGCATTTTGATGCCCATGATGGTGTGTGGATGCTGGGGGAAAAACTTGCATGTATGAGCAGCAACAATTCACAATACATAAGCATTTGGAAGCCCCTTAGTTTAAATGTTCTTAATTTTCTGAAACAGATGTTTGATGCATCAGCAAAATGTCTTCTTTTTCTGTTTCCCACCTATTATGTAGAATGTTGAAGTCTTAATCTGTTTTTTGAATCACTGATTTTAATTTGTTTAATGTTGTAAATAGTTGTCTTTCTTTTTGTAAATAGCTTTGAGGGTTTTTCTTTTTGAGGGTTTTTCTTTTTTTTAACAATCACAAAGTGTATAAATTTTATAGACAAGCCTTCCGCGATACTATAACCTGAATTTGCTTAGCTTTAAATTTGTTAGAATGATATTAATTTTTATCACAAAATTTCACCAGTTGTCATCATTTTCACTGAGTTCAGTGGGAGACCCAGATCTTCTCCCGCTGCCTGCAGTTTCTGGTATAGAGAGTTCCTAAAAGAGTAAAAGTATATGTATTTGTAAGGTAAAGGTAAAGGTACCCCTGCCCGTACGGGCCAGTCGTGTCCGACTCTAGGGTTGCGCGCTCATCTCGCTCAAGAGCCCGTGAGCCGGCGCCGTCCGAAGACACTTCCGGGTCACGTGGCCAGCGTGACGAAGCTGCAGCTGGCGAGCCAGCACCAGTGCAGCACACGGAAACGCTGTTTACCTTCCTGCTATAAAGCGGTACCTATTTATCTACTTGCACTTTAAGGGTGCCTCTGAACTGCTAGGTGGGCAGGAGCTGGGACCGAACGACGGGCACTCACCCCGCCGCGGGGATTTGAACCGCCAACCTTACGATCAGCAAGTCCTAGGCACTGAGGTTTTACCCACAGCGCCACCCGCATCCCAATATGTATATGTACGTTTTTACAAAACTCTGTTCCAAAGCAAGGATGAGAAACCTGTGGCTCTCCAGATGGTTTTGGACTACAAATCCCATCACCCCTGAGCATTAGCCATTCTAGCTATATAACAACTAACGCATCTAAAGCAGCCATCCAGATTAGATCTCTATATGCCAAGAACCAGGCCCAATCAGTGAAGATAGCTTTGAGACTCTTTCAAATGAAAGTCCTCCCCCTTCTTTTGGTGGGCATCTCTTTAGGCTCCCGTAGGGATTTTTTGAAAATGGATTCTATCCAAACGCAATTCCTTAGAGCCATCCTTAGGATTCCCCCCTCGGTAGCGGGTGCGGTTATGAGATTAGAGGTCGGCTGGCAAGCTCTACGGTATGTGGCCTTGAAGACGAAGCTCTGGCTATGGCTCAAGCTTTGTTTTAAACCAGTGGGTATTGCCCCCTTGATATTGAGGGACGTTTTCCAATCATCGTGGGAAAGGGAGGTCATTAATGAGGTTCAATCCTGCGGATTGTTTCTCCTTTACTTCCAGTCTATGACGTACAATCAAGCTAGAGCTGTGATCTCCCAGAGACTGAGTGATATTGCCAGACAAGAGGACATAGCCCAGGTTAAACCAGGGATGTTCCTAGGGGACCAGATTTATCGGACCATACCAGCCCCCTACCTTGCAGAAATCCACTATGTGGAATACCGTAGACTTCTTACAGCGGCTAGATTAAATGTCCTTGACTCTGCAATATTGTGGGGAAGGTACAGGGGAGTACCATACGCCCAAAGAACCTGTCATTGTGCCATGGGGGTGGTTGAGTCCACCGAACACATTCTCTTGACTTGCCCTTCTTATGCAGAGCTTAGACAAAATTTTATAGACCCACTCCTATGTCAATTCAGCCTCCTACCCGGAGAAAACCAGGCTTTACACTTGCTGAATAACGCCACTAGAGCTATACCTTCCTTGGTGGCCAAATTTCTCTTCTTAGCCTTTAAGCGTCGCAAGACTAAAATTGACTGTATTGATATGGGGCTATCTGTCTAGCCCATTTTAGTGTTGGCTAAGTTTTAAAATCTTCCTGGATGTTTTTAACTGTGTATTGACAAAATGTACTTTTTTCTGACTGACGGTCGAATAAAAAGGATGATGATGATGCTAATGGAGTCAAACAAAAACATTTGACACTTGGTTCGACTGGGAGGCAAGAGAAGACATTGATTCTTAAGCCTCTCTTGCATAGAGCAGCTGAACAGACAGAACAGAACTCGAAAGTAAATATGGGTCGTCAAGGCTGGAACATGTTGTAGACAGTTCTTTCAGAAAGCAAGAAATAAAAGAGGGGGTACTTCACAACATGGTTCCCTATCCTGAGATGGATCTAGCTGTTGTGTTGCGTACTTCAGAGAAGCTTCTAGTTTGTTCCTTGACCGAGTTAAGTTTCTTCAAATTCATTCGTTCTAATTCATATGGGGTGCCAACTTGAATACGATACTGGGGTGGGGGCAGGTAAGCCTTGCTCCTCATAATCGCTGACAAAATGAGACACATGCACGCTAATTGAATGGCAGTGCCCTTCAACTTGGGGGGCAGCTCCCTCAAATATTTTATAAGGGGGGCAAAGGGACCTTGGCCCCTAGGAGGTGGCTTCTATGGTATAGGATTGCTATCTTAGGCTCTATACAGTGGTACCTCAGGTTAAGTACTTAATTCGTTCCGGAAGTCCGTACTTAACCTGAAACTGTTCTTAACCTGAAGCACCACTTTAGCTAATGGGGCCTCCTGCTGCCGCCACGCCACTGGAGCACGATTTCTGTTCTCATCCTGAAGCAAAGTTCTTAACCTGAAGCACTATTTCTGGGTTAGCGGAGTCTGTAACCTGAAGCGTATGTAACCTGAGGTACCACTGTATTTGTTGTCTTATATAAGCTTGTGAGAGAGGTACAAATACATCATCTCCAGAATGATATTAGTCCCGCTGGGATACAGATAATCCGGGTGTGTACTGCTTTGTATAATTATAGTCTGGCTAGATGAAAGATCGCATCCTGAGCCATTTTCTCAGCTTGAGCCAGTCAAGGTGGGTGGGGCTCTTTCTTCCCATATGATATTCGACTTTCGTAAATTTGTTTGTCCACCTTCTCCTCCTGACCTGTTTGCTGACTTAGGCAGCGAAGTTCCGCGTTGGGGTTTATAAGCCGGGTTTCGTTTGCCTGCGACTTTCCATCGATGACAGGTTCTCCTCAAAGCCTCTTCTTCCCACTTGGAGCAATCGAGCAGAAAATCGCTCCAGGGTGACATCATGACAGCCTTTTCCTTCTTTTCGCACCTATTTGATCTTTGACAGGTAGCTGCTGCGCATTCCATGCTGCTAACTCACATCAAGTTGCCTAGCGACTGATCAGCCCTCACCTCAAACTTAGATGCTCACATGAACTGCAGCCAGTTTTGTAGACCTGAGAGAGCCATTTGCCCTGTGCCACTATCTCCCCATGAATGACCACCGATAAATCCATGCATTGTAACCATCAGCACAGCTATCACGTGGACGCAACCGAATGGTTGATCTTACAGTGGTACCTCGGGTTACATACGCTTCAGATTACAGACTCCGCTATCCCAGAAATAGTACCTTGGGTTAAGAACTTTGCATCAGGATGAGAACACAAATCGTGCTCCGGCGATGCAGCAGCAGTGGGAGGCCCCATTAGCTAAAGTGGTGCTTCAGGTTAAGAAAAGTTTCAGGTTAAGAACGGACCTCCGGAACGAATTAAGTACTTAACCCGAGGTACCACTGTACTGACATCCAACACCCTTTTAGAATGTGGCTTTGGGGGGGGGCGTTATTGGGTTACTGCTTTTGGTTTGCTTTTATATGTTGCGGTCTTGTTGTGAACCGCCCTAAGACCTCTGGGTACAGGGTGGTGTATAAGTTGAATTAATAATAATAATAATAATAATAATAATAATAATAATACAGTGGTACATCTGGTTACATACTTAGTTCATTCCGGAGCTCCGTTCTTAACCTGAAACTGTTCTTAACCTGAGGTACCAGGTTAGCTAATGGGGCCTCCCGCTGCTGCCACGCCGCCAGAGCCCGATTTCTGTTCTCATCCTGAAGCAAAGTTCTTAACCCAAGGTACTATTTCTGGGTTAGCGGAGTGTGTAACCTGAAGCATATGTAACCTGAAGTATATGTAACCCGAGGCACCACTGTAATTATTATTATTATTATATTATTATTATTATTATTATTATTATTATTATTATTATTACCTGGGAAGCAGCATGGAGGGGCAGGGCATACATTTTGATAATTGTATAAGATCTCATCCATCCACAAGTCACATTTCCATGAGCATTCTCGCCATCTGTGGGAATCTCACTAACCAGCAAAAAAATTAAAACCCAATGAGAGACCTCCTATTAACCACTGGAGGTTATTTAATCAGGAAGAAACTAGCAGATGAACATGAGAAGAATCCAGTTGAAGCAGACCAACGTCCCACCTAATCTAGCATGAGGATCCCACACTAGCCTTGACTATTGCCATTAGCTTTTTTGCTCCGGCATTTGTAAAATCTATTTTTGTGTCCCATGCTTGTAAAAACAATGAGAGCTATTCAAAGCTTGTTTGGCAAGGCTTGGTTCAACTTGGAAGTAATAAATACGCTGGGTTGTATCCAAAGCTGCGTGAGTGGAGTTCTGTTTTCCCAGTGGGACTTACATTTCCTCTTCATTCACCACATGTCCTCAGTCTGCTCTGGAGGGCCACTCAACCCTCCAAAGCTGATTTTGATGGTGCTGGGGGGATCAGGAAAGGAAGAGGAAGTTCCATGCTACACATGGAAGTGGGATATTTGCAGTCAAATCTAACAATGCATAGTAAAGGTAAAAGGACCCCTGACCGTTAGGTCCAGTCGTGGCCGACTCTAGGGTTGTGGCACTCATCTTGCTTTATTGGCCAAGGGAGCCGGCGTACAGCTTCTGGGTCATGTGGCCAGCATGACTAAGCCACTTCTGGCGAACCAGAGCAGTGCACGGAAACACCGTTTACCTTCCCGCCGGAGCGGTACCTATTTATCTACTTGCACTTTGATGTGCTTTCAAACTGCTAGGTTGGCAGGAGCAGGGACCGAGCAATGGGAGCTCACCCCGTCATGGGGATTCTTGTCAATTAGTAAGTCTAGATGCTAACGACCATAGAGCTATAAATATTTAGATACGCGGACATAGACCATAGGAATGCAATCGGTGGAGAGACAATTCTGTTTGATGTCATTCTTCCTGCTTCCAGTGCAGGTGATAAAGGAAAAGCCAGTCCTTTGGTTAATCTGGGCCATTTAGGACTTTAGAGGTGGAAACCAGTGGCATGCGGTCAGTGGACTGGAAGGACTAAGCTCTTCCTTGCATGGACAGGCAGAGTCCCCCAAACCCTGGGCGTCCTCCATGTGGAATAACGACTCAAGACAATGTGCTATGGGATTAAAATTGGCCACAACTTTATTATATTTCAGATGTGGGTAGACCTTGGCTCAGGCATTGGGCACTTATCCTTCCCAGTCCCCCGCCGGGGATCTGGGGAACATCAGGGTTATTTGATGGGGGGGGGATGGGCTGGCTCTGGAGAACATATGTTCAAGCAGAGTCGCAGGCGAGAGCAATGACAACCTCTAGGCGTATGGGCAAAGCCTCCCCTCAAACAACCCCTTTAACGGGGAACCCTGGTATTGCCGCGGCAAAGGAGGGGGGCGTGGGTCACCGCTGCAGCCCCCCCTAATTAGGGAACACAGACGAAAGGCTTGCGCCCAAGGCCTGATACCGCCAAAGTTGTGACGTTTTGCTACGGAAAAGGCAAACCTGCCAATGCAGGAGAATTCCTTTCTGGCCCTTCAACAGCGACCTTGACGTAGCAGCGCCCGCATACCTGTGAAGAAAAGGTTAATCTGCAAAAGAAGCCTTAACTGAGGGTGGGTAGGGTGGGAGAAGCTCTGGAGCCAACTGACGATTCCCAGGTAAGATGCTCCCCCTATTGTGTGGGCAGGTAGTCCCTTCCCCTACCTGGCCTAATCACCTTGGCAACGCCTCCCCAGGCGGGATTGGGCAACTGGCTGAGGTAGGTGGAGACTTCCAGGTATCCCACCTGAGGAAGGCGAAGCCAAGCCTGTGCTAATGGTGCCGCTCCAGATCCAGGAGCTGCGCGCGTCCACGCAAAGGGCGCCCCCCATTTAATGTGGGGAGTGTTGTTGTTGTTTAGTCGTTTAGTCATGTCCGACTCTTCGTGACCCCATGGACCAGAGCACGCCAGGCACTCCTGTCTTCCATTGCCTCCTACAGTTTGGTCAAACTCATGCTGGTATCTTCGAGAACACTATCCAACCATCTTGTCCTCTGTCGCCCCCTTCTCCTTGTGCCCTCCATCTTTCCCAACATCAGGGTCTTTTCCAAGGAGTCTTCTCTTCTCATGAGGTGGCCAAAGTATTGGAGCCTCAGCTTCACAATCTGTCCTTCCAGTGAGCACTCAGGGCTGATTTCCTTCAGAATGGAGAGGTTTGATCTTCTTGCAGTCCATGGGACCCTCAAGAGACTCCTCCAGCACCAGAATTCAAAAGCAACAATGTGGGGAGTAGTCATTCCTAAAGCCCGGGAATCTTTTGCCCAGCTGACAGAAGGAGGTACTATGCTCATATCATATCGTATCTTCTTCTCTTCTTTGGCAAGACATCATGCAGGCGATGTTGCACCGCCCCCCCCCCCCCCGCATTACCCTCACAGGCTGGTACCTCTGACCCTAACGGTTTTCCTGCAAAAAAATTCACCGCATGCCACTGGTTAAACCAGACCTCTGACCTACACCACTGCATGCTGACAGCTTCTAGGATACACAGGTGAGAACTGCTGAGTGCAGGGTGGGTACCAAACCTGGACAATCTACCTCAGATGGAGCACTTTGTGACTCCCGCTAGAAGTGCTGTCCCTCTTTTAACATCCCACACACCCCAGTGACACCTATTTATTCAATTTTTTGCACCAGTGCTTTATTACATTTTTTAAAAATTACGTATAATAATAGCAATAAAGAATAATAGAAACCGAGGATGGTAATTTTCAAAAATACATTATTTTGTAACATCTGTGCTCTCTGGGATAAAGATTCGACTGACTTTCCTTACTTTATCTGAGCAGAGAAAAGCGCATTTTGCTGTTTTCAGCTCAATATTATTATTTTTCTGTAGGCTGACTCATATTCTCCAGTCTTTTGCCCTTAGGGAAGATACTAGGAAATGATGTAATGCCTCAGACATGGGCCTTATTCTGCCTGTATTTTTAGTTACCCTGTATAAGTTGCTTTATAACAGAAGGCAAGCTTCTCTTTGATAACCGAGCTGGTGGAGTGGGACTGAGCACCATTCAGATGGAACTGTGCACTATATGGATGCCCAGATATCCTGGGATTTTCTTGGCGTGCCTTTTTAAAGCATGCAATAGTTTCTACAGTTAGTTACTACAGCTGCGTGGTAAATATTCATTTCCTTACTTAGAGGTGGAAATGGGTTTTAAAAGTCAATTTATGTGAAAGACGTCAACTCCAGGAAATTCACAAAGTTTCCCCTCTCCCCTTACACCTCCAAGAAACCTTTCTGGAGTTTAGGGGCTCTTCTGAGCAGTGGGGTAAGAGTTGGGGCTGAATTGTCCCAAATTAAGTAGGATTACCCAGCTTGAGAAATTCTTCCCTTCCTCTTCACCCTATCCCACATGGTTCAGAACATGGGTAGGCAAACTAAGGCCCAGGGGCCGGATCCGGCCCAATCACTTTCTAAATCTGGCCTGCGGACAGTCCGGGAATCAGCGTGTTTTTACATGAGTAGAATGTGCCCTTTTATTTAAAATGCATCTCTGGGTTATTTGTGTGGCAGAGGAATTTGTTCATTTTATATATTTTTTCAAAATATAGTCCGGCCACCCACAAGGTATGAGGGACAGTGGACCGGCCCCCTGCTGAAAATGTTTGCTGACCCCTGGCTCAAAAGGATCTCCCAAACCTTTGGAGAGACTTTTCCTAGGGTTAAGATGTCTGCAAAGGATGGAAAATGTTTGTTTAGTTGCCTTTTTTTTTATTGGGATGTAGAATAGATTAGAATAATCCAAAACATCCAGAGCTCGTTTTGAACAGAAAGGCTTGAGGTGATAGCAAAGTGCCTGTAGATTTTTGGTCCAAAATGTATAGAATGCTTTTGGAACCACATACAAAGGATGAACAGGTTAAATCTGTAATGATACACTGGGCGAGGGATTTGGGGCATAATATCCAACTTTCAGATTGGGAAAGGTTATGGAAAACTAATTTGAAATTCTCAGCGTGCTGTACATTGAAAGAAAACTATATGAAAATGATGTACCAATGGTACTTGACTCTCAGTAAGTTAGCAAAAATGTGTAAGACAGGTACAAATATCTGCTGGAAATGTAAAGAAAAAGAAGGCACCTTTTATCATATGTGGTGGTCTTGTAAGGTAATAAAAGCATTCTAGGAAATTATATATAATGAGCTGAAAAAGATGCTCAATTTTTATTTAAAACACACTAGAGGCTTTTCTATTCTAGGTGCTGATATTCCAAGGGAGCAAATTAAACTGTTGGACTATGCCCAGATGGCAAAACTGACCGGAAAGCTCAGGGACCAAGAAGACCAAAACTTCAACAAAGAATGGGGAATTTTTATAATTTACCTTGGAGGCCACTGTAAGCAGATGAAAACATTAGCAGGGCTGCAATAACACTCATAATGTAGCAAGTACTATGGGGATAATGGAGTTACATACAACTGAAAAAGATGCAGTAGAAAAGGTTTAATAATAGGACCCACAGAGGGGAAGGTGGGAAGTCCAGAGATTTGGATGTTTATGGTTGTATTGTTATAATTTTATACTTGTAAAATCAAATTAAAATTTTTTTTAAGTGCTCGTAGGTTTTTACCCTGCATAGCCTGATGCTCTGAATGGAAATTAAGAAATTAGATAGTTCCTTTTGAACAGGAGCAGGGAAGGGGGGTAGCCTTGCAGACGGACTCTCCCTGGGGACTGGTAATAGGATAAAGGGCCTTTCACCTCTAGGTCACTGATCTTAATGTGGCCAGAATGCACAGCGGATGAAAGTCATTACCATCTTATGTCTGTTGAGTAGCCTTTGAGGTAGGACTCTTTGTTCTCTCAGAGTCCTTCCAAGTGGCCAGGTGGTCGTGACAGAGAAAATCATTAGAGTCGATCGGTGATATAATTTATGCAATTCGCAGCAGCCTCAGCAAGAGCAACAAATGAACTTGAAAACTAGGCAGATGCTCTTTACTAAGGCAACACATACTGGGTAGATGTAAGGAAACACACAAATACCTGCTGGAAATGTATTTTGTATTTTCTTTTGTTGTAAATATGTATGTTTTCTAATTTGTACTTAATAAAAATTAATTAAAAAAAGAGAGAAAGAAGGTACCTTTTACCACATGTGGTGGACGTGTAAGGTAATAAAAGCATTTTGGGAAATGATATATAATGATTTTTTAAAATGTTTAAAATAAACCAGAAGCCTTTTTTATTAGGAATTGTAGGTACCGTTATCCCAAAGGAGTAGAAAAGACTTTTTATGATTTGAAAGAGTGTTTGGTCCAGGAATTTGTGTCCTGTTGGGATCTAACAAAGGAAGAGGTGGAATCTACAATTGTAAAGGCCTATAGATTTGGACCTAGAGGTAAAAAGGACTCAGAGATTGCATGGTAGTCTTCCAGACAAAGGCTCAAAGAGATAAAATTCTGGGATTGCATTACAAGAAGAATTATGAAGTACAACAACACTCAATTGTTTTGTTTAAAGAAATTCCAAAATTTTTCTTAGCAAAAAGGAATAACTATTTAGATCTTACAAGTGCTTTGAGAAGAAAAAACATCTTTTTTTTTATGGGAATTTCCACAAGGCCTTTCATTTAAATACCAGCAAAGGAAATATCAAATCAGGTCAATTGAAGAAAAGAGAAGATTCTTGGAAAAGAAAGCTAGGGATTTTGGATTTGACACAGGAGCAGGAATTGGTTCAGGGCGTGCAGCTTCTGGAACAGGATCCGAATTTGGGGCAGGAATCGGTCCTTCAGACTATGCCAAAATGGCAAAACTGACTGGAAAGCTCAGGAACCAAGAAGACCAAAACTTCAAGAAAGAATGGGGGGGGAATTATAATTTATTAAGTAGACCACTGTAAGCAGATGAAAACATGAGCAGTAATGTTTGTAACTTGTAATGTAGCAATTATCATGGACAATATGGAGAGATATAAAACATGGATTATGAAATAATGTGCAGTTGAAAAGGTTGACAAAAGGACCCGTGGAGGTGATGGTGGGAAGTCCGGAGATTCTAGAAATCTCTAAATGTGGATCTGTATTTTGTGTTGTTATAACTCTGCACTTGTAAAATCACATAAAAATCATTACACAAAAAAAGGAAACACAGTACAGTGGTACCTTGGGCTACATACGCTTCAGGTTACATACGCTTCAGGTTACAGACTCCGCTAACCCAGAAATAATGCTTCAGGTTAAGAACTTTGCTTCAGGATGAGAACAGAAATCGTGCTCCAGCGGCGCGGCGGCAGCAGGAGGCCCCATTAGCTAAAGTGGTGCTTCAGGTTAAGAACAGTTTCAGGTTAAGAACGGACCTCTGGAATGAATTAAGTACTTAACCTGAGGTACCACTGTATTAGGTGCATGGTAGCAACAAGAGAATTTGAACAGCAATGTACAGAGAACCCAATAGGGACTCATGAAATAACAGCCATTCGAATATTTGCAGTTTCAGTTATGTCTGTCTGGGTTAACTTCATATGCTGAAATTGGGGGTGCATTCCCAGTGGCATCTAATCTGGGTGTCAGCAGAACCAGCCTTTTTTCTTTTCTTTTTGCAGAGCCAGACTTATCATTATATAGGGTAAGACACCTTTCACACCCTATATATGTATACATTGGCTGCGACCACCAATTTCTAGCTGAGGACCATTTCCCCCTTCTCCGTCCCTACCTTGACACTTTGCTCCTCTCTCCATCCCATTAGAGCCTGAAATATTCAGGCCACAATTACCTCCCCTGCTTCAAGCACCTCCTTTGTGATGCATATTAACTTGGGGTTATGTTTCCTTTGTTGGAGGCGTGCGGCTTGTGTCCCAGGAGCAGGTTTGCTTTATTGTTCTTGCAGATCTGTACTGCTGGGTTCAGCTCAGCGGAAGCCATCAAGTTTGTGCCTGACTGATGCTGACCTGGACCACTGCTCAGACCCCCAGCAGATGGTGGTACAGGGTCTCCATCGAGCTGGAACTAATAGCCTACGCTGTTTCTCTTTTTGTTTCTGAAAAGAAGCCGGGCTGTGAGTTGCCCTCCTTTTTGTGACAACAGCTGTATACATGGCAAAAGCTGGCAAAATGCTAACTGTCACTTCAGGGGTGTCTTCGCTGCCGTTAAGAAGAACTCCTGGACAGTCAAAATCTCGTCTGAGCAAATTTGATGCGGATGCTTGCGGTTCTTCACACCGTGAGCTGGGACAGGGGGTAGGAGGCTGGGGATCGCTTCCCAACTCAGGTCCAAACCGACGGATGTTAAAAGGAGAAAGAAATGAAAACCACCACGCGCATTCCCCTTTCCTGCATAATATTTCTTCACAGCTTTAGAAGACCACAATAAACCGTTTCAGCATTAGCTGTGCCTTTTCTCTTTGGGAAGTTATTTGAAAAGCCTGAGGCACTGAATCCATTACTGTCCTGCCAAAAAGCAAAAACGAAGGATTCTCTTGAAAAGCAATACGTATCTCACTTCATTTGTTGTCGTTTCCCTGCCTTACTTCCTGGCAGGACTCAAGGCGCCTTACAACTAAAATAGAAACAACTAAAAATATATATTTAAAAAGCAATAATCAAAAAAACGATTAAACATCAGTGGAATTAAAATATATACACATAACCCTCAGTAGGCTTTAGGGAATAGTTGACTCACATTTAAAGCACATAACTCTCCCTGGACTGTAATTTGTTGAGAATGCTGGAAATGGTAGCTCTATGAGGTGGAAACTTCCCATTTTTTTGGGGGGGGGGGGAGTCATGTGCTTTAAATGTGTGTTGAATATGCTTTAAATGTATACAGTAGATCTGCTAACCAGTGTTGAGATTAACATCCCAGACTAAATTCCATTCTGTGTCCAGTTCTGGGCACCACAGTTCAAGAAGGACACTGACAAACTGGAACATGTCCAGAGGAGGGCAACCAAAATGGTCAAAGGCCTGGAAACGATGCCTTATGAGGAACGGCTAAGGGAGCTGGGCATGTTTAGCCTGGAGAAGAGGAGGTTAAGGGGTGATATGATAGCCATGTTCAAATATATAAAAGGATGTCACATAGAGGAGGGAGAAAGGTTGTTTTCTGCTGCTCCAGAGAAGCGGACACGGAGCAATGGATCCAAACTACAAGAAAGAAGATTCCACCTAAACATTAGGAAGAACTTCCTGACAGTAAGAGCTGTTTGACAGTGGAATTTGCTGCCAAGGAGTGTGGTGGAGTCTCCTTCTTTGGAGATCTTTAAGCAGAGGCTTGACAACCATATGTCAGGAGTGCTCTGATGGTGTTTCCTGCTTGGCAGGGGGTTGGACTCGATGGCCCTTGTGGTCTCTTCCAACTCTATGATTCTATGATTCTATGACTATCTGCTCTAACTCTGTCCTCTGCCTTGGCCTTAGATTTGCCTTAAATTTCCACAAGATTCTGATCACGAATAATGATCTGTTTGTTCTGTAGCACTATAACATGTAATAATTACAATGGTTAAATTCCATAAAATGCCAGGTTAAAAACCTGCACCTCTGTGAATTCCAGATTCTTTCTAGACAGCTGGTGTGTTTGTGTTTGACAGAAGGATTTGGGGGCCACAGAAGAGAAGGGCATTTGAATTGGAAGTGTGTTGACAGCAGCAAAGGCTCCATAATTACTGCAAATGGGTGCTCAGAGCGTGACAGATTTGACAACACCCTTGGCTACAGGAAAAAAAATTTCAGCACCGTAATGAGGTAACTAGTAATCTTTTTTAAACTTCTCCCCCTCAACGCAGTGCTTCTCAGACTATCTGGCTAGTAAAGCCATCTTCCCTCCTGCAATGTGCAGAGGAGCAATATCACATTTGGTCCCTGAAGCTTCCCACCCAACCTGGGCTGTGGTGGGGTCACTGAGGACTGGCAGACCCATTCTGCAGACCACCACTTTGAGCAGTGCTGCACTAGTAAGATTCTCCAACTGCGGTGGTTGCCATAGTTCTCAAGAGACAATGGCGTGAAATCAAACTGCACCAAAGTGACCTCATCAAGGTGCAAGCCTGGGCAGTTTGTATGGAGGTCATGGGCTACCCAGAAGACAAGAACCCCCTCTTGGCCTTGCTGATGGGGTCCAAAGGAAAGCAGAGCAAGATGTTTGTTTGGTGTTTTTTTAATGATATTGAAAAAAAAAATTTTTTTTAAATTACACAAAAAAAAGACAAGACAGAAAAAATAAATAAAAAATAAAACCATCATTCTCAAATTCTCCCCTTTCAATACCTTCTTTCTTTGACCTCCTCCTCCTCCCTTTTCTTGTATCCTGATTAATAATAATCGCAGCAAATCCTTTCCATAATTCATAGTATTCTGTCATTACATTACCTTAATCTATTTTCATCTTATCTTATAGAAAACCTTAAAGTTTAAAACTTAAATCTTATTTTTACCAACTTCTCCTAACCATAACATTCTTACCAAATTCTTTAGACATTTTTACAAGAGCCAAGTAATTTCATTTCAACATTTTTCTAGCATTCATCAATTTTATAGAACAATCCTAATGATAATAATAAAAAAAGAAATAAACAATCCAATCTTCATCCAGCGTCCCTTCCTCCTGGTCCCGGGTTTTGTCAGTCCTTTTTATCCTATTAATCTAGCACATTAACCTGGTAATCTTATATCCGAGGTCCTCAAGTCTCTTCCATGTCCCTTCCGCAGCTCTTCTTCATATTTTCCTTTCATTCGTGGGAACTCCAGCTTAGTAATATTTTTGACCCTTTTCAACAAATCAGCCCCTTTTCCATAGTCCAGACTAGACTCCATGTGGTATTTAAAAACATGTTTCAGATTCCCTCCAAAATTGAGAGCCCCCACAGCTCCAAACATCTGACGGCCCATTGCCAGACTCGAAAAGTCCAAATCTCCTGTATAGGGGGTCTGTCCAACCCCCATTTCCAAACCAAACCAAACTTTATCTTTCCAAGTCTGGTTTTTCCAAGTTCATTTGTCAAATCAAAAAATTTATGTTCCTGCTGGGCCGCAGCTCCCTCCGTCTCTGGCGCCCAAGATTCAGCAGCATCCTCTTCTCTCAGCTGTTCTGTCATGGCACACTCCTGTTTTAGCTCCTGGGTGGGCTCCATATAATTTCCCACTACCTGTTCAAAGGTTCTGGCCGCATTAGTCATCAAATCCGTCTTCTGGCTTAACTGATCCAATAGGGCATTTATTTTGCAGAGAGCCAGAGCAAGATGTTTGGCTCCAGCTTGGCTGCAGGAGTTGCTGGAAGGAGAAGTATAATAAGAAGAGTTTGGATTTGATAACCCGCTTTATCACTACCCTAAGGAGTCTCAAAGCGGCTAACAATCTCCTTTCCCTTCCTCCCCCACAACAAACACTCTGTGAGGTGAGTGAGGCTGAAAGACTTCAGAGACGTGTGACTAGCCCAAGGTCACCCAGCAGCTGCATGTGGAGGAGCGGGGAAGCGAACCCGGTTCACCAGATTACGAGTCCACCACTCTTAACCACTACACCATGCTGGCATCTGGCTTCTAAGGCACCATCCAACTGTCTTAGGGTCTCCACTCTGGATTTGTGTAGTGTTAACTCCTTAGCCTTTTCTTCTCCACAAGGTAGCAGAGGTTTAAGAGCAGAGTTTTCCTTCTCCTAGATGAGTGACCTTTCCAGGTTGATGAGTTCCATCTGCCCCTTGCTTCCCCCTACAGCACATGCAGAAACCACCTTCTTGGCCTTTGGACAAACTCTTAGTCTTGTTGACTCATGTCTTTGCAATGCAGGGGAAGTCCCCGACTCACTAAACGTTTGAGACCCATTGGAAACATTCTTTCATATGTGGGGGACTTGTAAAAGGGTAAGAGTATTGGGAAATGATCCATAATGAATTGAAAAAAAGTTTAAAAGTACCTTCTCAAAAAGGGACGTGGGTGGCGCTGTGGGTTAAACCACAGAGCCTAGGACTTGCCAATCAGAAGGTCGGCAGTTTGAATCCCCGCGAAGGGGTGAGCTCCCGTGGCTCGGTCCCTGCTCCTGCCAACCTAGCAGTTCAAAAGCACGTCAAGGTGCAAGTAGATAAATAGGTCCCGCTCTGGCGGGAAAGTAAATGGTGTTTCCATGCGCTGCTCTGGTTTGCCAGAAGCGGCTTAGTCATGCTGGCCACATGACCCGGAAGCTGTACGCTGACTCCCTCAGCCAATAAAGTGAGATGAGCGCCGCAACCCCAGAGTCAGTCACGACTGGACCTAATGGTCAGGGGTCCCTTTACCTTTACCTTCCCAAAAAACTCAAGAGTCCTTCTTTTGGGGATAATTCAGGCTGAAATTCCTAGGTGTCCAAAAAGTTTATTTATGTATACTACTCCTGCGGCCCATGTTTTGTTAGCTCAAAAATGGAGAATGAGCGAGGTCCCAACCAAAGAAGAATGGCAACTCAAGTTGACAGAATATGCACAACTCGAAGACTTAACATATAGAGTAAGAGAATAAGAAGAACATATGTTTAAAGAAGATTGCGAAATGTTTGGCAGCATTAAGATAAATTCAACAGTGTAAATAAGTTTTGATGGATGTAATAATGGAATACTGAATGGTATAGTTTTTTTGTAAAATATGCAGGGATTTATGATATGTAAAATGAACCATGGAAAGAGAAGAAGGGGAGTCATTGATATCTTAAGGATGTAAAACGAGTATTTTAAAAGGACCCCTGGATGGTTAAGTCCAGTCAAAGGCAACTATGGAGTGCGGTGCTCATCTTGCTTTCAGGCCAAGGGAGCTGGCGTTTGTCCACAGAAAGCTTTCTGGGTCATGTGGCCAGAATGACTAAACCGCGTCTGGCACAACGGAAACACAGCAACAGAAACCAGAGCGCACAGAAAAGACGTTTACCTTCCCGCTACAGCGGTACCTATTTATCTACTTGCACTGGTGTGCTTTAGAACTGCTAGGTTGGCAGGAGCTGGGGCAAAGCAACGGGAGCTCACCCTGTTGCGGGGATTCAAATCGCCGACCTTCCATCAGCAAGCACAAGAGGCTCGGTGGTTTAGACTACAGCACTACCTGCGTTCCTTACCTTTAAGCAAGTAACCAGGTTGCATACCTGCTCTGAGAGTGACTGAAAAATCCAATCACACCCAGCATAACAATAAGGCAGAATTACTACCTGCTTTTCCCATTGAGTCTCATTCAGAGTTAAGAGCAATGAATCCTGCATATATGCAGCAGGAACTTTCCTTGGCAGACAAAGACTTGGGGCTTGCATCAGATTTATTTTGTGTGCCCTGCAGTTTGAGAAATTCTTCCAGGGCAAATGCTTTTTTCAATTACAAGCAAATATTCAAATGAATAAATGCTAGTTGTGTGTGTGTGTGTGTGTGTGTGTGTGTGTGTGTTGGGGTGTGTGTGTGATGTTTGAAATGTATTAAAGGCTGACCTATTTTTTTCCAACATGTTTTCATCCCAGTTGGATTTAAGGCACATAAATTAAAGGCCCCTTAAAATTATCACCTAGAGACAGTTTATGGCAAAAATCCAGAAGCCATTCATAGCTGAACTGAAGCAGCATGAGCCCAGAGGGAGGGATACCTATTTTCAAAAAGAGAACTTAAAAGGATTATGGATTGTTTCATGAACTTTAAATAGAGGATTTGCAAAAGTCCACTGAATGCAGGAAATGTTCCTTGAATGGAACCAACTTCAGTAATGCAGGTACAACAAAGAGCGAGAAAAACTTTCATTTTATTCATTTTATATATTTACACCTCACCCTTAAAATAGAGGGAAAATCGAGGTTGGTTAGCTTGCCATAAATAGAATTGGTTTTAGCACAGTTCACATATATAGGAGAAATGCAAGTTTTTTCACAGACATTACACAAATTAGCACGTCTTTTTTTTAAACACAAGTGTATTGATAGTAATTTGAATGCAAAACCCCCATATTTTTTAATGTATTTAAACACAAACCCACACACCTTTCACTTTCTCCTCGATTAATAGTATTAAAAGTTATTTTCTGCTCCTCTTAAGCTTGGGGAAATTTCTCCCCAGAGAGGCTCACCTGGTGTCTTCGTTATATATCTGTAGGTGCCAGGCTAAAATATTTCCCTTCAACCAGACGTTTGTCTGATGAACATTTATGGCTTTTTTAATGTGTTTGTGGAGCTTATTGGTTTGTTTTTGTTTTACGATGTGTCCTGTGTTCTCATTTTGTATTTTTCTGTTGTGAACAGCCCCAGGGTTTTCAAATGACGGGCGGCAAACAAATCTAAAAATAATAGTAATAGCAAAATAAAGTGAAAGTCAAGTCCTTCCGCCTTAAGTGGAAATGGTAATTATATTGAGGGTCCAATGGAATGAATATCATGAGAACTAGTAAATTCTTATCTGCTGCAGCCTTCATCTGCCTTACCAGCCATTGTAATATACCACTTGTTATCCTCCACCTATCTTGCAATTGAGGACTTCTTGGATCATTCTTTGTCTAGCTCCTCCCCTTTGACCTTACCGCCTTGGGTGACCCTACTGGGAGACTCCCAAGGGCTTCGCTCACAAGGGTCATAGGAACGTGCAAGCCCACTCACCACAACAAGGTGATGATCCAGCGAGTTGAGTTTGGGGTGGGTTTTTGGAAGAAGCAATGGTTCTTCTACATCTACTCTGTTGGACTGGTCATGTTGTGTGGATGCCTGTGCATCGTCTTCCAAAGCAACTACTCTATTCCGAACTTAAAAATGGAAAGCGTAATGCTGGTGGTCAACAAAAGACTCTCTCAAGGCAAATCTAAAAAAATGTAGTATAAACACTGACAATTGGGAAACACTGGCTGTTAGTGCTCCAATTGGAGAACAGCCTTTACCTAGGTGTCATGGACTTTGAAGATGCTTGAACTCAGGATGAAAGGGAGAAACTTGATAGGAGGAAGGTACGTTTAGCAAACCCTCACCAAGATCAACACCAAGCCGGAAACCTATTTCCCCACTGTGGAAGGACGTGTGGATCCAGAATTGGCCTCACAGTCACTTACGGACTCGCTGTTAAGATTGTGTTCATTGAAGACAATCTTACTCGGCTAGGAGTGATTGCCAAAGAAGATGATATTGAGGATCGCTGCCCATGCCCAACTGAGCTCACTCTCCCTATTGCAACCAACAAGGCTGACTTAGAGGCAATTCATCAGTGACCCAAATGATGCACAACGCATGCAGGCTTACCCAAATGTAATTAAAAACCAGTTAATCCAATTTTTTAAAAATGCACCGGGGTAGTCTGTGGTAACCTGAGGGGAGGGATGCAAAATGCACATTTAAGAAACACACACAAAGGAGCCTTTTGTTTATTTAAGCTCCTTCACATTCGTTGTTGGCTTCCTTCTCTCTCCCTAAAACACCTCACGCCGCTGCCTCCATGCCCGCAATTTGGAGTCCACTCCTTCCCGCCACCCTTCATGCTGTCTGAAATGGTCCCATCCGATATAGACATGGAAGCATGGGAATGACTGTGGAACATGGATATAAAATTTACAGCATGTTATGGTCTAAGAGAAAATTATATGAAAACGATACATTGATGGTATCTAACACTGAGTAAATTGGCAGAAATGTATAAATCTAAATCAAACAAGTGTTGGAAATGTAAAGGTAAAGAAGGTTCTTTTTATCATATGTGGTGGTCTTTTAGTAAGATTAAAGCTTACTGGGAAATGATATATAATGAAATGAAAAGGATGTTTAAAATAATGTTTGTAAAAAAACAACAACAGCCCCAGAAGCTTTTCTTTTGGAAATTATAGGGACAGAACTACCAAAATTGTATAAAAACTTATTCATGTATGTGACTACAGCGTCAAGAATGCTACTTGCCGCAAAATGGAAAGAAGCAGAAGTCCCAGCAAAGAATGGATGCAAAAACTTATGAAATATGCAGAAATGGCAAACTTGCCAGAAGAAGAATAAATCAAGATATTTTTTATATATATAAAGGAATGGAAATGGTTTATGGAATATTTACAGATAAATTGTAAACAGATATTTGCAGGATTGTTGTAATAACATGCAGTTTCATAAGAGTATGTATTTAAAGAAGATGAATAAATGAGCAAATTAAGTTAATTTGGAATATGCAGAAGATATTAAAAATAAATTTAAGGAACAGCAGAAAGAAGGGGAAGGAGGTCAAGTTTTGAAATGTCAAAATGATTGTAAAATCAGTGAAATCCTATAAACCTAAAAAGTATATATATATTTTTAATGAATGAATGAAATGGTCTCGCCCGCGGCCCTACGCGAATGGTTCGGTCCGTTCTCTCCCCCGCCGAAGCCTCTGCGCTCGCTCGGTCAGGCGTAAAGGGAATCCCCCTCCTGCCCCTCCTTCTTCCTATGATCGCCCTTCTCGCGATATCCTTTCTCCGCTGCCCTCGAACAGGTCTCGCGAGTCTTCGGGCCGAGTTCCCACGCCTGTTGTGTCTGACTTCTGAGACGGGAGAGCGACACAGACCCCCGTCAGTGTGTGTGCGCGTAAGTGACGTGAGCGAGTGGGCGGGGATTTCCGCACGCCCCGCCCCCTTTTCGCTCCTTTGCGCTTGCGATAAGCTTGTCCTCTCCCCCGCGCGCGCGCGCGTGCGCGCTGCTGGTTCCGCTGGGAGGCGCGCGCGCGCGTGTGCGACGGCTACCTCGCCTCCCTTCTCGCGAGAGTAGGAGTTTTAGCGAGAGTTTGTGGAAGATGGCGCCTGTTGTGACAGGGTGAGTGCGGGGGGGGGGGGGTGGCTCTCTCGACATAGTTCCTCAGGGGCCCGTTTCCTTCCCGTCCCTCAGCCGGCCTGCCCGGCTCTCGCCCCTCTGCCGCCCGTTCCTCGAGCTCCGGATTCGGGTGGGGTCTCCTTTCTCCTCACGACCGCTGCCGCTTCTCCGGTTGCGGGGGAACCGGAACGGTGCTGGTGGTGGTCGGTGGTGGTGGTGGTTGTGGGGAGGCCGAGTCGCATGGGCCCCTCGACGGGCCGGGGGTCCGGGTGGCGGGAAAGTCCCGCCTCGAGCCTCGTCGCTGTGGGGAAGCGCTTCTCGGCGCGCGGAGCTCGTCGCTGTGGGGAGAAGCGGGGGGCTTCTGTGGGGAGAAGAGGCACAACACCCCCACACGTGAAAACTGGTCCTGCGTGTCTCCGGCTCAGTGGTGTTAACACCCCCCCCCAAAAAAAGGAGAGGGGGTAAAAAGCGCTCTGGAGTAAAAGTCACTTCAGGGGCTCTGAGGAACTTGGCACGTCTGCGCGGCTCTTGACTGCTTTTATTTCGGGGGTGCATCTTACCCTCTGCCTTTCTGCCTTATGCAAGGAGGAATTGCATCGCGTTGCCTTGACACTTGCGTGGTGCTCGCGTTGGTGGTGCCTGGAATGAGGCGCAGACCGCCCCCCCCCAAGTGAGAGCTGTCACTTCAAGCCCCCACCAATGCCCTGCATGGTTAAGCTGTCCTCTTGTGTGTTGCATTGCATAACTAACTTCCCCAGCTTCCTTGCAGTGCCTGAGGTTGTTGCGTGAAGTTGGTTGGATTGAAAGCAAAGGCTTCCGTATCTTTGCTTTGTGGTGTGCGGTTAATGGGAACGTCCCCCTAGGTGAGTTGAGCTTTGGGTCTTAGTGACATACTGAGCATGTTCCGGTTTTCCTTGAAGGGGCCCTAACTCTTACTCTCAGGGTTGTGGTTTTGAGCCCTACAATGGGCCAAAGGTTCCTGCCTTGCAGGGGGTTGGACTCTCAGAAGCTGATGATGCCTTTTTGTGTTGCTTCACGAGGCCCTCCAGTCTTTATTAAAGGTTGCTGCGGCATATCACACTTGTGCTTGACTTAAGTTATGGGCTGCCTTCTGGCAACAGCATCAGTCCATTGGGGCTTAGAGTTAGCCTTCAAGGTAGCCGGTGTCATTTAGGTCACATGATTTCATTGAAAACAAATGATGCTTTTTGGTGATTGGGTAGGAATTTGTTGTATAGAGATTTCTGGTGTTCAGACATTACAGAAACAATCTCCTGTTCCAAACTCCGAATGTGTCTGCAGTCTTACGCTATAATTTGCGAAGTGAAAGTATACCACCTCTAATAATTATGGAATTTACTTCTACAAAGTGTCTTTAAGATTAGTGTGCTGATAGCTTGATTGAAAATATCAGAAAAGTCCTTCAATAAAATCACTTTCTAATATGCTTTAGTATCACAGTATGCAACTAATATGTTGCTCCCTTCCCCTCCAAAGAAAGCAGGAATTGTTTCTTACAAATTTCAAATTATTTAAGGTTTTAGAGTCGGGGTGTCAAGATGAAAGTAGGCTTGGACTATTTGATTCAGCTATTCTGTGGTTTATAGATTCTTTTTATTCTGGTCATGTATTCATGGTACGCTTTTTTACTGTTGAGTATAAATTGCTCCTAACATTCTGAACTGAAAAGTAGTTCCTTCTAGCTTTAGATTGTTACAAATTCAAATTGCTTGTAAGTGAAGGCAAGGTAAATGTGTTCCTCAGGATCTAGTTCTCTGCTTGAATAAGTATCGAGTATTGCACTGAATAGTTAATTATTATGATGTTAATATTCCTAGATCTGACACAAAGTTAACATCAAAAATCTTGTGGAATATGTTCTTCTGTCAGAATATTGAAAAGTCATAAAAAGTAGTACCTTGCTAATTGAGAGCTACTGTTTTGTGCAGACAGAATTTGACTTCTTTCCCACCCTGTTCTTCACACTTTGGGCCTCTTCTGGCTGGATCTTAGTTGCTGCTTTATCACTGTAAAAATAACTTACATATTATTGGGCACTTTGTCATACATAATTTAATATTTTATGTAACACTTCCATTGTGCAGATGCTATGCTGAGACCATTATTAGAGACATAGGTATCATTTTCTTAAGCAGCAGTGCAGCATATTTGGAGAAAATTTGATTGATGGGAGGCTTTGAAATTTACTTTGAAACCTAAGGAGAAATTCCATCCGGTGAAAAATAATGCATGGCAGATACACACTTAAGAGGGACGATGGCACCAGCAGGAATATGGGGGGGGGGTCATTGCCATGCTTTTATAGGATGAACAGCATGCATTCATATCCAAGGATTTAATTTGGTGATACCACATTTTTATAGGGACGTGGGTGGCACTGTGATCTAAACCACAGAGCCTAGGGCTTGCTCAGAAGGTTGCTGGTTCGAATCCCTGCAATGGGGTGAGCTCCCGTTGCTTGGTCCCTGCTCCTGCTAACCTAGCAGTTCGAAAGCATGTCAAAGTACAAGTAGATAAATAGGTTCTGCTCCGGTGGGAAGGTAAATGGCGTTTCCGTGCGCTGCTCTGGTTCACCAGAAGTGGCTTAGTTATGCTGGCTACGTGACCCAGAAGCTGTACACCAGCTCCCTCGGCCAGTAAAGCAAGATGAGCACCGCAACCCCAGAGTCGTCCACGACTGGACCTAGCGGTCAGGGGTCCCTTTACCTTTACCTTTTTCTAATCAGTGTTTGTTTGAATACTGTACCCTCTGTAAACTTGTGGAAACAACAATGAAGAACTTCGACAGGTTGCAGAGAGAAGAGGGACATTTGGAAGCTTAGAAAACTGCTTTGCAATGTGAGGTTCGTGCGGCAAAATATTCCTATGGCAATCGTTCAACTGTACCCTATAAAGCAAGGGTGGGCTGAAGGTAGATCAAGATCTACTGGTAGATCTTCGACTGATTGTCAGGGTTTTGTACTTTCAGTTGTTTAACAGTACCAGCAAAAATTAGTTTCTTTGCTAAATTAAGACTGCTGAAATAAATAAAAGTAACCGGGAATGTATTTTTGCAGGAAAGGGTTAAAATATCAGTGTTGTTTTGGACTGAAAACCAATTCCTAGGTTTCGAATGTGCTCAGAAGCATCCCCCTATTTTAAAAAAACAACAACCCTATGTCTCTCTTGCACCTAGCTCTCTTGAGTAGATCTTGTGGCGCTAACAGAGAGCAAAGTGGACCCAACAAACCTCAAGTCTGTCCACTCCTGCTCTAAAGTATTTGAAGACATGGTATATTTGAGGATGGACTCTTCTGTATTCCTTTTCTAGTGGCCCACCAGTCATTTATCAGCAACGAAACAGCTTCCTCAGTGGAAGGGGATTTGGAAGCAAAGAAATAATATGAGAGTGCAAGTATTACTTCTCCTTGCCTCTATCTGTCATCAGGCAAGTTGACTACCTGCCCCAAATAAAAGTACAACTTGTGCATATATACAGGTAGAGGGGGTGACAGCACACAGAGATGAAGGGCACTGGACTCTGTCAACTGTGCTTGAAGAGTTAACACCTGAAAGAGTAACCAGATTTCTAAATGTCCCAAGTGACGGAAGTTTGATACTGGTAAGCTTGTAAGAGACTGCTTAGAACAAAAAATTATCGCTGTAAACTTGTGATGTGTTGCTTGTAAAAGTTGCCTCTCTGATCAGAATACTGTATTAAATTGGTTTACTTCCCCCCCCCAAATAAATCTTGACTTGGTTCAGGTTTTTTTAAAAAGACATTGGTTTCTTCTTATTTATTTAACCAATTTATAAGCCACTTGATCCTTTACACATCTATATGAAACTCATACAAAAATGTCTCATAGTTTTTTAGAGACTGCCAAGTTTGTAGAGTAGATAGTGCTTTGTAGCCTTTTAAGTATTGTCCCACATTTGTAAAAAAGTCTTACATGGCAAATATGAATTCCTTTTGTGTGAAGAGGTAAGAAGGCTTCTATAATCTGGATCAGTAGTTCTGTGTTTTCTCAGGCTGTTGATACATCACAGATTACTTATACTGCCATGTGGAGGCAAGCAGGTAGGCTTGTAATTCTTGTGGGGTTGTTTGCGAGCCTTTATCAGGGCATATAATGGTTTGTGTCCAGTGTATCTAAGAAATGTCCTCCTTCTTTATGTTCTGTCTTGCACACCAAGATTTATCAAGAGTATTTTACTGACTGAATTAATTTTGTGCCGTGGAATCAGGGTGTTTATAAAGAGTTTAATTGCTTGACTCATAACTAGGAATCTCTTCTTCCTAGACATTTATTGGAGCCTAAACTGAGGATTTTTCAGAAATACTAAGTAAGTCTTCATCATTATTGTGTCTGCTATTTGATAGTTGAGGTTAGGTAGCACAGAGTCTATTTGCATGTATTTACTTTCTGTTATAAAACCCCATTACAAGTTGGATTGACTGTGAATTAAGTTTGGCTACCCACTGAGATTTGTAGTTGGTCATGCTAAAAATGTGAATAAACAAATAAGCACCTCTGTTTTTTATTCAAAGGGAATGGTTAGGAAATTGGCTGTACAGTACTACAAGTGTTGATTACTTGGTATCTTACTGTGTTTAGGCACTGTACAGCTATTGAATATATTCCTGAATATAATAACAGTAAAACAAATGAATGAAATAAGATGATGTGCTAAAAAGAGTGGATTTGATAACAGCAGTAGTTGTGGGATCCACAGTATAAACTTACTACCAAACTTATAAACTTTTCTGTCTTCAAATGTAGATAATTTTTATCATTGAAAAATATGATAGTATTACCTGTTTGTTTCTGCATTTGGAACAAAACTTTGTGAACAAAAATATATTTACACAATCCTTTGAAATTCTGACCTTAAATCTTCTCTCCAGTAGCATAAGTCATGAGCCATTGCTTTCACAGTTAATTTGGTATAGGCTTCCCTCCCCACTTCCTATTAAACAGTACAGAATGGGGAGGAATTAGCAAAAGCGGGGGAATGGGTTTGTGGCTGATCTTAGTGTGGCTTTAGAAAAAAATAACCGAACTATTGTCAAATGAAGTAGATTCAGTTCCCCACTGAAGCTGGGTAACTTTTATATGCATCTTATAGGTTATCATCAGTGTTAGAAACTGAGATATGAAAGCTAGCAGCTAAATGGCACCTTAAACCTAGGTTATGGGCGCAACAATGGAATGTCTAGGCACACTTCTTTTACAACAAGAATACAAAGCTGAAAATGAATGAACAGCTAAAATCTTAATATTCATTTTTCACATGCTCTAGTCCTCATCTGAAGACTGCAAAAAAAGAAAGCCATGCTTCCCCTGTCCACCTCCCTAATATTCTTAAGAGGGTCTCTCCTATAGTCTGCAGAGAGTGACTGGAAGTGGAGAGGCAGAAAAAGACCCTCCTTTCCTTCCACTCTGCAGTTTTAATCTGAAATCTTAGGCACAGTACTGCGACCAGAGATCAGAAACTGCTCACGCTAATGAAATTCCTTGTCGCAAAATGTGCCTAGAACGCTGGTTATCATGATATTCATTTTAGAAAGCTCTTTATGAACTTTTATATTTATTAAATGCTGTAAAAACTAGGAAGCGTTATAAGGAAAGCTTTCCTGAGGGAATAGAGAACAGAACAGACTGTTAGATTACCTGATTAAAGAGAGGGGTATGAATGGAGCAGGCAAGAGTATATGTATGCTTTTCATTAGCATCTGAGAAGCAAGGTGGCAGCTGTTGGAACAAAGTTTTTGAACTCAAGTGATATACATTCTTGTGTGTCGTTGCACATCATCTCGGGCACTTAAAAGTGGATTGGTAATTCATAAACACAATTAACATCACCTTGCCTGTTCTGCTGCTTCTAGTTATTGTTGTCATTGGTGATTTAGATTGGCAGGTGTTGTCATAATGAACTATTATTTCTTTTGTCTTGTTCTTTGGATTGGTAATCTTAGTTGGTGACTAGAGACTAGGTTTTGTAACCTGCTATGGAAAGCTCTTCAGTGTTTGACTTAAATAGCTTCTGGAATGCTCAGGCAGGTTACACCACATAAAACCAGCAGGAAACATGCTCTCTCTAATTTACTGTTCAGAATTTGTACTAATAAATGTATTCACCATTGTGAAGCAATCCTTAAAAAAATTACTCTTCTGTATTGCCTTGTGCCATGTTGAAGTAGTGATCACTCTAAGACACTGGGGCAAGAAGTATGCTTATAAGTATAAAGTGCACAAGCTATTTAGAGCTTTTTAATTTAAAACCATCACTTTAAAACATGCCTGTTGTGTGTCTTTGAAGAATTGTGTTAGCTAATTAGGATTCTGAAACATTCCATTATATGTACAACATTAATATTACTTTATGTTGCAAGAGTGGAAATATGCGCAGGAGCTAAGAAACCTTAGGATTTTGGTCATAATTGGATGGTAGAACCTGGATGTCAACTCTGAATTACTGATTATCACATTGCTCTGTTTTTAAATACAAGCTGTAGAAATTAGAGGGTTCCAGGTGTGTGCCTGGGATGGTACACACCAATCCATTAAAATAACACTTTAATACAAGAAAATCATAAAACCAAAAATATTAATAGAACAAGGGTCAGAATATCAGGAGGTTACTAAAAATATAATAATTCAGCAGCAGCCTAGCTCTTTGAGTAATCATTTCTATAAGCCTAAGAATACTAATGCATCACAATATGATGCCTAAAATCAGCTAGCATAAGGAACAATCTTATCCCCATGGAGAAGGAATTCCATACCTCTTGTGCCACAACAGATAAGCCCTGCTCTTCATAACTACACTGCAGAAAATAGCTGTAAATAGAACTATGGGAGTAGGGTCTCTTCCAGATCTTAAGCCATTGGTTGGTAGGTACTAGGGGAGCTGTATAGAATTTTATAGACAAATGTTAGTACCTTAAATTTGACTCAGTAGCAAATAGGCAGACAGTTCAGGTATCAAATAGGCAGTCAGCAGCCTCTTCTGCACCACCTGCAGCTTCTGGACAGACTTCAAGGAAAGTCTCACAAAGAGCACATTGCAGTAGTTTAAATGAGAGGTTACCAGAGTATGTATTAACATAGCTGAGCTATCAAAGTCCAGGAGCAACTGTAGCTGGGGAACAAGTCAGAGCTGGACATATACAGTCCTTGCCATCTGGGCTTCAAGGACATATGCAGTCCTTGACGCTATCTGGGCTTCAAGTGATAGCAGTGTTTTGCCAAGAGCTATTTACCTGCTCCTTCACGGTGAGTACAACTCAGTCCAGAAAGGGCACTCTACCCAACTCCAGATGCAGGTGGGGCTGTGGTCTAAACCACTGAGCCTCTTGGGATTGCTGATCAGAAAGTCGGCGGTTCGAATCCCTGCAAGGGTGTGCTCCCGTTGCTCTGTCCCAGCTCCCACCAACCCAGCAGTTCAAAAGCACGCCAGTGCAAGTAGATAAATAGATACCTCTGCGGTGGGAAGGTAAACAGCATTTTTGTGTGCTCTGGTTTCCGTCATGGTGTTCCATTGCGCCAGAAGCAATTTAGTCCTACTGGCCACATGACCTGGAAAGCTGTCTGTGGACAAACGCCTGGTCCCTCAGCCTGAAAGCGAGATGAGCGCCTCAACCCCATAGTCACATTTGACTGGACTTAACCATCCAGGGGTCCTTTACCTTTATGTTTTTACTGATGACATAGTACTTCAGATCCCGGGATGACAAACTTTAAAAAGCATTGGGGACAAAATAGTACCCTATGGAACCCCACAGCACAAGTGCTGGGGAGCTGAGCTGCTACAGTCTGGTACTGGTCCTGCAGATAAGAAGAGTAGAGCCCTGTATTGTGGTGCCTCTAGCTCCTAATCCACAGAACTCATGCCAGTCAGTATTATGGTTGGTTCTTTCAAAAGCTGATGAGAAGTCAAGGAGAACTAGCACGGTCTCACTCTCCTGATAAAAAGGTCACCAATCGGGGTGACCGAGGCCATTTCCATGCTGAACCTAGGCCTGAAGCCAGAATGAAATGGGTCTAGATAATCTGCTTCATCCAGACACACCTGGGACTGACTAATCACTACCTTCTCAATCATCTTGCTCCCATAAGGGACATTTTTGACTGTGTGGTAGTTACCTAATATCACTATATCCATGTAGGACCTCCTGAGAAGGAGCCTCACCATCTCCAGAGCAATTGGCTGCACCCTCTTCACCATAGAGAATCAATCACCCCTTAGACCCACTCTCAAGTTGTTCCTGGGTGGTTTTTATTTGCCATAATGGACTTAATTTTTTCAAATTGCTACTGTCTTCATGTCTTAAGAGGCCTTGGAGTGACTAACAATAAATTTATTTATTTTTAAATACTATTCTGAAAGTGCTGGGAAAATATTTATAATCATTTCTGTAGTGGGATCTTGAAGAATAAGTTAAACAGGCTTAGGTTAAAATAATTTTTGGTTTTTATTGGAGCTTGCTTTTGCTGATATTCTGTCTTCCTTTGGTGTCTAAGCTCCCCCATCTGGCAACACGTTGCACTTTTCTTGGCTTTCTGCATCTGACAGTGGTTGGTAGCAAATTCCTTTCTATAATATTACATTACTGCACCACCACGACCACAGGAAACCTGTTAGGTTTCCAAGCACTTTTAAGAGCTTAGTGAAATATTTGGATTCGGGTGAGAGGATGAGCTGCTCCAATGCTGGATTAGTCATGCAGCAAGGTGAAATGACCTGCTTCAGGTGGTACTGGGGAGGTCGCAGGTAGATGAAGTCAGGAATTAGTGTCTGTCTGTCTGGTTTAGAATTTTTTGTTTAAAGTATTGGTCCTAGAATGGGGCCTGTGCCTGGATAGCTCAGTTGGTTAAAGAGTGGTACTGATACTGTAATGCCAAGGTTGCATGTTTTATCCCTGTATGGGACAGCTGTATGTTACTACACTGCAGGGGGTTGGACTACATGGTCCTGAGGATCCCTTCCAACTCTAAGATTGTATGATTCTTTGATTTCCAATTAATTTCAGCCAGCAACATGTGTTAAGACATTCCTGGACAGCTGGCGTTTTGTTTTTAGACAGGAATCCCCTTCCTGTCTGTCTGGGTTGACATTAACCCCTCATTCAGATAGAGACATGTGCTGTCTTGTTCCAGCTGCACTTAGTGACTGCTTGTTGCTATGCAATTCCTGGGTTTCCAGTCAGCTGGGTACAGCAACAAGGTGTAGGAAGCAGGTGATTAACAGCTGATCAGAATGGTGTACTGCGCCCAGGGAGGGAAGGGTAGGGTTAAGCACAAGTGCCGCCCCATTTCTGTGCGCCATAGAAAATGGTGAATTTTGTGGAAACATTTCAGCTGCTGTGGATCCTTTTTCTTTAGCTTAAAAAAACTTTGCAGCTACAAGTGGAGCTCCTCTCAGTAGCTGGCAGGTGGTGGCTGCTAGTTTCCTTCTTCAGAAAGTCCTGGATGCATTAGCCACTTGCTTATTTGTGAAAGCTTGTCCCCCCCCCCCCCGAAATTCCTAGAATGATACTGCATTCAGGAAAGTTGGGGGAAGTGTGTTGACAGGTGGGGGTGCGGGAAGCTAAAGAGAAGAGCTCTGATATTGCCACTGTTTTTACACAATATTTTGAATGAATTTAGAATTACTGAGCATGGCATGTCATTATTGGTCCATTTACCTTTATGTGCTAAAGGCTGTTACCTACAGCAAAAGTTGAATACGGGAAAATAAATAAGTATTGTCATTTTAAACATTTCTGGAATTTAAAAATATTTATCTGGGTGAACAACATGGATTAGAAATTCATGAAATTATTATCGGATATATTGGTTTGCTTATACAAGTACTACCACTTCAGACCAATTTTAATTATTTCATTCAAACATTCATTTACTTTTTTGGGTCATGACTTGAGTGTAGATGAATTATTTGATTAACTTGGGTGCTTTGTCTTGAAAAAATGCAATTGTTTCTGGTTGGAGCAGTGTGCGCTCTCTGCCTTGGGCTGAATTGTAGCATGAATGAGGTGGCAAAGCTTTTGGAGTTCACTGGAACTTCTACTGCCACTTTTTAAAAAATTAAAGTAGTTATTGGAGTGATTCACTGGGTGCTTTGTCTAGGATTAAATTCCTTTTTCATCTGCTGGATTTTGTTGCTGTTTTACCAAGATATGGGTGAGTGAGCTGAATGGAGTTGCTCTCTCTCAGTTCTGGTCTTCTGGGTGCTTGTTTCAGAATCAGCATAGATTAGAGGGTTGGGGAGAAGCAGTTGCTGTCTTCTACAAGAATTCTGCCTCTCCAGTCTTCCTGTTGGCTTTGAGTGCCAGTTTCGAGTGTTCGTATATTATGTTACATACTCAGGAAGCATTAGGATCCTAATGTATCATCCACTCCACTGCTCACCAGTCTCTTTAGCTGAGCTGGGAGTCATAGTCTCAGATTTGGGGTTGAGGACTGCTGGGATGATTGCCCTGGGGGACCTCAACACCCATGCTGAGTGCCTTGTCTATGGTGGCTGAAAAATTCATGAGTGCCATGACAGTTGTGGCGCTGTTACAACATGTCATCAGCCTAACACATCCTGGACAGAAGGATGGTGGTCTGAAGGTAGATTTTATATTGACTCCCTTGTTATGGCTGGACCACATTCTGTGGAGGTTTAGCTTGTTGCTTTATCCCTTCCATGGTTGGAGGAACCTATTAGAATAGTCAATCCCAGAGACTAATGGATTCTGAGGGATTTTCAGCTAGTGTGGCTGGTATTTTTGTCAGAGTCCTGATTACTTTCTGGAATATAGATGGAGGACTTGGGCAGTTAGCATAATCGCTCCCAAGTGCCCTTTTGCCACGAGCAGAGCCCATTAAACTCCTTAGGAGACACCTGAGCTGAGGGCAGGGAAGCAGTTTGGGAGACAGCAATAATGCAGATGGAGAAGGACTAATAAGTTCAATCAGACAAAAACAAGAGCACATTATCTATTTGCCTATTCTGTGTCATGAAGGAGGTGAAGAAGCAGTTTTTGTCCACCACTAGTGAAGCACTTCCAAGTGTTTTGGGGCCCTTTGCAACCTGGACATCCCTTGGAGGCACACAGCATCATGTTTGCTAAGCACTTTGAGGACATTCATCACATCACTGATGCCAATATTATTGCAGATCAATCAACTCAGTTATCTAGGCCAACTAGTTCAGTTTTATTGGGTGACTTTTGATTCTGTAAGACATACAGATGTGAATGTGGTCCAGGGTATAGTAGGCAAAAGACAATTGTGGTAAGACAGTGAGATTGGAGCTAGGCTATTCCTGCCACCTCTGCCAGTGGTAAAACAATGTAAACAACAACAAAGTTGCTGCAGCTGTTAAAGGTTAAAAAAAACAACCCACCTCTCTCATTGGCGGTTACTTTGCTGTATATCTCTTAAAACCTGGGGGAATGCTTCTCCATTTCACCACTAGTGAATGGGACTTCAAAATTTGGGGGACATTTGGGCTCAAGCATACACTGCATATTACTAAAACCTTAAGTAATACACCCTTTTGAGACAGGGAAGCATGTGTAAGACTTTTTTATTTTGAATTTTTAGTTACCATTTGTTAAGACAAAAAGACAGTTGCTAATCTTTCCATTCCCTTTTGCAGTAATTTAAAAACTATTCTGCATTTGATTAACCTTTTCCCATGTTGCCATGCCTGCTGCAGAATATTTAAGTTTTGTAGAAGATCACAGGTGCACGATCAATTCCACTGGGGCACTTTAGACGTTACCACCACATGTTGTGAACTCTTTGGCAAATTTCTAAATGCCAGGCAGAGGAATAAGTGACTTCTCTAAAGCACGAGTGAATGCCTTTGAATATGTAGCATTAGAAATAAATTGGACCATGGGAGAAAAAATAAACACACCATCGTACATAAAGGTGAAAAGCACACTACTATTGCATTGATGTTCTCCAGGAAAACAGCAGCCATTTACGTAAATGGAGCCTTTGACTTTTCAACTTGTTTGTAGTAAGAGTAAAAGTTTGCTGGGGCATGGCGGTTGTTGTCCTTTTATCTTTACATAGTGCCGTGATGTGACATTTTGCCTGTCCATGAACTTCTAAAATGACTGAGGTGACATGGTCATAGAAAGGTTAGTGCAGTTTAATAGAAATGGTAGTGGATCTTATGATAGACATGGGCATGTAGTCCAATTTTTTAAAAAAATTTTGTGGTTTAAATGAGACAGAGAGCTTTCTCTCTCAGTATGTGTAGTATTTGATTAATATCACACAACAGTGAACTCTTGACTTTCACTTGAAACCACAAAGAAATGATGAAAAGACATCTTTACAAGTCATGCACAAAAATGCCTTTTAAAATAAAGGCCTTACTGTTGATCATCACTCTTGTTTTCTCATATTAACAATGTTCAAACTGCTATATTCATTCTATGGTTATTTGATTTACACATGGAAAATGAAATAAGGGGTGGAAAATTAAAATGCAAAAATGAATTTTTTAAAGTTCTTGGCATCCTTCTGTCTCAAGAGGCAATGGAGTGAAGTGGTGAAGTCAAATTGCTGCGTTAGCAGCACTGAAGTGACCTTCACGGGGTGCAAGCCTGGGCAGTATGTATGGAGGTCCTGGCCTCGCTGATGTGGTCCAAAGGAAAGCAGATCAATATGTTTGGCACCAACTTGGCCCTGTAGTTGCCAGTAATAGGGCTACAAGATGCCATCTCCAGATTAGTGTCGGGTTTACAATTATTATTATTATTATTATTATTATTATTATTATTATCCTTTTCTTTTCTCGGAAGATATCCTGCAAGGCAGCGGAAGTTTAGGATCAGAGTTTTCCATCTCCTAGATGGGCTACCTTCCCAGTCTGGCAAGCCCCACCTGCCCCTCACTTCCCTCATTCAAAAAATGCCTTCTTGACCATTGGACCCACTGTTTGGTCTTGTCTGCTCAGTTCACCAGAGTCTGTCTTTACATGCAGGGAAAGATCCTATCTGAGGGTTTGAGACCCATTGGTTACCCTCACCTGGTTTAGCTGGCCAGTTGGAGCCGTTTCCTGGGGTATAGTTACTCTTGCATACTGAGAGCTTCTAGGAGCCACAGGTGATGATGATGATGATGATAATTTTAAACAATTATACCCCGCCCATCTGGCTGGGTTTCCCCAGCCACTCTGGGTGGCTTCCAACAAAATATTAAAATACAGTAGTCGGTCAAACATTAAAAGCTTCCCTAAACAGGGCTGCCTTCAGCTGTCTTCTAAAAGTCTGGAATACTGTAGTTGTTTTTCTCTTTGACATCTGGTGGGAGGGCATTCCACAGGATGGGTGCCACTACCAAGAAGGCCCTCTGCCTGGTTCCCTGTAACTTGGCTTCTCACAGCGAGAGAACCACCAGAAGGCCCTTGGCACTGGACCTCAGTGTCCGGGCAGAACAATGGGGGTGGAGACGCTCCTTCAGGTGAGAGCTGAGTGCAGAGTGGGGACCAAAAGTATACAAACTACCCACTTTTCCCCTTACTGATTTTAAGTATCAGTTGAGTAAAGCAGGTGGATGGACACAATGTTATTTGATTAGATATGCCTTGCTATCGTTTTCCCAAGGCGTTTAAGTAGAATGCATTAGGTTCACAATCCTCTTTCCCATTTTATCCTACATAATTTCTGTGAGGTATTGAGGAATAAGTTGCTCAAGGCCACCAATGAACTTCATGGCTGAACAGAGATTTGAATCCAGATATTCCCACATTAAAAACATTAAAAATTGTCCACTATATTGCAGTGGTTACACAGAAAAGAGTAATCTTATGATAAAGTCAGCTATCCTGGAATATTGAAAATAAGGATGCAGCTTAGAGAAAGATTTCTGAAATATTTTGTCTTGATTTATTTTGTTTCTAATCTTCAAATTTGTCCAGCTTTTCTATTTAAGCTTGCTTTCTTCTTTTTTAAAAAAACTGTTTATGGAAATTAATTTCAACTGATTAGTTGCATTGTATCAACAATTTCCAGAAGATTTCCTAATAACCAGGGTAGATCTTATATTTTTCTAGTCCTGGAATTATTCTTGTAAATTTTGTCTCAGATATACATGTTCGACCCACAAAACTGAACATAACTGTCTATGTATGCAACCTGTTGTTTTCTGGGGCTGAAATAGCAGTGGTGGAAGATCAGGTTAGCTTATCCGTATTGTTCAAGTCTGATTTATGTAGATAAAATATAAAATATATGAATGGGTGGGATATAAAACCTCTCAAGAGGTCAACAAATTTTGTGGAAGCTTCAAGCTGGCAAAGAAGGGATAGTTCCCAATTGGAACTGAACAGGGGAATGAAAATATTCCTGAAATTTCCCTGAGATGCAGAAACTATGTCTGTTTTAAGTTTTTAAAATACTGTGAAAAATGGGGTCCAGGTTGTTCTTGCTTGCCTACTGCATGTCAAGCATGACGTAAGACTTTGGTTATATGCACCTCACCTGTAATAATATATTTTGTCATTGGTATATATTTGCAAATGCTTGTGTCACATGTGATGTTATATGTGTAGGAGGCATTTACATGATATCTGAACTCATTACCACACTTCATATGCTCTCTTTATGAAACGTGGCATGTTAATGAGCATAATACAGTTACCATTTAAGTATGGTTGTGTGAATCAGTCCTATGCATCTTTGCAGTGCCCTGTTTGAAGTGACTTGCGGTGGAATATGCAAACAATATCAATCAATAATTTCTGGAATCTTTTTACTAAGAATCTTTCCAATGCAGTCATTATTTTGCCATCTAGGTTTTGCAGCTTTCCATTCAGAGGGTGTAATTTCCTGGTGTTGGCTTTTAATATCCAAAAAACAAAGGCACTGGTGTTCATCAAAATACAACTCTTCATTCATTTATTTTGCACAAAGCAGCTAAAGGAGGAGGCAAAGGCAGAGGGTGAAGAAAGAGCTGTGAGTGGAGAGGGCCCCTTTCTCCATCCTTTGGACCCCCTGGGAATCTCAGCAAACTTTCTGCACCTAGAACTGGGTGCAGCTGAATAGGACACAGTTGTGGGCAGCCTAAGGAACTGCCATCCACCTTGGGCCTGCCTGTAAAAAGCAAGTCTAGAGTAAGAGACTAGGGTGATGTCTGCTGTTTGCAGGAACTCTTCTCATTGTGAGACTTTTGTGGGTGAGCTGAAAGTTTGTTTAGACCCTTGGTAAAAACTGGGGGGATGGTTGTATCAGAAGGAAAATGAATTGATACTGATTTTTATATATTGGCAACTTTTTATTAATGTAACTTAAAATATGTAACTGTATTCTTATAATGTTTTGTTTAAATTGTCTGTTGTTGCTTCTTTTTTGTACACTGTTTAGAGATGACAAAGATACTTTCCAGATTACTTGTGTGTTACCTTCAGGCGACCAAGTTGGAAAGCTTTGGTGAACTGGAAATTTATTTATTTATTTAGGTCATCTGTTTGTCACAATGAGTAGGTGAGGTAGCCAAAATATTTGGACTGATTTTTAACTCAGTCAGTCAGAACTGTTTGCAAGAAATTATCAAAAATACAAATGTTATAGAAGTACGTTTTAACACAGGTGGTCTCTAGCACACAGGACTGCAAGTTGTAGAAGTTCTGTCAATATGTTGAGCTGGTGTATGTCTGCATATTGTATGCATATATAGATTATTTCACCACAGATAATTTTTGGAGTTTCGTGGTATTTAAGTACATAGGAATCCTAGGATACGAGTAACAGATTAATTGGTAGGATACATATTATTTATATAAAGATAATTGAATTTACACTTTATTTTCCCAATTTTTACTTGGTTAAGAAAATGTCAGGAAATTGATCAGTTCATTATGCATGAAAATGGAGGAGTCATTAAAATTGCTAATTTAAGAGAGTTCTAGTTTTAATTTATGTAGTTGATTAGAACTGCATTATTTGTCTTGGTTGTCAAAAATCTGAATTATGAACTGATTTATTAGAATTAACGATGTCTATATAAAGCTCAGAGACAAAGAGGTGATTGAAATACGGCCCAAAAGGTAGAAATAATTGTCCAAGAGGATCATCAAGGGAAAACTTTCAACAGAGTACAATTTTATTGTTATTAAATTAAAAGCTTCCAAGGCCAGAGCCCCTTAGGAGATGTTGAAGAGAGAGAAAAGGTGTGGAAGAATAGTTATGTGTGAGAGAAAGGAGGCAGCAAATGAAATTGGATGAAAGGGAGAGAATTAGAAAATAAAACTTCATCTGAGCAAATTTAAGACTAGGAAACAAACTATTAAAAGCTGAACACAATCTTCAGCCTCAAAGGTAGACTGCTTGAGTGAAAGGAGAGAGAAAGCTGATTGAAGAATGAAAACTATGCTACTATAGAAGCATTAATGAAAGGAAGAGAAAATACATTTTGATCCAGGATATATCTTAAAATTAACAAGAATCCCATAAGACGAACACCACCTTTTAAAGGATATTTAAAATTTGGATCAGACTATAGTTGTAGAATGCACTTAATATTTAAATGTTGGGATTCAGTTTAAGCAATAATAAGTCATAAGGTATAATATATTATATTAAGGTATAATATATTATATATTATTTAAGCTAGAATAAGTCATAAGCTTCCTTAACTGTGAACCTTTATGAGTAAGAAATCAACATATCTATCCAGATCTACACCAGAACTCTTTCTGAACACTCGCTCTCTGAAAATTCAGTGAGATTGAGAATTAAATGTTCGAGGCATAGGGTTGTATTAAGTCTTATGTAGAACAGACAGATTGAAATTAATGAACCTAAGTCATGTCCATTAACTTCAGTGGGTCTGCTCTGAGTAGGACTAGTGTTTAATATTCCCCATAATCTTCTTTTTGTTAAGTTACAGGCTTTTCTTAAGAAAGATTGGATTATAGCTGACATACAGGAATTAGTTCACGGATATTAAGACTGACAGAGCCCAGGCTGCAGCAGCAGTCACTGAATAAGGACGAATAAACACCCTAATGACAGGGAAAGTTGAAGATTTAACAGAGGCTATAATTGGCTGCATTCAGACAATCAAATCTTATATTTGAAGCCAAGATATAAACAGGTTGCAACACCACACACCTGTTTACCATCGTCCTTCACTCAAGCTAGCAAATAAGCCAGGAACCTCTGTTAGCCAAAGCATGGTCAACTTGGTTAATAGTTATAAACAGTGTTCAAAAGGTGACAGGTGCATTTTGCACCTGGCTTTCAGACACTTGTGACCAAGTGAAGATGCCTGGGTGCCAGGATGGTGCCTGAAGTCTCCACCATTTGAAGGTGCAAGCCTGGGGATCCTGGAATCTTAACTGTTTTCACACACTAGCAACACATCCTGTAGAATCCTGTTATGTTTTATCTGTACAATCAGAATGAATTTCAGAAACCCAAACCTTGTATTGAGAAATTTGATATTTGAGCCATCTCATCCAAAAATGGCAAATAAACAATCCGTTTTGGTGACTGTAACCCTATTTTAAGGAGCAATTTTGTACCTAGCTTATACGTCTTTAGTTTCTAGCACTGGTTATAAATAAAAAGAGCCAGGGCCTCCATGTCTGGCAGCCATTAACCACATTTTCCTGGTTTGGACGTAGTGGAAAGCTATGGGTCATGGCTTTCTGAGTTACTTGCCTGCTCATGTGAAGGAAGGAACAAAGTGGCAGTTCCATACATTTGCTTGCTTGCTTACGGAGTGAAGCAAATATTCTCCTTTTTGTTTCTCGTGCTCTTTACTTTTCTGATATGGATTTGTTAATGCAAAGGAATTTCTGTAAATTATATTTATTCTATGTATTGAAAACAGGTTTTCCCAATAATTTTTCGTATAAATTTGGTCTTGGGGTTTGTTTGTTCTGTTGCCATAGTGTGATAATAGTCATGCATCTGGAGGTGGTTCTACACACAGGGGGGAAACCCCCGCTATAAATAAGCCAGAAATTAAATCGTTATAACAAAAGAAAAGAAAAGAAAAACCCTATGTAAAAACCCTATAGAAAAGTTTGTGCTCTCTGGTGTCATCTGGTGTTGCATGTTTATAATGCATTCAAATCACTTTTTTTTACTAATGTAGCTGAGTCTTCTACTGCAGTTACTATTTTTTGAACTGCTAACTGATGTTAACAGGCATAAAATTTTGATTTCTTTTATTTATCGAGAAAGCACAATTAAAAAAAAATCATTAATGTGAATTTTCATATGTCTTTAAAAAAAAACTTATGCTGCATAGCACATCCATGCTATAATGAATGGCTTAACTGGAAAAAGTTAGATCTGCCATTTTTAATAGGGCTTTAAAGTTTGGAGAGACCCAGGAAAGCGTAAAGAACTGCATATTTTAAACACTTCTTTAGCAGGATTGTGCTGCTCTGTTAGGCTTGCAGATCGAGTTAAAAGTTCATATACTCTGTTAGGTGGACAGATTGAAACTGCAGTCTGCACATGCATACCTTGGAGGAAGATATACTCAACACAGTGAGCCATACCTCTGAGTAAGAAATGTTACAAATGACTGTTTTGTGTGTTTTTCTGCTTACAGGAAATTTGGTGAGCGACCTCAACCTAAACGGCTCACCAGGTAAGACATAATTATTTGTGTTGCTAGATCCTAGTTTATGCAATTAGTGTCTTAGTTCCTTCAGACTTTGGGCAGGCAATTGCATGGTTCACTGTTGTTAATTCATGGGTTTTTTGGACTATGTATGAAGATCTAGTTGTCATAAAAACAGGTTGTAGCTTAGCCTTTTCCCAATATGCTAAATTTGTTTGTGCAAGTATGTTTCCCCCCCTGGAGAAATTACATTTGACCATGTAACTCTATTCCTAGCTGTAATTTGAAGTGATGCACTCTAAGAACAGTTTTACTATTGCATCTGTTATTGGAATGAACTAGACCTAAATACACACTGGATTCCTTTCTTGTCCCATCTTGAAAATACAAATTTTATGACAATGTATTGTAAAAAGAATGGTGAAGTCAAGTCAATCCAACTATGGAATAATTCTTCACCTCTACATTTTTATTAGGTCAGTTTTCAACCTAAAGGTACCACATTTATTAATTTTCAATATTTATAGACATCTTTTTCAGCCTTCAAAGTGAGTGTGCTATTAAACAGCACAATAAGATGCAGTCATATAATTTTTTATATTTATTTATCTATTTATTTATTAGATTTATATGCCACCCTTCATCATAAGATCCCGAGGCAGTTCACAGCCCATAAAGTACTAAAATTATGAAATGTTTGCAACAACAAAAAAATGTCTTGCAGCCCTTCTGTTTAAATGCAGGTTTTTCCAAAGTCAGTAGGCCAGCGCAGTAAAAGCACTCCTTTTTTGGGGGAGTTCTGAATTCAGTGACGGCATGTTAATCTGGGCTGGATCACCTGACTACAACTGGATTACACAAACGCACCGTGGATTGCCTTTTTGACCTTTTTAAATAATGGAAATTCTAAACACACAACAATCCAGGCATTTAGTTATTTATGTAGACCTTCTCCTCATCTAAAACAGCTTCCAGAGTGGCCTATGTACCCCTCATTATACTTAGGTTAGACCACTCACTGATAAAGGGCTAAAGAGCTTGAACTGGATGAGAATTTCTTACCATTGGACAATATATACCGTATTTTTCGCTCTATAACACGCACCCGACCATAACACGCACGTAGTTTTTAGATGAGGAAAATCCGTAGGCATGCCACCCGTAGGCATTCCCTCCATAACACGCACAGACATTTCCCCTTACTTTCTAGGAGGAAAAAAGTGAGTGTTATGGTGCAAAAAATACGGTACTTTCTTGATGGCTTTTACTGTTGTTGAAATATTCAGCTACCCCTTTTTTTAAGTTGTAACTTTCATAATTTTATTAGTACATTTTGTGTCTGGTCTTTCCAGTGTTAAATCATACCCTATTCCTTGGCAAAACACTAGATTTTGAATCCTTTTTTCCTGTTGCTTTAGTTTGTATTCTCCAAACAGTCCTCCTGCAGACAAATGTTCTATTTTATCTGTATGTTAGCATTATTTGCAATGCGGGTTCTCTCCTAGTAGCCAAGGACAAAGCTAAAGTTTACAGTTCGTGACAATGGGGTGGCATTCAATATTGTGAATGGAAGCAGCCTTTTGTTCTGTGAACAGAAGCTGTTCCCACTCCCTGGAGCACCAGTATGGAATGCTAGTCATAATTTTCAGAAAGACAGTGGAACATGCATGTTATTGCTTCTTCCCCTCTCATGGTAGCCTACTACGGAAGCCTTTGAAAAGTAATCATTTCCACAGGTTCTGCCCTATGATAACTGCATATTGTTCGAAATGAAATGGGAAAGTACTGGTAATCTTAAGCGGCAAATCCCCTAACTATAGGCAGATGTCAGCATCCTAACACGCTTGTCTTAGCTGCTTTTGGTTCATGTGCATTTAGAAAAATTTCTAGCAAATACAGAATTAGGGATACATCCAGGAATGTATTTTGGAATGAGTTCCTGCTTGCTCTGTAGTTAAGCCATTAAAAGGCATGTAATTCCAACCAGAGTATACTTTGAGGCTGAACAATTTAACAGTTTAACATTTTTCTCCTTTTTTAAAAAAAAGGTTTAAAAATACAGTCGTACCTCCAGTTACGTATCCCTCTGGTTACGTAAACTTTGGGATAACCCGGTAAGCGGCCTACCTGGAAGTATATTTCTGGGATTTTGCCGCATGCGCAGAAGCACTCTTCCGCCATGCCTGTGTGCGCAGAAGTGATCTCTCTGGTTGTGAAAACGTTGGGATCCAGCCGGACCTCTGGAACGGATCCTGTCCGCAACCAGAAGTACCACTATATTCGACTCTTGAAAGAGGCTGTTTATCCTTTCCGAGTAGAGCTAGATTTTGTAGATAGGCTACTGCTTGTGAAGACAAAACAAATGAAAGTGCCTCAACTGTGTTAGGCTCTTGATCCATCTATCTTAGTAGTGTTTACTCCCAAAATCCACCACTGTCCAAAGGCAGGCTGATGTCTTTTCCAGCTCTGCTAGAAAGTAAGGGCCAGATCCCAATTCCTTCTTTAAATCATGTATTCCACTAATTATAACCCTTGTGGTGGATAACTCTTGGACTTTCACTTCACTACTGTTGCCTGAGGACAGGGAGGTGCTTTCTGCAGGAGGACGGACTCAGAAACTAGGTTAAGCCACCTACACGCCCCTTGGCAACTCTGTAAGCCCCGCCAGTGAGCTACTTGAGGTTATAAAGGTATGTGCTTGCAGATATCTTGTACTCCACACACTTGGGCTGCTTATTTTGCCGGAATATTTTTAAATATCAAAACTTAGAGCCAACATGGTGCCCTCCTTAAGTTTTTGGACTCCCACCTCCCATCAGCCCTGGCCAGCATAACCACTGGTCAGGGACAATGACAGCTGCAACGCCTGGAGACTACCTTTGCCATACAGCTTGTTTTTTTAATGAAGAGTATTTCTATTAATTTTATTGTGCCTTTTTAATTCTCAGGGAAGCAATGAGAAACTATTTAAAGGAGCGTGGTGATCAAACAGTCCTAATCCTTCATGCAAAGGTTGCACAGAAATCGTATGGAAATGAAAAGAGGTTAGTGTTATGCTGTGTGCTCTCTATTGTGCTATTTTGAGACATTTTGGGAAATGTCACACATAAAACAATCTTTGGCTGATTTAGAAGAACTTCAGGCATCCACAGTATCTTTTCTCCAGATTTCAGTAGTGCCATCTCAAAAGCTCTATAATACAGTGTAAGCTTGGCTCCAGGTTGTTTAAAATTGTTATACTTGTACAGTGTAAGTTTGTGTCCTTGGTTCTTCGAAATCCTGAAATTTGCTTTGGGTGGAGCTCCACCTAGTGTACACATAAAGGCTGGCTTGGTGTTTAGACGTTCTTCAACTGGCCAAATGAGGAATGCTAATGAAACCTATATTCGTTTTTTTTACAAAAATGTTTTCAGTATACTGAAGTGAAAAATTGGAGTGGAGATTATTCTGGGGATACTTTTAGTATCAGTTGATATTTTAGATAGAATCTTAACTTCTCTGGAATTTTTTTTCCAGTTTTCCCCTTGTTCCTATAGCTTTAAAAGTCAGCAGTTAGGCTCAAAAACAGCCTAACAAAACAGAATAAAAGCAGGTGGTTTTTTGTGATTTTGGGGGTGATTTTTAAAAATTATTATTGAAGGTGTTACAACTCTATGCTGTGATCCCAATCTCCCCACCCTCCATCCTGGCATCAATTAAACAGCTTGCATTATCCCCAATGGAAGCTGTTTTTTTTTAAAAAAAGCATAAATTTGCTGCACAGGGAGACAAGGAGAGGAGAGAAAGAGAGAGAAGGTGATAAAGTGAAAAGGGGAAGAGAGAGACTGGAATGGAATGAATGAATCATAGAATCATAAGAATTGGAAAGGTCATCAAATCTCATATTTTTCCTGCCAGTGCTAGAAAAGCACTACCACAGCATCCTGATAGGTGGTCATCCAGACTCTTCTTAAAACCCTCCAGTGAAAGAGAGTCTGCCACCTTCCAAGGTAATATGGTTTTGGTGGGAGTGGGGATGTTAGAGAGAGGGAGGAGTGATCCATTTTTGACATTGGCCCCGTCCCCTATGGACCTGCTGCCCCTGACTGATTTTCTCCAAGAAAATGCAGTTCTGGGGATGGCAAAGACTCCCTACTCCTGTCTTACATTTGTCTTTCTTCAATGGGAAAATTAAGTACATGTTTGATGTCTCTAATAGAAATCAGTCAGGCTTAGAAGCATGCAATAAGCAGTAGTGCAGATACCTTTTATATTGTTATGGAGCCAAGGCTGTGTTGCTCTGTAATTCCACAGTCGCCTCCTATTGATTCTGAAAACAGAGTATCCAGGAATTTCAGTTTTCGTTTTAAAAATAGTGTGTTTCTTCATCCTAAAACTGTAGCGATTGCTCTTTGAAAAAATATTATCATCATTATTTAAAGCATTTAGAGCTCTTCAGCCAAAAGTGTCCCCAGAGTGGCTTATTTCCAGTCAATTAACATAAGACTATATACAGTCAATAAAAAAAACCAAACCCTTCCCTCAGGCTTACAATAATAATAAAAAAGACACACAAGGGAAAACAGACAGGGAGAAAGTGGCCGGGGCGGGAATCAAACTCAGAACATTGATTCTTGAATAGTTATTCTTATAATGATAGCTGGCACAGTATATTGGAAAATGTGAGAAATGCCTTGTAAATCCTTGCAAAGTAGGAAATGAGTTTTAGTGTCCTGCATAGTTAGTTCCTTATGGCTAAGCAGGAGCAAAATAAAACTATGTATAGTTAGTAAATCTCTGCAAGCCATATCATTTATGTAGGTCACAGAACCCAGTTTCTCTCTCTCTCTTTCTATAATTTTTATTAAATTTTCTGTTTTACAATTTAAAATACTCATTTTGCATCCTTAAGATATGACTTCCCTTTTTCTCTTTCCATGGTTCATTTTACATATCATAAATCCCTGCATATTTTACAAAAACTATACCATTCAGTATTCCATTATTCCATCCATCAAAACTTATTTACACTGTTGAATTTATCTTAATGCTGCTAGCATTTTCAGTTGTACACAATTATTTCCCATATATTCAATAAACGTTTTCTGATCTTCTCTAAACGTATGTTCTTCTTGTTCTATATGTTAAGTCTGCAAGTTGTGCATATTCTGTCAACTTAAGTTGCCATTCTTCTTTGGTTGGCACCTCGCTCGTTTTCCATTTTTGAGCTAACAAAACACAGGCCACGGTAGTAGCATACATAAATAACCTTTTTTAACACCTGGGAATTTCAGTCTGAATTATCCCCAGCAGAAAGGACTCGTTGTTGTTTTTTGGAAGGCACTTTTAATCATTTTTTTCAATTCATTATGGATCATTTTCCAATACACTTTTACAAGTGCACCACAGAACCCAGCTTCTCTTGCTTCAGATTTTGTTCAGAGTTGTATTTATTTTGTACAGAATACACTCAGCTTTAACCAAATGCATTGAGCTTGAACCCAACACTCTGTTTTTCATCTTCAGGTTCTTTTGCCCACCTCCCTGTGTCTATCTTATGGGTAGTGGGTGGAAGAAAAAAAAAGAACAGATGGAACGGGATGGCTGCTCTGAACAAGAGTCTCAGCCCTGCGCCTTTATTGGGATAGGTAATAGTGACCAAGAAATGCAGCAGTTAAATCTGGAAGGAAAGGTAGGATGAGTACAAATCTGTATTTTATATGCTAGCTCACTGATGTATTGAAGGCCTTCTGAGTCATTTTTCAGTATGTGTTTTATGGCAGTAAACCGGCTTAAGAAGATAAAACATAGAACGTGGTGCTCTTTCTTGGGAGTAAGTCATTGATTGGGTCACTCTTTTCGTTCTCAGGAAAATGAGTAGATACTGAGTAGAGACTATGTACAAGAATTCATCCTATGTGTAAACTTGTTGTAAGGATTGCCTGGAGTAGGGGACACTAGCCTGTGTGGATCGGGGGCGCATTTCAGAATTTGAACATTTACGGACCTGATCTGTTTAAAATTATGATTCCACATATGAGCATTTCTAATGCTATTAGTGCAAACAAAAATGCAGCCAAGCATGCTGTACTTGGGTCCATAAAAACGGGATGTCTCATAATTCAGTAGCCACACATCTGTGGTGCTCGCTAAGGAAGTATACAGCTCCCTGAAGTGTTTGAAAAGCCTCGTATGATTTTTAAAGCAGCATGCATAGACCTTACTCAGATAGTTCATAACAATGTTGGTATATTTACAGCAACCTGGGATATTGGGGAAATTGCTTACATCCCTAGATGTCAAGGGGGATTAATTGAAGTCTCTTGTAGTATCATAGTCCTAGCTTTTCTCTATGAAGGAGCATTTCACTCCCTGACCAACCAGAGAGAAGAAAAGGATGAACAGAGTTCTGTGCCTATAGGTAGTTAGTTGCCTGTTTCTTAGGGTTTGTTAATTGATTGCACTATAGGGAGAGGCTTCAGTCCAGTATGAGTCTCGTCCATGCTTTCCTTTAATCATGGGTACCACAGCTCAGTTCTCTTACTGTTACTGCCCTGTTACTGCCACCTATATGTCCCATATGCTTCAGACAATCCCATAGAACATGATTGATCATTTCCTCCATTCCACAAACCTCGTGACGTTTGGAGTCAGTCCTCCCAGTCTTGTACAAGCCACTCAGAAGGCACAAAGCCCGGTCAAAACAATGAACAGATCAGCTAACAAATTGCCTTAGCACGTAATGCTTTGAAGTCATAATTTGTCCTTCTGTTGCTAGTTAAAACTTCTAATGAATTGATTCCTGTTCTTATCCACAGAACTATTGCACAGCTAAAACCTTGTACATATCTGACTCCGACAAGCGAAAGCACTTCATGTTATCGGTAAAAATGTTCTATGGCAATAGCGATGATATTGGTGTGTTCCTCAGTAAACGAATCAAAGTAATTTCCAAACCATCTAAAAAGAAACAGTCACTGAAGAATGCGGATTGTAAGTATTGATTTTGCAAGCTGCTTTGTACAGCACAATGCCACCTTTATTTGTATGTCATAATTTTCAAACGAGAAAATGCCTTTAATCGTCCATTGGGTGTGTATGTAGGAACAGCAATGCTGCCATATGATAACTTGATCTAGCAATTTAGAAGGGCATGAACCTTTCTAACAGATACATCATAGAATTATAGAGTTGGAAAGGACCCTGAGGACCCCCTGCAATGCAGGAATATGCAGCTGTCCCATATGAGAATCAAACTTGAAACCTTAGCATTATCAGTACTGTGGTCTAACCAACTGAGCTATAAATAAGGTTAAAAAAAGGGGGGGGTTTAGACCACAGTGACACTCGTGTCCCAACTGAGCTATACACCTCAATGACACCCTTTAACTTTTGAAAAGGTGATTTCTTCAACTTGCCACTACAGTATTCTGGAACATGCAGTGGATTGTTTGCTGGGCAGAACCCAATTCAGACTATAGGGAGGGTCAAATGTGAGAACGTTTCCCCACATAATATACTCTCTATGTATGCAAAACTACATTGATAAATTGGTAAGATAGCTTCCACCTCCACCCCATCCCCCAAATACTCAAAGTACTTTATCTGTTTCAAAAAAAAAATGGTTTACAGTCTTTGAAATTTTATAATGGAATGAACTTTTAAAAAAGCAAATTAAGAGACTCAGGACTTTCAAAGGGTGATATCCAGTGCTGTGTGAGTGAATGTCTGCTTGCATAACAGGTTTTCTTTTTTTGTCATTCCCATACCCCCGGTAGCCTTCCACACGCCCAGCCTTTGAGCAGATCACCTTGCCCTCAAGCAGATTGGCGAGGGTGTGTGGGGGGGGGGGGGAATCCATTGGGCCAGTGGTGTCCATTCTACCGGTGGATGCCTGGATCTATCTATTGGCATCCATCTTTCTCAGACCAGATGTTTGGAAGCTGTGGCTGGATGGTTACGCGGAAGCCGGTTGAAGTTAAATCCTTCGAAGACAGAGGTCCTCTGGCTGGGACGGGACGATATGGGATTGGGGGGGCAACTCCCATCTCTTGCGGGGGTGCAATTAGTGCCAGCACCGTCCGTTAATTAGTGCCTCCCTCTCTATGGAGGCGCAGATTACAGCTATAACAAAGGCGGCATTTTTTCATCTCCGCCAAGCTAAGCAGTTGGCCCCTTATCTCTCTCGCCCTGACCTAGCCACTGTGATCCACGCGACGGTCACCTCCAGACTGGATTATTGTAACTCGCTCTACGTGGGGCTGCCCTTGAGACTGACCCAGAAACTCCAGCGGGTGCAGAATGCCGCGGCGAGACTCCTTATGGGGTCTTCGCTGCGAGATCACATTCATCCGGTACTATACCAGCTGCACTGGCTCCCGGTGGAGTACAGGATCAGGTTTAAGGTGCTGGTTTTAACCTTTAAAGCCCTATACGGCCTAGGACCCTCGTACCTACGGGACCGCCTCTCCTGGTATGCCCCACAGAGGAACCTACGGTCTGCAAATAAAAACATCCTGAAGGTCCCAGGCCTCAGAGAGGTTAGGCTGGCCTCAACTAGAGCCAGGGCTTTCTCGGCTGCGGCTCCAATCTGGTGGAACGCTCTGTCACAAGAGACTAGGGCCCTGCGGGACCTGACATCTTTCCGCAAGGCCTGCAAGACAGAGTTGTTCCACCAGGCCTTTGGTCAGGGCCCAGCCTGACTCCCACCTCCGGCAACCTACACAGAACTTTGCTCAACGGTTTGCCATTAATTTGATTTTAATTAATTTTTATAATGAAATGTTTTAGAATGTTGGACTATTTAATTGTTTGATTATTTATTTGTTGTTAGCCGCCCTGAGCCTGGCTTTGGCTGGGGAGGGCGGGATATAAATAAAATTTATTATTATTATTATTATTATTATTCTCTACGGTCAATGGAGTGCACTTCCGGGAATGAAGCCAAACCGCTGGAGAATCACGGCTGCTGCTGTAGCTGCAGAAGCCAGCTACCGTATTTTTCGCTCTATAGGACTCACTTTTTCCCCTCCAAAAAAGAAGGGGAAATGTGTGTGCGTCCTATGGAGCGAATGCAGGCTCCCTGGCTTCAGCGATAGCAACGCGAAGCCTCCGAAGCCTGCGCTCCGGAGGCTTCGCGTTGCTTTCACTGAAGCCAGGAGAGTCTGGTCTTTGAGGCTGACGGTGGGGGAAAGCAGCGCTTCCCTCCACTGCCAGCCCCAGAGGATCGGGGGGCAGCGGGAAGGCGCGCGGCGCCTTTGCACTACTCTCCGACCTGGTTTGGAGGCTGGCGGTGGGGGAAAGCAGGTGGGAATTCCCCCACCTTATAGAAAAGCCCACGGGAGCCGCGCAGCCTTTAAAGAGCGCGCCGCTCTTGGGGGCTTTTCCCCAAGGAGGGAGAAGGGACTGACTGGCCGAGTCAGTCCCTTCTCCCTCCTGTGGGCTTTTGCGGGAGATGGGGGAATTCCCCCACCTCCAGCAATAGCAGGGAGAAGGTCTGGGAGAAGTGCACAGGCTGCGTGCAGCTTGTCCTCTGCTCTCAGAGCCGGGGGGGGGATCACATTTTTTCCCTTGATTTCCCCCTCTGGGAACTAGGTGCGCCCTATGGTCAAGTGCACCCCATAGAGCGAAAAATACGGTAATTGCAATTGCTGCCTCCTCTGTTGCTTTTGCTGCATTAGCAGCACCAAAGTGACCTCTGGGGCACAAGCCTGGGCAGTGTGTATGGAGATCCTGGGCTGCCCAGATGACAATACCCCCCTCTTTGGCACCAGCTTGTCCGCAGGAGTTGCCAGAAGGAGGCGTACAAAACGCCACCCAACTATCTTAGGGACTCCATTCTGGATTTGTGTAGCGTTTACTCCTAAGCCTTTTCTTCTCCTGAAGATGTCCTGTAAGGCAGCAGGCAATTTTACCTGTAGCGTTACAGAATTACCGGGTGAACTAGTCCCTGTAGGAAACCCTCTTAAGAGGTTTAAGTGCCAAGTGTGACACTTCATTTCAGCCAGGGAGATGATAGGGCGTTGCTGTCTCATAGCTAATATTCCCTGCCTTCCCTGCTACTCCTATAAAATGCAAAGCTGGAACTCGTAACGTTTGCAAATGATCAGATCTTTATCCTACATCATAAATTGCAGCCCAAGTGGGAAGTGCAGAAGTGTCAGTCACTTCCCTTCTCCTTCCCGCTAAATGTAGTAACTTCTAAGCTAGTGCTCAGATGTGTTAGAATGGTGGTGTGGTGCCGAATATTGGCCATGTTAACCTCTATTTTGGTTGGTTCCAGACACTCTGAGAAAATGGCTAGGCAAAGCTGCACACAAAGAAGCCGCTTGATTTTACAGTTTTAGTATTTGGAGGAGGAGGAGAAGGAGGAGGGGAAACAGTGCCAAGATTTGGAATAAGGCCTACAGAGGATGGTTGAAAGGGATACCTGGCATATTAATTTCAAACACTGGAATTAGAAGGAAATGCTTTGTTTTTGCTGCTTTGGAGAAAAACAGTTGGTTGCAATTGGCTTGTGAATCTGTTACTAAGGCCACATTTAAGGAATTTTAATTTTATAGATATTTAAAATAAAGCATAGATTCCAAATTTCTGAAGTAGGTTGCGATTCCAGGATTGTGCTTTCTTATATATACACATTCTCCGGATTTTAGCTCTGCAACCGAAAACATTAAAGTACTTTTGGAAGGAATATGTAGCAATAGATTATTAGAGTTGCTGCCTAGATTAATTTTGCATGCATGGTCTTTTCATGCAAATCTTTATTGCTTAACAGTCTAAAGACTGACATATTTAAATATCTGGCTTGTTGGTTTGTTTTTGCAGTGTGCATTGCATCGGGGACAAAAGTGGCACTATTCAATAGACTTCGGTCGCAAACAGTTAGCACGAGATACTTGCACGTGGAGGGAGGAAACTTCCATGCCAGCTCGCAACAGTGGGGAGCATTTTACATTCACCTCTGTAAGTAAAGCTTGCGATTGAAAACCCATACTTGTCTGTGCTGTATGATTGCTTTTGGAATCTATTGATCTCCTTGCATACTAAAATCTTTTCTTTTCCTCTGCAGTGGATGATGATGAATCGGAAGGTGAAGAATTCACAGTTCGAGATGGCTACATTCATTATGGGCAGACGGTTAAACTTGTTTGTTCCGTCACTGGCATGGCACTCCCAAGACTGGTATATTTGTTTTTAAATTTTAGATCTAGTATTATATTTATATCCCACCTTACTTCCAAAGAGAGGTACACGGTTCTCCCTCTCCTCATTTTATCCTCTCAACAAAGCCCCAAGAGGTAGTTTAGGCTAAGACAGTGGCTGGTCACCCAGGGAGCTGCATGGTTGCGTAGGGATATGAATCCTGGTCTCGGATCCTGGGCCAACACACTAACCACTACGCCACACTGGATCTCTGATAACTTTTATATATATATATATATATACTTGTTAAAGAATAGAGAACTGAGAATACAGTTTTTAACTGATAATCAGTCTTTAAAAGCTACCAGGCTGGTTATACATAGCTGTTAATGGTTGTAAACTATTCTATGTTTTGATATACCGTACTTTTTGGCTCTATTGGATGCACTTTTTCCCCTCCAAAAATTAAGGGGGAAATGTGTGTGTGTCCTATGGAGCGAAGGCAGGCTCCTTGGCTTCAGCGATAGCACCGCAAAGCCTCCGAAGCGCAGAGGGAGCGCTCCCGCTGTGCTCCGGAGGCTTCGGGTTCCTTTTGCTGAAGCCAGGAGAGCAAGACTCTCCTGGCTTCAGCAGAGAGGGAGAGCTGCACAGTGCCCCTTCAGCGAAGCGGGAGGAGAAATGGAAGGGGCTCCATTCCTCCTGCCACTTCGCTGAAGGGGCGCTGAGCAGAGAGGGGGAGAATTTTTTTTCTTGTTCTCCCCCTCTAAAACAAGCTGCGTCCTATGGTCGGGTGCGTCGTATAGAGCGAAAAATACGGTACAGTGGTGCCTCGCAAGACGAAATTAATTCGTTCCGCGAGTTTTTTCGTCTAGCCAATTTTTCGTCTTGCGAAGCACGAAATCCCATAGGAATGCATTGAAATCCAATTAATGCGTTCCTATGGTCAAAAAAAGTCCAAATAAAGCCAAATTTGGTACAACAAGAGTTTATTAAGTGCTCTTTAAAGTCACACATACTGTAAAGAGCATTTCAAAAATTGAAGGAACAATAAATTAAGTTTCTAAACATGACAGAAAAACATTTAAAAATCAACAAAGTGTACAGTACATTTTCTAAGACTGGGGGACAACTCAAAGAAGGTTCCTCTTCCACTCTTTGCTTCTTGCTGAAGAACCCCCTCCTCAACTGTTCCCCCAGCCACCCACCACACAGAAATTCAAATCCAGAATTTTTTTAAAAAAACAGCAGAGTGGCCCAGTGGTCACAGAAAATCATAAAAATGCAGAAAAAAACCACACAAGCTCCCAGATTCTTGCAAACCCCTCCTCAACTGTTCCCCCAGCCACCCATCACACAGAAATTCAAATCCAGATTTTTTTTTTAAAAAAACAGCAGAGTGGCCCAATGGTCACAGAAAATCATAAAAATGCAGAAAAAAACCACACAAGCTTCCAGATTCTTGCAGACCCCTCCCCAACACCAAGTCCTTGAATTCCAAACACCCCAACCCAAAATCCAAAAACCCCCAAAAAGTTTTAAAAGTTTAAAAGAAGTTTTGGAAAAGCTTCAAAAATCACCAAAGTCTTCAAAAACCTCAAAAAAGGCTACCACACCGCGTTCTATGAGTTGCTCCTCGAAGTCAAGTTGCAACTGTATTAACGGTGTTAAGAAAAGGAAACAAAATTGCAAGACGTTTTTGTTTTTCGTCTTGCGAAGCAAGCCCATAGGGAAATTCGTCTTGCGAAGCAGCTCAAAAAACGGAAAACCCTTTCGTCTAGCGAGTTTTCCGTCTTGCGAGGCATTCGTCTTGCGGGGCACCACTGTACATTGGTTCTGTGCAAGGTATACCAATGTAGAACAGTATAAGGCACTGTTTCAAAGTCCAAATCCTTATTGTCAATTTACTACAGTATGCTTAGTGCTTAAATTAAAGTGCCTCCTGTAGTTTGCTAGGTTTGATGAACTATAGAAGCTTCATATGAACACGGATGATGTGTTTAACTGGCTCCTGATACTTGATGAATCCCTCCCACAGTTAGAATCCCTCAAGCACTCTTTTGATACCAAATATATTCACATACAAGTTCACTGCTGCCACTTTTCAGTGCCCAGAAACAATTTGCATTTTGATTCCAAGTGTGTCTTATGTGCACTTTTTTAATCTACAGATAATTCGAAAAGTGGACAAACAGACGGCATTGCTAGATGCAGACGATCCAGTGTCACAGCTCCATAAGTGTGCGTTCTACCTTAAAGATACCGAACGAATGTACTTGTGCCTTTCCCAGGAGCGAATCATCCAATTTCAAGTGAGTTACTTGACAAACGGGTAATATTACACGTCGACATAATCTCACACTGCAGCAGTGCCAATCCAAAGGGAACAGAGTACACAAAGTTCCAGCTCCTGGTCTGGAGCTGTTGAAAGGAGCGGGGTGGCAGGGCTCAGCAATTCCTGGATCAGATTCGCTGCTAGCGGGAAAGATTGTACATAGCACTGCACACCTTTGTTGCAGATCAGACCTTTCCTTTGAGGTTTAGCTGAGGTTTCAGAAGCTTGCCTCATCCTGCAAAGTATTTTAGAACTAGCTGTGGAGCTGCAGATTGATGCATAGCATGGCAGACGTTAGGAGCTCAGAGTGTGGTGGAGAGCTGCCTTGAAATGGATGCAACTACCGTATTTTTCGCTCTGTAAGACGCACCAGACCATAAGACGCACCTAGTTTTTGGAGGAGGAAAATATTCTGAATCCCAGAAGCCAGAACAGCAAGCGATCCCTCTTGCTGTTCTGGCTTCTGGGATAGCCGCGCGAAGCCTCTTCAGGGCAGTGGGATGAAGAGGCTTCGCGCGGCTAAGTCAGAAGCTAGAACAGCAAGAGGGAGCGCTGCGCAGCGATCCCTCTTGCTGTTCTGGCTTCTGGGATAGCTGCGCAGCCTGCATTTGCTCCATAAGATGCACACACATTCCCCCTTACTTTTTTAGAGGGGAAAAGTGTGTCTTATAGAGCAAAAAATACTGTCCTGAAGAGGCTTCGCGATGGGGACTTGAAGGGGGCAGGGAGAGGCAAAGGGCTGGGGAAACTTTGCAGAAAGAAGCAAGGACCAAATAGAAGATGGATTTCTGTGGTGGGATAACTGTGGCCCTCCAAATGTTGCTGGACGACAACAGCCACCACCCCCTGACCACTGGGCCATACTGGTTGCAGTGGACGGAGTCCAATAATATCTAGATGGCCAGAGACTTGCTATCTGCAGCATCTGTGTATCTGGCCTAATAAGGTCCAGCTCCGAGGGCCTTCTGGCAGTTCCCTCCCTGCGAGAAGTGAGGTTACAGGCAGAGGGCCTTCTCGGTAGTGGCACCCGCCCTGTGGAGTGCCCTCCCATCAAGGAAATAAACAGCTATCTTCAGGACTTTTAGAAGACATCTGAAGGCAACTCTGTTTAGGGAAATTTTTTATGTTTGATGTTTTATTGTTTTTTTAATATTCTGTTGGGAACCGTCCAGAGTGGCTGGGGAAACCCAGCCAGATGGGCAGGGTATAAATAAATTCATTATACTGAACTTAGGCTTCAGTATAGTGCAGTACTAAGCAGCCTAATTTAAACAATTGGGAACTACAGTAGAGGGGCTTCCCTGAGGATCCTAGCTTACAAATTATGCAAGTGAACACAACTAGTTTGTGAATGATGCTTTTGCAACAGGGGGTGGGGGGAAGCCCCTCTCCCCAGACAAAGGTGGCTTGATGTGTTACAGTTGATTCATTCTCCGCCTTTTTTTTTTGTTTTAACATGAAGCATTCTTGGCCACCTGATTACTTCTCTGTTTTTTTTAAAGGCCACTCCATGTCCAAAAGAACCAAATAAAGAGATGATTAATGATGGAGCTTCATGGACAATCATTAGCACAGATAAAGCAGAGTACACCTTTTATGAGGGAATGGGACCTGTCCACGCTCCAGTAACACCTGTGCCTGTTGTAGAAAGTCTCCAGGTGAGTTGATGTCCCTGCACTCATCTTGGGATTTAGTTCACATAGGTGCCACCTGACATTAGCTTGCTAAGTTCAAGAGTTGACCTTCTGCGAGTGGTAGAACGGGAGTAGCTTGCAAATTATAACAACAGTAGTTGTGCTAGGGGCTGCACAGCGTCTTTTGCAAGTGCAAGACGCCCCTTGGCTTGGGCTGTGGTGCTACACTAAAAGCGCAGAAACTGAAGGTACATTCTTTCACCTTTGGTGGACGTGCCCAAGGATTAAGGCTTTCTGGGAGATGATTTATAATGAAATAAAAAAGGTATTTAAATATACCTTTCTGAAGAAACCAGAGGCCTTTCTTCTTTGCATTGTCGGCCAATTGGTGCCAAAGAAGGACAGACCCTTTTTATGTATGCTACAACAGCAGCAAGAATACTCATTGCAAAGTATTGGAAGACACAAGATCTACCCACTCTGGAAGAATGGCAGATGAAGGTGATTGACTACATGGAACTGGCGGAAATGACTGGCAGAATCCGAGACCAGGGAGAAGAGTCGGTGAAAGAAGACTGGAAGAAATTTAAAGACTATTTACAGAAATATTGTAAAATTAAGGAATTTTAGAAGGATGTTGGATAGAAACTAAGAGCTTTTTAGCTGTAATGCCTTAAGAAATATGAAAAAAGGCTTACAATTGGGCAAAAGTTTAATGGTAAGGATTTGCTGAACTAACAAACTGAACTGGAATACAAAAAAGGGAGGTATGAGGAGGTCCGGGGAAATAAGTCTAGAGAAGATAGGTTTGGAAAATTAATGTCTTTTTAACTGTTTTATTTTGTATGTTTCTTTTTTATCTTTTACTTTTTTGTTCTATTTTTAAAATTTTTACTCTTTTTTCTGTATTTTGTATTTCTTCTATTTTTTGAAACTTTAATAAATATCATTTAAAAATAAAATAAAATAAAATAAAAGCGGGGCTAGCAGAATAGAAAGGTGGTTAGCACAGTTTGGCTGCCACCGCTGGTTATCACACGTAACCATTTTGCTTCTTGCTTCTTGATTGCATTAATCTAACAAGTCTAATTGGTACTTCAGCTAACTTGGTCTCAAAAACGTTGCCTCAAAATGCACATAGCTGCATTTTGTGCATTTCTCGAGTGATTTGTGCACTTCTCACAAGTATCTGATAAGTTTATATCTCATTTCCCCCCCCCAACCCCTAGTTGAATGGAGGAGGGGATGTAGCAATGTTGGAACTTACTGGACAGAACTTCACTCCAAATTTACGCGTCTGGTTTGGAGATGTGGAAGCGGAAACAATGTACAGGTACGGTATCACACTTAACAATATTTCTTTTCACACATCAAGTTCAGAATGTGTGTTGGTTTTTTTGTGTGGACTCTAAAGATAAGTCTGCCATCTGTTTAGGTAAGTGTGAGAGTTAATTAACCACTTAGCCTTGAATAATATATCAATTTTAAATTAACTTGCATATTACCAAAACTTCAATATAGGTGCCTGCTTTTGAAGTAAATTACAATTTAGGAGGCCATCTTTCCAACATTCTTTTCCATTTCCCATTACACTAGCAAACAGGGAACCAAAAATGCTTTTATCTTTCATCATGCCACTTAAAATTTTGCCCAAAGCATCGTTTATCTGTTTGAAATACTTTTATACCGCCTTTTCTGACAAAGTCCTTTCAAGGCCCTTAAAAAAGACAAGTTAGCTTCATATTCATAGCAAGAATGGTGGTGTTCCCGATAATTTACAATACAATCCATTGGTCCTCAGTGATCATCCTTTTCCATGCATACTGGTAATCTGTACAGCCATGCCAACCCACCAAAGTTTTCCCAGCAAATACACCTTCCCCAAAGCGAATTAATTAATTAATTAATTAATTAATTCAGTTTGGGGAAAGGTATATCAGTTAAATAAACTGATACTTTCTGGACTCATAGGGCTTTGTTAGTGGTGAATAACTTTTGTTTGGAGAAGCAACTGGCAACTGTTGGAAACAACTGCTGGAATTTTTATTTTAAGGGGGTGTTTTTTTGGGGGGGGGAGTTTGACTCCGGTCCCTTGCTCCACAGTACAAGCAAAGCCAGAACAAATTAAGGGGGGAACTTTTTTTCCTGCAATTTCTCTTACAGAGAATGAAATAAAAAAAGATCTGTTAGTTATGTATAATGTATGGTGATTGCAGAATCAATTTTTTCCTGTTAGAGAATTTAGATTGCCTGGGTTCAGAATTTTTTTTTTTTTTACTTCGTATGGAGTATCCACAACTTTGCACATTCTTTCTTGGCAATAAAAGTGTTGGTCAGCTAATGCTCTCTCTCTCTCTCTCTCTCTCTTAATATTTATTTATAATTTTTAAAAGTGGCTGAGGAAACCCAGCCAAATGTGCAGGGTATAAATAATAAAATAACAATAATTATTACAAATTTAATACAAAATACGCACTTCCCTATTAATATTCAGTTACCATTTGACTTGCCCTCAATGGTTTCCCCATAATTTCTGATGCTGCTGCATATTTTGATTTTTCTATGCCCTATCCTTTCTGCTTATTTTCAGGCACGTAGTTCCTGCTGTTTTTCATTCAAATCCCACTTGCAATTTCCACAAGTATACAATCACTCTTTAAATACAGTGGTACCTTGGGTTAAGTACTTAATTTGTTCCGAAGGTCCGTTCTTAACCTGAAACTGTTCTTTACCTGAAGCACCACTTTAGCTAATGGGGTCTCCCGCTGCCGCCGCGCCGCTGGAGCACGATTTCTGTTCTCATCCTGAAGCAAAGTTCTTAACCCGAGGTACTATTTCTGGGTTAGCAGAGTCTGTAACCTGAAGCGTATGTAACCTGAGGTACCACTGTATTCTACAAAAGGTTTCCCATCCTCCTTAAAGGCTGCCTCGATCCCTAATTTCCATAGCTGAATTTGCCAGTTCTGCATATTCCGACAGCTAACGTCTCTTCCCTCTTCCCCAGGTGTGCAGAGAGCATGCTGTGTGTCGTTCCTGACATTTCCGCATTCCGGGAAGGCTGGAGGTGGGTCCGCCAGCCGGTCCAAGTCCCAGTCACATTGGTGCGCAATGATGGCATAATCTACTCTACCAGCCTTACATTTACCTACACGCCAGAGCCAGGGCCCCGACCCCACTGTAGTGCCGCTGGAGCAATCCTCAGAGCCAACTCCAGTCTCCTGGCATCCAACGAAACAAACACAAACAGCGAGGGAAGCTACACAAACGTCAGCACAAATCCAACCAACGTCACATCATCCACGGCAACAGTAGTTTCCTAACCACTGCTCTTTTATGTGGAACTTCTAAAAAAAAAAAAAAACTTAAGTGCTTCGAACAATGAAACTGAACAACTTTTGTGGTTTCCCGGTGGGGTGGAAAAACCTCTTCACTGCTCTTTGAACTTCTTTCACCTACAAGTGCTGATCTCAGTAGAAGCCACAACTAAAAAATCGCGGGGAGGAAAGGCCCATTTCTATTCATACTCAAAATCTATTTTTAGTTGTCTCTTTTAAAAATGGGTTCAAAACTAAAAAAAATAAAATAAAAGTGGCTGGGATACAAGTTGAACTCGGAAACATGGACATAACATAGTTTTTATGGACCAAGGAAACGCTTTAGTATAAAAGGTACATTTTCACCATACCTTTTTGTATCACAACATATAGTATGCTTTTGTTACCAAATAGTTTATATATTATTTTTTTTCCTCTGAGCGTTTGCTCTGAAGTATACTCAGGTTCCAAGCCTGACCATTCTTGTATAATCACCATACTCTTCCAGTTTTTAAAAAATATATATATTTTTGGTCTGTGGCTGGAACTTGCATTTTTTTAAACTGAAGTCTTGTGACTTTTTATGAACTGATTTTTTTTTATTTTCACCAAGTAGAACCTTGTAAAGGCCAGCATATTTTTTTTAAGATGATATGAAGTTTGTGCAAAAGCTTTAAAAAAAATGCCTCTGCCTTGCCTGCAATACATGCAATGTATGTTAACTTTAGAGCTCCTCTTTCCGCCATTGTGGACAGCTCTTTCTATGTGTTCCTTTGTTATGTATTTATAGTGTTGATTCATGAGGTTTTTTACATTACAAATGTGGCCTCGTGCAGTTTTTCTTAACTGCTCATGCTACTGGCATCTGTTGGGTGTTTCGGAGGGTTCTTCCTTTCACGGTCAATACATGCATTCAGGTTGGCTTTTTTATTTTTTGCTAATCTTGTACATAATTTGCTATTAAGTGTAAGTTAAATGTGTGCGTGATTCTTTTTTTTTTAAGTGAACTGTTCCCAATAACTTCATTTGGCAGCATGTTTGTCTGTCTCTTTGGCATATGGCAACATTCCCCCCCCCCCCCTTGAAGCATTAGCCACAAACAGGATTGGTCGGTGCATCTCTTCCTTGCGAGTTGGGAGCCATCACAAACCAGCGTGGCTATATCCTCAGACGTCAGGCCAACCTAATGAGCTTCTTCTTTTGTATGATATTACTTTCTTTGAGTGTGAAGTCATTGTACAGTTAAATGATAGTACTTAGAAATGGCTAATTGCAAAAGCACTGATATGGACTACACTTCTTCCTTCCTTTTCTCCGTTGCCAATAATCTACTGCAAGGTTCATATCTTTCCCCGATTGCACGTTAATGGAGGGCCAATTGACACTACTGCTTCTCTCCAAAGTCCTTTTCCAAAGCTTCTTGTGGAACGCTCCATAGGGACTTTTGTGACCAGGGCCAGGATCTTAAATACCTGTTCATGTGTTGAAAGCAACAGGAGATGGAGTCCCACAGGGATCCTTGTCTTTGCTGAGATAGGCTAATGTGGCTACCACTCTGGAAAGTGTGCATGCGCAGTATTTCTGCACCCTCAATAGGGAGGCAGCGGGTATCCCTTTCTGTCTGCATCAAACATGCCACATCAGAGCCTGTCCTAACCTTTAGGAGCAGCTTTTGAGAGGACCAAAAGTTGCTCAGGAAGGAGGGGACGAAAAGCCCCAGGCTTATATGGCCACAGGGTTTCCCCCTGCCATCATATGCCTGGGAATCCTTGTGATTGAGGTTTATTGGATGAAGATTTGTTGGGCTGAGGTGGCGAAGAAGACCCAGTACATAGTAGACCCAGTCACAAGCCTTTCTGCCCACGGCTAGGATTTCCAAGCCCCACTAGTGGGAGTGGAGAAGTGGTTGATCTTGAGTTGCACTAGTTGGATATTGGTGGTACTTAAATTTGGAAGTTGTCGTGTCTTATCTCTCTACCCCACCCACACTTTGATGGGTTGAGTTGAAGCGATTTCTCTTTTGATTTGTTGCACGCACAGAAGTACCGTTACACTTCCTAGGATATAGTCCTGGCGTGCATTTCTCATCCTCCCTCAAACTACGTTCTTCCATAAACACAAGGGAAGTGTTTGGCTACACAAGTAAGCAATGTTAGTGACTTCCACATAGTCCTCAAGTTTAATCAGCACTGTTACTTATATTTTGAGTAGATTTTTTTCCACATCAAGGCTGTAGTTTCTAAACCCATCCAGTTAAATCGGTGCCGCTGTCTTGAAATGCGCTGTGTTGTCTTTTCGTACTGTGTAACTTGCTCCCAACAACATTGTCGCAAGCCGTTGGTTCTTAATACTTAGCCAGTTACTGCCTCTCCTCATCTCTCTCTCTCTCTCTTTTTTAGTGACCAAGGGCAGGATTCACTGTGGCCTTATCTCTGGCTGTTTACTGGCATTTACTTGCAAGCCTGTATACGTTGTCTGTTCTTAATTTTCTCCCGGTTGTAATGTAGTGCAAATTGCTTCATGGTGTGTGCTGAAGAGGTATTGACGTACGCAGCGCTGTTCGCTCACGGACTTCAGGCTTTTTGCTGAATGTGTTTGGGATCAACACATGCTAGTGTTTGAGGTTTTCAGAAAAATCAAAACTAATAATTGCATACACAGTTGATAACTGTTACCAGCTTATCTGCTTTCACAGTACCCCGGGTGTCGTCATTTTTGCATATAGCTGCATCTCATCCTTTTAAATCTCTTTGCCCTGCGTTGCCCAAATGGCATATATCCAATATTTGTATCTCTTAAGGAATTGAACTGAAGGAATTATATCTACTTTTTGCCTTTCTCTCTACACTACAGGATAGTGAGAGAGTGGTTTTTTTGGGGGGGAGAGATAAATTCACTTTTAAGCAGTACCTTGTAACCTTAGGACACTTGGCTTTTGTAACCTTTTTTTTCTGGACTAGCTGTCCTGTTATCTTCAGGTAGGAAAATTGGTATATTGGAAATAGTCTTCCAGACTAAAATTAGAAATAATCTTTCATTGCTCTGAGTACGTTTTATTTTCTAAATCTCTTTAGCTGATGGATGGATCCTTATTTTTTCATAAATGGGTTTGGCTGTTCAACTTCCATAACGTAGTGAGCTAAATTTGCCTGCTAATGTGCAGTACTGGGGGGGGGGGGGTGGAATGAAACTGCGGTCTACAAAATGCTTTCGGAATAAGGTCACTGGCCTAAACAGGGCTACCTCAGAATAACCAGTCAAAATGATCATAGCTGGCATAAGAGTGTTATGCTATAGTCTTTGAACCCTGTTAAGGGCCATGTTATACAATCAGAATATAATTTTTCTGACCTCACTACTATAGGTGGAAGGGACTGTTTTGGCTTTTAAATACCTTAAGTCCCTATAAAACCAGCTTATGGAGGGGAGAGGATTCAGCCTTTTCCCATGCTAATACTAAATTTCTGCATTCAAGGAGTTCTCCACCCTCTGTGGCAGCATTCAGACATGCAGTCCTTCCCTCTTGTAGTGGAACATCGCAGAAATATGACTTGGTTTTCTAACCTGGTCCTTATTCTTGCATCTTTGGGGAGGATAAGTAACATTTTTGAGTTGATTCAGACCACTTTTTAAATTGCTTTAAATTGCTTTCCGAACAATGTGAGAGAGCAAGCAGTATGCTCTGTTTTGTATGGAAAAAGTAGCTCAGTGCTGAGTGCTGCTGTTACATGTTAGGTCACCGTTAAACCTTCCGGAACATATTTTCTACAGGTCAGTCTCGAGGGGTTGTACAAGTCGTCTGCAAATCTCTCGATACATCTCTTAAGTAGAATGTGTTTGATTGCACCTCCGACACTAGCGCAACCCGTTTCAGACCAAATAGCTTCATAGCGGCTTCCATTCTGAAACAAAACACTTAACTTATGAATCATGGCATTTATTTTTTCTTTAGAAAACCGGTTTATGTGAGTGTAGAGTGTCTGTACTTTTCCTGTGCCAGGTGTTTTAACTTGTTTTCAAACACTGTAAATGTGGGGTTGGGTGGCAGCTTGGCGTTAGAAGCAAAATTTGGGTTTCCCTAAACGCCTTTGGGACTGAGGTTTTTCTCTCTCTGTGGAAACTACAGTACTGAGCAGCTGTTCCAACATCGTGAATGTGTGCCCCCCCAATATTCTGTTCTGTTTTGTGGAGCTTTATATGATACTCTTCTTATGTTGTATTGTGCTTTTGGAATTAGAGCATCACCACAAACAGGACATTCAGCATCCTGGAAGGAGAGAGATTTGTTCACAGCTCATGTCTACTTGGAAATCTGTTTATACACGTGTGCATTTAGAAGTGAGTTGGGAGTTTCTTCTCGCTGTGAATGAAATTGGCATTTTGTGCACCCTTCCTCAGTCAAAGCCCCGTAGATAACCCTCTCCCAGCTTCCTACTGACCTGCACTGCAGCCAAACACTCCATGTGTCAAACTCCTTCATCCTCTGGCTGAAGGCATCGGTGCATTCCCCGCAATGCCCTTCATGTTCTTTCAACGTTATGCGTAGAATGTCAGAACTTCTCTGGTGCTTGTTTGTGGCTCTCTGCTAAGAAGCCATTTGTTCTGGCAGCAATCTCTTGACGTTGGCTGCTGTTAAGAGTTTTTGTACGGCTGAGGAACAGATACATCAGTAGACAGGAAGAGCACAGTTTTCCCTAGATGGGGAATGCAGTCTTAAAGTAAACAGTTTGGGCTGCAAGCACGCATCGGTAGTAAAGCCCCTGTTGATAAAATTGAGTAAAATTGCATATGATTGAGGGAATGGGGAATTCACAAGACAAAACATTGGTGGCAGGCCTCTTGTGGCGATGTTTATCTGTATGTGTGTATGTGCCCATTCAGTCCTCAAAAGGGTTTTATTTTGCAAACCGTGCACCTGTAAAACTTGGTAGCAATAAGATAGAAGGCTGATCAAGTCTTTGCTATACCTTTTGTAGGAAAACGAATCTGCTCAGATTTTATAATTCATCAGTTAAACTTAAAGCCTGCAAATAATCAGCAGTTTCCAGGAATAAATAAAAGTGAAATGTATGCCACATCAAGTGTGTTGTCACATGTACAGAGTGTGTAATTAGCTCGTTCAATATTTGATTTTACAACGTTTCACTCAACTGTGTCAAAATTAAATTTAATGTTCTGTTACTCTTCCTGTGACTAATTAATCAAAAAAGATGTATGACACTGAGATGATTGCAAACTTGTTAAAATTTGGGTGTGCTGCTGCACACAAGGGATTGGTTGACAGTGAAGTCATCTGTGTAACCAGAAGAGCAGAACATACCCATGCAAGAAGTCAACTCTGTGAGGAACTGCACTCTGGACTCCACTCAAACTGGATATGGAATCTCTTTTCATACAGCTTGTAAAAAATTGCAGAAGTTAGACAAGACTGTTTTTTTATTCAAATACTGTAAATATGAACTAGTTCACTTTTTGATATTATTTATTAAATAAGGAAAAAACAAACTGTTTAATTTCATTTAAATTCATAGCTAATTAAGTTGGCTTTAGATAGTTGAAACATAGAAAACTTGGGTTTAATTCTGGTTTGGGTTTAGATTTTAAACTTTAAAAAAAACAAAACTACATTTGAAATTCTGCTTCGGATATAATGCAGAAAGGGAAATTAATCAACTCATTGGAATGTAATTTATAAAATGAATACAGTGGTACCTCGAGTTACAAATGCTTCAGGTTACAAACTCCGCTAACCTGGAAGAGTTACCTGGAATTGAGAACTTTGCCCCAGGATGAGAACGGAAATCGTGCGCCGGCGGCGCAGCGGCAGCAAGAGGCCCCATTAGCAAAATCACGCCTCTAGTTAAGAACAGTTTCAGGTTAAGAACGGACCTCCGGAACAAATTAAGTTCATTAACTGGAGGTACCACTGTACAATGATTAACCTGAAGGAACTATTTTTTTCTGAACATGTGACTGGGATACAAACAGCTGTGTCTGCATACTGTGGGGGATTTTAAAACCCCAAAAACCTGTTCTCAAGAAGTTGTCTTTTTATTTTTTGAGGAGGTCCATATTTGTAACTAAGGCAGCATGAAGATCTGGAATTAGAAAAGGGACTGTGGGACCTCTAGGGTTTTATACAGAATCACTTGGGCACGTAATACAGAAATCTGTCGGTCCTGACCTTTTTACATGCAATTAATACTGCATTCCACTTTGCTCCCTGTCAGACTTGATTGCTTGAAGATGGAATTGAGCCATCAGCGCCTGACACACACATTTTTTTTCTAGGCATGCTTGCATAGGAGGAGTAAATGTACACTTTTAGCTCATAGAGTTTAAAGCAGGGGTCAGCAAACTTTTTCAGCAGGGGGCCAGTCCACTATCCCTCAGGCCTTGTGGGCGGGCCGGACTATATTTTGAAAAGGAAAAAAAGAACGAATTCCTATGCCCCACAAATAATCCAGAGATGCATTTTAAATAAAAGTGCACATTCTACTCATGTAAAAACACGCTGATTCCCAGACCATCCATGGGCCGGATTTAGAAGGTGATTGGGCCGGATCTGGCCCCCGGGCCTTAGTTTGCCTACCCATGTTTTAAAGCGTACTTATTTATTTATTTATTTAGTGTTTCAAATTTGAATATGACAATCACACATCCAACATGAAAACAAGCTTCCATAGAATCTCCTGGACTTCCCTCCTCCCCTTTATGGGTCCTATTGTTAGTCATTTCCTCTTGCATCTTTTATACTAATCCAGATCTTTTACATCACCATTATATCCGAAATTCACCATTAAACTGCAAGTGCTATTCCAATCCTACTAACGATTTGAACTGTTTACAATGGTTTTCAAGGTAAATTATAAAAATTCCCCCATTCCTTATTAAAATTTAATAAGAAGAATTAAAATTCTTCAAGTCATTTTTGCCATTTTGGCATAATCAATTTAAATGGCCGGCTCCCTTGGGCATTCTTCTCCGGTCGGAACCTTGTCTTCTTTACATCTCTGGGCCAATAACACCCACGCAGCTGTTGTCACATACATAAATAGTCTTTTCTGCTCCATTGTGATTTCGGCACCTAAAATTCCTAAAAGAAAGGCTTTGGGGTGTGTTTTTTTTAGAAACAGTTATTTTAAGCATTTTTTAAATGTTTAAATAGAGTTTATGATTCAAATTCCATCTCCATATGACAACTATCTTGCACCTTAGCTACTGCTGCTCAGAGGAACATTGGCCATTGCTAATACTTTGGTCTTTTCTTGCCAGAACCATCAATGGTCAGGCAGTGGGGTTTATCTTCTGGTTTAAACATTTCAAAGCATGTGGGTATTCCATGTGTTCAAAGCCACATTTGTAATAGTCTTGCCAGCAAAGTACATAGACACCAGCAGCCTGTAATCGTAATCATGGATTCTTGCTACACTATGGTTACACTTAAATTTTCTTGGTTACATACATGTTTTAAACAGCATCTTAAGGCACTATGTTCATATTCCTAAGGAGGGTCAGAGAAGTCTGTAAATGTGATGTTAGAATAACACACACTTTAAAGTGATCAAAGCAATCGTACGTATTTTTCACCTAGTAATCCTATTAATGCAGGGACCGGGTGGCACTGTGGATTAAACCACAGAGCCTAGGACTTGCCGATCAGAAGGTCGGTGGTTTGAATCCCCGCAACGGGGTGAGCTGCTGTTGTTCGGTCCCAGCTCCTGCCAACCTAGCAGTTCGAAAGCACATCAAAGTGCAAGTAGAAAAATAGGTACCACTCCGGCGGGAAGGTAAACAGTGTTTCCATGCACTGCTCTGGTTTCGCTAGAAGCGGCTTAGTCATGCTGGCCACATGACCCGGAAGCTGTCTGCAGACAAACATTGGCTCCCTCGGGCTATAGAGTGAGATGAGTGCCACAACCCCAGAATTGTCTGCAACTGGACCTAACTGTCAGGGATACCTTTACCTTTACAGAACAGTCAGGCAAAGGCAACTGCTGATCATTGCTCAAGTCCCTTCCATGTGTCTCTCCAGCTCTTCCCAGGCAGTCCTCCAACAAGTGCACAGAAAAGTAGGTTTCTCATTATCATTTACAGCAACCACCGTGCCATTTCCCAGTGCAGTTGGCAACTGTACTTTTGTGGAGGGCCCTTGTTGCTTAGCAGGCCATCCTGTAGTATTGAAATCATACCTGCATTGGGCATGCAGCAATGGAGAAGACACTACATTCTGTGTATACTGATCAGATGGACTCCAGTCCAGGTCACAAATCATATTAAGTTGTACATAAAGATGAGGTATGGTTTGATGCAAACTATGTCATGGAAAGGGACGCGGGTGGTGCTGTGGGTTAAAACACAGAGCCTAGGACTTGCCGATCAGAAGGTCGGTGGTTTGAATCCCCGTGACGGGGTGAGTGCCCGTTGCTCAGTCCCTGCTCCTGCCAATCTAGCAGTTCGAAAGCACGACAAAGTGCAAGTAGATAAATAGGTACCTCTCCGGCGGGAAGGTAAACGGTGTTTCCGTGCGCTGCTCTGGTTCGCCAGAAGTGGCTTAGTCATGCTGGCCACATGACGCAGAAGCTGTACGCCGGCTCCCTCGGCCAATAAAGCGAGATGAGCGCCACAACCTCAGAGTCGGCCACGACTGGACCTGATGGTCAGGGGCCCCTTTACCTTTACTAATCCTATTAATAACCTTTAAATATAGGTCAGTATTATTTCAAGAGTGGCTTCTTTTATCCTGTTTCCCGCTTATGTGGCTGGAGCAAACTCTGGGAGGATTCCTAGCCCGAAATGCTCCCTTTACTACACCAGCTCTAATACGGTAAGCCATTTTCATGCTAAAAAATAATGCACCTGACATTTTATGTAACGTGGAGGTGGGGAGGCGTATTTATCCTGTTTGGCTGCATAAATCATCCTGGCTTTTATCCTTTTAAAATTCTGTGAAACTGAAGTGTAGCCTTTCTCAAACATTAGCTATCTTAACATACTATTTCCCCGTTGCGCTTAACAAAAATCGAGGTTTTGCGCAAAGTGCACGAAAGTACTCTGGGGTCATTGTTACTGTTTTTATTTTCATTTCATAATTTATTCCCTTCCCTGCTACGCAGGAGAAACTCGATTTTGGTCGTGAATGGCAGGCTTCCATTATTGTTAATGAATAAAATGGTGATAATGGGCTTATTGCGAGGTAACCACACAATATTACTGGCTTTATTAGCTGAGAAGAGCTAGATGATTAGCTGCCTTGTGTTGCAAGAAATGGCTTTGCAGTTGCTTTTAACACCCTTTTCTCTCCATCCACCCAGCCACCCCTGTCGAAGAGTATGTCACCTGATACGTGCCCATTTAAAAGTAAATCCTAAGCCTTCACTGCATTATTTTTGTCCGTACCTCCAAGAATTTTGTAGCTATGCATGTGGTTCTCCCAAATCACTTTATACTCACAACATTTCTGTGTAGTAGGTGAGGCTGAGACAGTGACTGACCCATATAGTCTATATACAGTAGTACCACGGGTTACATACGCTTCAGGTTACATACACTTCAGGTTACACACTCCGCTCACCTAGAAATAGTGCTTCAGGTTAAGAACTTTGCTTCAGGATAAGAACAGAAATCGGGCTCCGGCGGTGCAGCGGCAGCAGGAGGCTCCTTTAGCTAAAGTGGTGCTTCAGGTTAAGAACAGTTTCAGGTTAAGAACAGACCTCCGGAAAGAATTAAGTACTTAACCTGAGGTACCACTGTACAATGTAAGCTAGACATAGGTGGCGCTGTGGTCTAAACCACTGATTCTCTTGGGCTTGCCGATCGGAAGATTGGCGGTTCAATTCCTCACAACAGAGTGAGTTCCCGTTGCTCTGTCCCAACTCCTGCCAACCTAGCAGTTCGAAAGCACGCCAGTGCAAGTAGATAAATAGGTACCACTGCGGTGGGAAGGTAAATGGCATTTCCGTGCGCCCTGGTTTCCATCACAGTGTCCCGTTGCGCCAGAAGCGGTTTAGTCATGCTGCCAACATGACCTGGAAAGCTGTCTGTGGACAAACGCCAGCTCCCTTGGCCTGAAAGCAAGCTGAGTGCTGCAACCCCATAGTCGCCTTTGACTTAACTGTCTGGGGGTCCTTTACCTTTTTTTAAGCTAGACCACATCTGTCTGAAAAAGCAAAATAAGAAAAGTGCCGTTGGTGAAAATACTAAAGTGCCGTGGGGCAGAGGAGCTACTCATTTTGGAGGCGAAAAGTGATCTCTTAAATCTGCCTAGCTTAGTACAGTGGTACCTCGGGTTACAGACGCTTCAGGTTACAGACGCTTCAGGTTACAGACTCCGCTAACCCAGAAATAGTACCTCGGGTTAAGAACTTTGCTTCAGGATGAGAACAGAAATCACGGTGTGGCGGCGCAGCAGCAGCAGCAGCAGCGGGAGGCCCCATTAGCTAAAATGGTGCTTCAGGTAAAGAACAGTTTCAGGTTAAGAACGGACCTCCGGAACGAATTAAGTT